TAGGTAGAATATCAGTTGTAATACTTCAAAATGAAAACTGTATGAAGGTTTTTATATCATAAGTATAGTTTCACAATATTGAATGTTGACACAATGTTCACAAGTTTCCATATATGGAGTTGGCTATAAAATGTATTTGTCAGTGTCTTATGCTCTTGTATGAATGTGCTGGTATGTAAATGTGATCGCCGTGACCACAGAGGAGCCCCTCTCTATGAAGTGGTGTGTGTTTGTGAAGGGATGACCTTGTGAAAAGCCTGTTTCCGCTCTGACGATGATGAATGGGTGAATTTTCCGGACTAACCTGCCTCAACACTTCCTCCAGCAAAGATTATTGGACAGACTCTCTTTTGTCACCAGTGGACACTACTTTGCACTGTAGACACAAGTAAAGATCAGAGAAAAATATTCCCCTTTTCCAACAAAAATAATTATATATTTATTTTTTATATAATGTATTTTCTTAGAGCTCCATATTTAGTAACTTAGAAATACTCCAAATTACTCATTCTGATTGGTCAGTTCTTTCTGTCACTTAGTGCATGATGGAGTTTGACCAATAGGAGAACCAAAATCCGGTCACTTTGGTTCTGGTTTTGTATTGTCATATTGACCATCCTTTACAGCAGGGGTGTCAAACTCAAAGTCATAAAGGGCCAAAATTAAAAACTTATTTAAAGACTTAAAAATATGTAATGTTAAACCTTTTCTTATTAAAATACATGTTTAATAATAGTTTTGCTTAAACATTGAATCCAGAACAAACAAAATTTTAAATAAATAATGTCTCTATAGCCTATCTGTAGCCAGCAGTCCAGCTCCAATACATATTTGAAATTATCTCATGGGCCAAATATAATTATATTGCAGGCCAAATTTGGCCCCTGGGCCTGAGTTTGACATGTCTGCTTTACAGAATCTGAATACAGTATGCTATTGGAAAATAGTTGTTAAACTATGGATTTAGATTTTTCCGCATTATAATATTGAATTTGAAATGTTTCTAGAATAGATTTTCGATATAAAGAAATCACATTACAGTAGACTATAAAGAAGCTTAAAAATTACTACACATCTATAACTTCTACACTTGTATTTCTTGCAACAAAAATTTCTTCATTATTTTTACCCTTGTCTAATCTTTCTTTAGTACCAGTGGCCATCTCTGCTGGACTTCCCCACAGTCTGTTTGCTTAACTGTGCACTCTGCTCCTCAGGCTCAGTCCATCACAGCTCATCTCCCCTGTTTGTTTGAGTCCATTGTGAACAGTCTTTACTGGCTGTCACACTATCTCTCCCTCCTTTTCCCAAAGCGCTGCAGGGGAATCCTCTCATTTTCCTGTTTTGAACCAGTCCCACTGCATTCATTTGCAGGCACACATGCTATATCTGTTGGGAAGTGACAAGGAAATAAGAACTTGGAAATTTGAGATAGAAATTAACCCCATCTACAATTGAAATTTAGTTTTACTGAATAGACTTAACGGTGCATTGTGTAACTTTTCTGGTGGAGGTCCATTAAATACTTTTCTCCATGGAGATGTTATTGCTTTGTCTGGAAAGTTTCACAGTGTACAATTCTGCCTCTCAGCCAGAAGGTTGTGAGTTAAATTTGTATAGACCTTTTTGAAAGCACTTTATGGCGATACATCTTACCAGTACTTGTTTAACCTTTTATTTAATCATACTTTTTTTAATGTGATTATTTGAGATTAATTTTATGCTATTATTGGACTGTGAAATCTGTGAGGTCTCCATGAAGATAGAAAGGTTTTTTAATTAATAATTAATTAATATTTTAATTTATGAAACATTAGCAACCATTGCGAGTGTCCACATTGGATTAATACGTGATATACTGTATGAACTCCAAGAGTATTTTTAGTAAGTCATAAGCAGTTTGACCCTTTATTTAATCACACTCCTTTTGAATGTGATTATTGGAGATTAATATTTGTTATTATTGCCTTATGAGATTTGTATACACAGTTCTAAATACTTCTTCCTCCTCTGGTCATCCTGGAAATGACCTCACTGAACAACCTGTGACACTTTAAATCCTGGGAGCTTAATGTAGCTGGTTTTGTCATTGAGGGTTAAATCTAGTTTCAGCTATAGTAGATGGTGTGAGAAAGGTACTTAACAGATCTGTATTGTGTTGATTTTAATGTGATGCACTTGAATGTTGTATAGAGCTTGTTAAATAAAGTTTGATTAATTGAACTGAAGGCGAAACATATAATTCATAACACCTTTTTATTTTATATTATTATTATTATAACAAATACAAGTGGCTTTCAATTAAGGATGTGCAAAAATATCAAACTATCGATATATTGTATCGTTTAATATGATGATACAGTATTGATATCGTGGGCTGCTTTTATCGATATATCGCAGGCAGTATTTTTGGTATGTTTAACTGAATTATTTTGTTAGTTTTGTCATTTGTTTAGAGGAAGCAAACTCATTTATGTGACACATTTCACATTTTCACTGTTTTGAGGATTAAAATGTTTGTGTTTCATATTAACTTTGCACAAGAAGCAGTTTAACAAAGACTTTTAGTAACACAGCCACCATTTATTCTTTATTTTTTATTGAACCGTATCGAATCAATTTGAAATATATCATATTGAGTCGAAAGTTCACTGCATTGAGATATGTATTGTATCATGGCCTATGTATCGAGGTACGTATCGTATTGGCAACTTCTTAATGATACCTAGCCCTACTTTCAGTATTCAGTTTGTGGAATAAAAAAATCTATATTTTAATCTTTGCCATTAAGCACAAAAATTGTAAAATCCCGAATTAAAAAAACAGTCATATCACTATCATTAGGAACTGAAAACAAAATTGAAACGGATTAGTCATTTTGTCATTTTGTTTGTATACAACACTCCTAAATCCTTCTTGCACCTCTGTGACACTTGAAATCCTGGTAGCTTCAAGTGCCTATGACGGGTTGGACTACTAATTTTACTAAAGTACAGTTAAGATCATTATATTTATTATATTTAAGATTTACCTAAAAATGTTATGATTTCTTTCTAGTTTGGCAAATTTTTTAGGTTTCATGTCATACTTCCTTGTTGGAAATCATGACCTAGCAACCATATTGTACACTGGGCCTTATGAGATTATAATTTGACAAACACAAATATAAGAAAACACCTTTATTTTGTTGAAATCATGGTTAAAGTATATAAAAAAAACAAAAAACGTGTTTTTGCCTGTAACTTGACTGTAATCATACCAATCTTTCTCCCTACTGAGATCTTCAGTGTGGAATTCTTTAAAGTAGAACTCTACTTCCTGTATTTTTCATTTTAATATTCAATTTTTACATATTTTATTTTTGTTCACAAATTGCTTCTTGATTAGTATAAAACTATTAGTGACATTTACAACAGGTCATATCCCACCAAATTAAGTTAAAATTAGAGAATTGTCAAAACCTGTTATACGCTCTTTAATGTGGCTAGATTTGATTTGTTTAGTGGTTTAGTCCACATCTGCTCTGACGACATCCATGATAAGGATCTTAATGACGTTTGCTCTGACTCAGGTCTTTGACAGTGATTACAGGATATGCGCCTGTGATACCTCTTCCCTTAAATGTCTGCAGTCCCACAGACACAAGGGTAACGTATATTTTGAGACCAGTTCCACTTGTTTTGCTGTCACATGTTTATAACATGCTAGCGGCCAAACTGTCTCCCCTCATAAACAGCTGTGGCGGCTGGTTTCTGGTGTCTGGATCCTCTGCTGTATTAGTCACTCAATGTAAAGACAGGCCAAGATTTTGTCATATCTTGTTCTTTGTTTCAGTACATATTTTCCATAAAAGCTGATTGGAGGTGCATGTTTAGTTTTGGTTTTATTTACTGTAACACGGAACACTTATGTATCAATGTAGGAAGCTCAGATGAATTGACAGATTTTGACTCCACATTTTAGTGATGTTCCTTAATGAAAAACAACACGCACACCTTCTTTTTTCTGTGGATATGTCATTGCGCTGCTTAGAATGTTCCACGGTATGACATTAAACAGATCTACCTTAGATGTATTCAGTTACATGTGGTTTTATAGCTCAGAAATACCTAGAAAAACTGGTATTCTGACTGTGAGCGGTGTTGCCTCTCCACAAATCTGATCTATAACTTGGTCTGGTTTGGTCTCCATGATGACGAAATACTGTGAAACATTCCAGACAAAACAATAACATCTCTATGAAGAAAAGCATTTGATGGACCCTTCACCAGAAATGTTACACAATGCAGCTTTTATTATTTGTCACCTGTTTTATCCCAAACCAATATTTTAAATTGAATGAAACATTAACATTAAGAGTGTCCAAACTGGAGTAATGCATGATATACTGTATACATAAGCTCCAATTTGAGTATTTTTAGTAAGCTCTAAGTAGTAATATTTCTCCACTCAAGATTATTGCTCATACTTTTAAGGGATTTATTAAAATAATCCCCCAAGCAAAAATGTTTTAATCTAATATTATACTCAGTTTATCTGGTGCAAGTGCACAAAAGATTGTAGCCACTCTTTTCCCAGACTTTCTTGGCCCTGACTGGCATCATCATACAGAGATTTGTACAGACTTGAGATCTGAGTCATCTGTGGTGTTATTAAAACAGGATTTGACATAAAGTCTGTGCTAGTCTTGCACCTACTTGGTTTACTTACAAATGTAAAACTTATTATTCACTGGAAATTCATGATACTTAAAAATTTAACTATACACTAACTCCAACTTACAGTGTACCAGCGTTGTCTCTTACCACTACCACTCACCAACACACATCAAATTTAAAGTTGGTGAAGTGCCTTGCCCAAGAAATAAACCTTAATATGCACTAGTCGTAGCTAGGATCAACCTGCCCACTGAGCAACGATCAAATCACTATTATAATAATCTTATAATATGTTTTAGTCTGTCAGCCTGTAATTTACTATTGTTTGCTTGTCTTCCACAGAAACCCCTTACAATGATACATCTGGGTCCTACACGTTTGAACTGGACCAGACCGAGGACCAGAACTTGGACTCGTTCAGTGGAGACACGCAGTCCAATGGCTCTCTGGAATCTGCTCTGTCGGTAAGCACATTTTATACACTGACTATAACTGAACAGAAATGTATTTATTATTATTTATTGGTTTGATAGAATTAACTTCAAAGTGGAAAAAAATGCACAGCACACTCAGATGGCTCAGAAGTCCAAAACTTTTTTTATTTTTAGAAGCTTTATCTAAAAATAAAAAGTTTTGGACATTGGCCATCTGAGTGTGCTGTGCATTTTTCCACTTTGACGTTGCTGCTCCTTGCATTTGACCTTTTCAAGAACTTCAGTGTGTGTTTTCTGTTTCATTTGATATAATTAACTACAAGGGATGCATCGATACAATACTAATATCAGATATCTGCTTTGATATTGAGGATTTTGGTGGACTGGATATCAGTTTCCAAGATATCAATATAGCCAATATCCATTTTTGGTCTATAAATTGGTGTAATAGCATGATTTGTTGGACAATGTTGGCCTAAAACATCTTATAATATTAAATTATTTTTACAAAGCTCTTCTGCAGTTACTTAAAATGATAAATACTATATGCTTTTGTGTTTAAAGGAAATAAATTATGTTCTCAGTCTCTGGCCTCTTATCGGTTGATATCGGGGATCAGCAGATACTCAAAGCTGTACATCTGTATCTGAAGAGAAAAAGCTGTATCTATATTTTTGAAGGACATCTAAACTGTAAACATATGATATTGTTCACATCTGTTGCCTTCACATCTCAGTACCAAATACCTTTTTGTTATACCACTTTGTTATCTTGTGCAAATGAGAGTTTGAAGCTATTTTTGACAATATCACAATGCTATTATTGTACCATGATTAATGAGTTTGCCTCAAGTAAAATAACATCTCATAAAAATGTAGGTTATGGAATCTGCAACTCCCACAAACTTTTAATCAAATTTAAACACAACAACAGCGATGTACAGCAGGACGGTAGGGGTGAAAATCACATGGGGTAAATTACACTTTTTGATGTTGTTCTTTGTGCTGTTGAAATTTAATACTGTATTTGCAACAAAAGCGATTTGTATGTCCAGAAATCCAATCAAGAATTGCCAAGGAATGTAGCTAAAGCAGGTGATGCTGATTCAGTAGTTAAAGTGTTGTGTGAAATGGAAGAATGGTGGTTTGAGCTTGGTTTTAGGCATTTTATGATGCCAGTTTGGCAGCCAGTCAGTTTGAAATAAAATAATACAATCTTATGTAGTTCCTTATATATCACACAGTTAACTGCATCTTTATTTTGTAATGATGTTAACTTTTGTAATGATGTTAACTAAAACTTTGTTCACTCTGCCTCCACTCCATATTTTTTACATTTTAAACTTTTGCCTGTGCTTTTTGTATATCTTTGCTTTATTGTATATCTTTGCTGCAGGTTGACTTGGATCAGGAAAAAGGGCTGGAAATGCGGAAGTGGGTTTTGTCGGGAATTCTGTCCAGTGAGGAGACATACCTCAGCCACCTGGAGGCGCTTTTAATAGTACGTCTACATCTGTAAAATATTATTCTTCTCTCTGTAGAAAGTTCATGATAAAATAGCACTTTTTGTTTGGTTTGACATGACACCACCTTTTGCTATTATATCCAGTGTAATATAAAGCAAGTTTCGTCATTCTGATTCAACCTCCTCTAACTGCATTAATCATGTCCGTAGCCGATGAAGCCCCTGAGAGCAGTGGCCACCACATCTCAGCCGATGCTCACGGTTCAACAGATCGAGACCATCTTTTTCAAAGTCCCTGAGCTTTACGAGATCCACAAAGAGTTTTACGACGCACTGCTGCCCCGAGTCCAAGATTGGAGCCAAAACCAGTGTGTGGGAGACCTTTTTCAGAAACTGGTATATTTCAACGTTGCATTATTCTTTTAAAAATAAACTATAGCATATTGTTATTATTAAAATAAAAGGCACACCTATAATGCAGTTACGAAATAGTTGCTTATGAATGCTAGAGGTTGTCGGTAAATCTTTGCTAGTTTCATAAATAGAGAGTGACATTTACAGAATTAACCTTAAACTGACCACCACTTTCATTCAGTGTGGGCTGTTCACATCAACCACATATGTTTTTCTAGGGACAGCTGTATATAATATATTTTTATCTCCTCTCCAAATAGCATCTTGGTTCATCAAACAGACCTCTGTGCATTAGGTCATACTGTTGATTAGCAGGTAATTACCGGGTTCTTAAATGCCATGACTCTATCATTAATATCATGTTGGCTTGTTGCTAATGCTGCAGTGAATATGTGAAGAGACTGCCTGGAGTCATGTCCCGCTCAGATAAAAGCCCTGTGCACCACGAAGTGCAGTAAAAGAGGAGCAACCTCTGCTGAATAAAAGCAAACTCAGACTCTCAAAGGAACCTGTGTAGATGGGTTGTAGCAGTGTACAAAAAGTATCTAAGGGGCTGTGGCAGTGATGTAACATAACTAGAAAACAACAGATATCTTAAAGTATTTTTTTACTTTTTTTTTCATGTGTTAGCTCAAACATTTAAACACATAGAACTGACCTCTTTTGTTGCTAAAGTTACATGATAAAAGTGAGATACATACTCTGGAAATCGTTTGTTCCACACTCCATATGGCTATACATAGCATCTCTATGAAGTGAATTACCCCTGTATTATAATTATTTTTATTCTGTATCATTGTTGCTGCCAAAAAAATAATTTCCCTCGGGATAAATCTGCATGGTTTCAATCTCAGCAGACAATAATCAACTATTTGTTCCCTCCACATTTCCAACTTGACCCAAAATTAGACTAGTATTTATTAGCCTCTATTAGCTTCTGTAACAAACTCATTTACAAACAGTATGGAAAGACTTGAGATCAAACAAAGAAAACATGCTTGGTAGCCATTACATAACCCGTTTTGTTGACAATGTAGCCTTAAAGCATTTTACAGCTGTCGCTACTAAAACAAACTCTGAATCTACATTACCGGTAGATATTTTAACTATATGAACTGAAGCTTAACATTAGTTTTTAAATTTTCAAAGCTAACATTCTCTTCATTTCCTCTCCTCTCTTCTTTTCCTGCAGGCCAGTCAGCTCGGAGTGTACAGAGCCTTTGTAGATAACTATAAAGTCGCCGTGGAGACTGCAGACAAGTGCTGCCAGGCAAATGCCCAGTTCGCCCAGATATCCGAGGTATGAACACTCACATAAGAGAGTGTCCCAACAGTGGTGACGGCTGGGGTCCAGAATAGAGGAGCTTGCAGACATTTCCAAGTCTTTTAATTGTGCTAATGCATTTTTCTCATTTATGTCTTTGCTTTATTTTGGCAGAGTCTGAAAGTAAAAAGCACAAAGGACTGCAAAGATCAGTCAGCCAAATATTCACTTGAAAGTAAGTAGTGTCAAACTTGAATGTTTTATTGTGTTATTGAATGTTCCTCTCCAAACTCTTGACCCTCTTTCATGATCTGCTGCCCTGTCGATCCAATCCTGTGGGTCAAAAAACAATGTTATAATCATTCAGTCTTTTTATTTATATGTACGTTATAAACTGGATAAGTGAGAATCAACAATGACCCTTGAATCAATATGCATGTAAAAAATAACATAAATAAACATATGATAGCTTTACTTGTGTAAGGAGGTGTTTTAAACCATATCTTTCCCCATAGCTCTCCTTTACAAACCTGTCGACAGAGTAACCCGCAGCACACTCGTTTTACATGTAAGTTGCAAACTTTAAAGGTGCATTGTGTAAATTTTCTGGTAAGAGGGTCTGTCAAATGCTTTTCTTCATGGAGATGTTATTGCTTTGTCTGGAAAGTTTCACAGTATGGTATTAAATCTTTCTATCTTCATGGAGACCAAGCAGACCAAGTTACAAGTCAGATCGGTGGAGAGGCAACCCCGTTCACAGTCAGAATGAAAGTTTTTCTATGTATTTTTGAGCTGTAAAACCACCAATAATTTTATAAATGTGAGCTAGAGTAGTCTGTCTTACATTTGTCATACCGTGAAACATCCCTGGCAGAGAAATGACATATCCATAGAAACAAGCAGGTGACTGACCCCCAACCAAAAGGTTGCATAGTGCACCTTTAAGATCTTATCAAGTAATCCTTCCATTTCCTACTAAATTCATTTTGTAACTTTTTCTCCTAGGACCTATTGAAGCACACGCCCTCGTCTCACCCAGACCTCCCTCTGCTCCAGGACGCTCTACGAATCTCCCAAAACTTTCTGTCAAGCGTCAACGAAGAGATTACGCCACGCCGCCAGTCCATGACCATCAAGAAGGGAGAGGTTGGTACCACAATTTTGTATAGATAATTTAACCAATCCCATGATAAATTTGGTTAAAGTAAGAGAATCACTAAAAACATGCAGTGTTATTCGTTCAAAAATCAATCTCTTCTACCCAATGACACGATATACCAGTGTAAGCCAAATGTAAGATCCCTTGTTTGTTTCTTAATATTTTAATGAATTAGTCATGCAGTGTCAGTGTGGGACTTGTGACTCTAACCAGACACATCAGTAACTCACAGCTTTGATGCTGTAAATAGTGTCAGATTTACCTGAAGTTGTAACTAAGATATTGTGAAATCTTGGACTTTGCACTGAGGACCTTCACATTTTATCTACTCAGTGTGTTTTTATTGCTCTAATTTGGTGTTTCCTCCTTATTTACTTAACTATTTACTTTTCTAGGTTGGGCGAATACTATGCGAATATTCTTTTTCTGTAAGGACAGCCTAACCTAATATACAAATAATGACTAATATTATGATTTTGGCCTAGTACCAGTCTTAATATATGTACAATGGTTTACTTAGAAGCTCATTTAGTTTGGCACAGTCTTGATTTTCAGACTTTTTTTCATAATTTACCTCTTGCACTGACTGTAAATGTGTGGAGGTGTTTTGGTAATAAAATTATTCAGGTTGCTTGTGACTCAACACTGCCTGGCTCAGATCCTGAAGGAAGTCTAACAATAAGGAAACTCAGGACAAAGCAAATCCTCCCATCCTTTCCCAATGCAGCCCCGGTTACTTCCCCGAAATGGCCCGCAGTATAACTTATCAAATATCTGTCACACTATTTTAATGGGTGTGTTCATAATAGTTTTGGACCCTTAGTTGGTATTGCTTCAGGAAAGTTTCAACTCACACTGATTATATGGTGATTTATCGTTCCCTGGAAGTGTTCATTGCTAAAGGGAGGATGTTAAAACAAAGACACTGGGGAACAAAGTGGGAGAGAATGTTTTAGTTTGATGTCTCCAGTTCTATAGAACTATCATCCTTTGTTTTGTTTTCTTTAGTTTGTTTACTTTTGTGTAGTGTGGAGAGAGAAGGTTTTGTGGTTTTTTTTTTGTTTGTTTATTTATTTATTTATTTTTTTGTTAAAATATCAAAAATTGGTGAAAAAAGAAAAATCATGCATGATAAAATGACCTTGTCCTCAATCCAGAAGAAATTGCTAATTCCCATTGTAACCCAGCAAAAGTAAGACTGATATAACTGGGCTAATAAGGTTAATATTGGCAGTAGCTTCTTCAGTCTCAGGCAATCAGAGTGACTTGAAAACATAGGTCAGCAAAAAGCATTACTGGAGGATTTGTATCTTTTGTTGGTAAATCTTAAAACCAGCAGCGTGATTTTAAAATAAGAGGATTCCCACACAACTATAATTTTTCCTCTGGGTGTTGTCCTCATATTTGTTTGTATACTTAGACTCCCACATCACATTGAATCAAAGCAAGTTTGACATTATTTTGTCTGTACCATAACATGTAAATCCCACATCGAGAAAAAATCTACAAAGTTTGTTTTCGCCTGTGGTTGTTGCTATTTATGTTAATTTCCCTATAATTAAAACAAAAAAAAAAGTGTACAATTTACTAAATGTTCTTTGGAGGGTGTGTCATTTTCTATTGAGCCGCCCCAACAACGAATCACAATTAAATAGGCTATAATGGGCTATAATTTCCTTTCGGATGGGCAGAATAAGACAGATGAGATATAACAGCTGCTGTGGCACTTGTGACTATCTCTAAACAGAAGCAAAAACTGGACTTTTTATGACAAGGAAAATAATATCAATATAGGGTCCATGAAAATTACAAAAGTTTGCTGGCCCCTACCTGTTAACTTGCTTGATTACGTTTTACAATGAAGACATGGCCTCAGGTAGGATGTTACAGTAGACAAGCACAGGAATGTCTACTCTAGAATTCTATCCCACCTTTCTCGTGTCTCTATAAACTACAGCAGTCCAGAGGTCAAAGGTCAAATGGAAACATGGGAAGCAGCAGGAAGAGTCTGTGGCTCTGTTCGGTCAATGTCAGGTTAGAGTGACCAGAGATTGTAGCATGAAAACAAACGGTTGGACTGATAAAACTGGCAGCTGCAACATATCACTGTTATTGTGTTGATAGCAATGGGTTGAAGAGGATACAGTAACTCCCAAATGGTGGGTTAAGAAGACTTGGGGACAACAAAATTGACTGAATATTGTGTTATTATTACAATATAATAAAATCTGAATGTTATAATGGACAGTCACTCGTCACCATTTTAGAGTATACATAGTTCAAAGTAAGTTGTTTTGTAATGAGTTAATGATGAACAACAGAGAACAGTAGCAGAAAGCATTATTGGGAAATATTAATAATTAATAATTAAACTAAAGAAAACTAAATATTATAAATTGTGTTTTGTTATATTCCAGCACAGACAGCTGTTGAGGGACCGCTTCATGGTGGAGCTGGTAGAGGGCTCTAGGAAGCTTCGTCATGTATTCTTGTTCACTGACCTCTTGCTCTGCACCAAACTGAAGAAGCAGGCTTTGGGGTGAGTCATGTTATCAACTGACCAATCACAGAGAGGTATTTACACACAGGGGATCATAGGTCAGACGAGACCCTGAGTATTTAATCAGTTCACCTTTACCTTTTATAAAAACAATCGTACACATTGTATAGGTAATTAATACTATTATATTCAAGTCACGTGCACAGTGTCAGTAGTAGTGTCGTAGTAGAAGTGTTCATTGCTAAAGGAAGGATGTTAAAACAAAGACACTGGAAGCCATTGTTGGAGAGAATGTTTTAGTTTGATGTCTCAATTTCTATAGAAAAATCTTACTCTTTTAGTTTTGTGGGGTTTGGGAAGGTTTTGTTTTGTTTTGTTTGGATTTTTGGTATGTAAAATATTAAAATTGGAGAAGAAAAAAAAAATGTGCATGATAAAATGACCTTGTCCTCAATCCGGATGAAATTGCTAATTCCCATTGTAACAGAGGAATAAGGTTAGCACTGAAACATCGGCAATGGCTTCTTAAAATAAATAGAGAATGAAGAGGGTTCCCACACAACTATAATTTTACCCTTGATGATGTTCTCATATTTGTTTGTATACTTAGACTCCCACAAGAATGTCAGTAGTAGTTAGCACTGTATATAACTGCAAGACTAATGTAATTAAAATCGCTATTTCAATGACTGCAATTAGCTAATCACATAGGTATTATCCTGTCTCCATGAGGTCTTATTCTCTACTGTAAAACATGATAACCCAGTTGTTTGGATTTTTACAAACATCCATGTAGTTCTCAAATGCTTATGCAGTCTTTGAAACATTTCATATTGAATTTTACAAAAACAAATCTAATGGTAATCCAAGTTCTTATTAGGAGATGTATTAGTGATGTTGACATTCTATTCAGTATTTTTTATCATTCCTTACCCAGGAAGGGGCAGCAGTACGATTGTAAGTGGTACATCCCATTGGCCGACCTCACATTTCAGACTCTAGAGGACTGTGAGTCAACACCCATCCCTTTGGTTCAGGACGAGGAAATTGACGCTATGAAAATCAAAATCTCCCAAATCAAGAATGACATCCAGCGAGAAAAGGTAAACACAACAGAAACAGGAACTAAAAATATCATGTGACACTTGTGTGATGCGGATGTTTGTCTAGACACCATTTGAGTAATCCTGGCCAGAGATGGAAAGATTACCTGAAATATCTATGTAATTGGTTGTTAAAAATGCTGTTCTCATGTGATATTACTGTTAAATTACTATTTAGCCCCTGACCAATTAAATGGGGTGTATTCAAATGCCTTCATCTCTGGATAAGACTGAATTCCTTTTGACTAATGAAATATCATTCATTCATTTGTATCAATATACAGTTGCATTAGATTACACCTGATTTCATTATTGTGAAAGATGTTTTAAAAATCAGATTACATACATACAAATTATATTTTAAAGGTGCACTATGGACTTTTTGGTTGGGGGTCCATCACATGCTTGTTTCTATAGATACATCATTGCTCTGCTTGGAATGTTCCATAGTATAACATTAAACAGTTCTACTTTACATTTATGTGTTTTTATAGCTCAGAAATACCTAGAAAAACAAGCATTCTGAGTGTGAGCGGGGTCGCCTCTCCACAGATCTGACCTGTAACTTGATCTGGTTTGGTCTTCATTAAGATAGAAAGGTTTAATACCATTCTGTGAAACATTCCAGACAAAGCAATAAATGGAGAAAAGGATTTGATTGACCCACCACAAAAGTTACACAGTATCCCTTTAAGAACTATAGCTGCCCTAAATTGTGGATACGGATTTTTTTTTTCTTCCATCTGATTTCACCTTTACTATTGTTTTGATTACAGAGAACAACGAAAGCCCCCAAAGTGCTGGAACGATTGAAGAAGAAGCTGTCTGAGCAGGAGTCCATGCTGCTGCTGATGTCCCCCAACATAGCATTCAGAGTGGCCAACAGGAATGGCAAGGTGGGTCCCTGATGTTTTCAATTTTATATATATTTATTGATATAATAATACAGTATATCAACTCAAGATGAACTTTATTTGAGCTTTGAATTTCAATGATTATGAAAGCGGCTTACAATAGTTGGGTATTTGTCCCACAAGTGAGTTGTGCATCTACCGCCATCTGCTGGTTATAATAACAACTTACTCACCAAAAAATTTTTATTGTCTTTTCAGGGTTTCACATTTCTCATCTCTTCTGATTATGAGAGAGCCGAGTGGAGAGAAATCATTCGAGAACAACAGAAAAAATGTGGGTGAATCTTTGGATATATTTGTCACAATCTGGTGAAAGTTTGATCTAAAACTTGACTGTTGTGTCCTGTAGGTTTTAAAAGCTTCTCTCTAACTTCTCTGGAGCTGCAAATGCTCACTAACTCCTGTGTTAAACTCCAGACAGTGCACACAGTACCAATGACAATGAGCAAAGAAGGTACATTTTGACCTTTTAATCAACAAAATTACATAACTACGAACTATAATATATATTTTTTCTTACTTCTTATTTAAAGATGATGAGTCTTCGGGTTTGTATGGCTTCCTAAATGTCATCGTCCACTCGGCATCAGGCCTCAAACAGAGTCTAAGTAAGTAATATTTAAACATAATGCAATCTATGAAATACAATAAATACAATGCATATGTACTTCCATAACAATCAGTTCTATCATCAAGGTTAAACTAAAATTAACACAATAAATATCAATACTCAGTTCCTTCTTTTAAAATGCAAAAGAATTCCAAACCATTTTCTCTGTGTACAAACTATAACCTGAGAGTTTCACAAATCCAGTGCAAATTATAAAATGAACGGGTTTACTGGATTAGGCAATACAAAAATAAATCAATATTGTACACAAAATAAACCAGCAGCAAACCAAGGATGATAAATATTATGTTCTTTGTGATACAGACATCAAACATTTGTCCAGATGCCCTTCCTTTCAAATAGACACATATGTACTGCCATAGTCAAATTTGCGATCATAATACAATAGCAGTTCAGTGTGAAGCTATATTGTTAAGCATATCCCTGGACAGGTGGCACGTGTTTTAGCCTCTATCTCTGTCTCTGTCTTTGTCCCTCTCGGTCCCTCTGTCCCTCTCTCTCTTTCGTCATCTGGGAGGGCAGCTGCTGCAGAGGGATTAGCCGGGAACACTGCGTACAAGCCACCTCAAATATGTCTTATCCAGCTCACCACACACTGGAAGCCTGCGGTTTCACTTTCTACCAGACTAACAATGGCATCATTCAATACTAGACTTAGACTTAGACTATGCTGTGGGTGTGGTAGTAGAAAGGGTGGATCTCAAAGAACACTATGAGCAAATGAAAAACTACTTTACTACTACTTTGAATGCAAGTGTTCAGTGGATTATAACATATGAAAGAATAACCCTTGCATTGTCCTGTTATTAAAAACATTGGGGTCTGTTGGACACGTTGCATACAACACAACAGTAAGAAGGACATCTGACTTAAAATTATTATCCCAAATAATAATATTCCAAATATTTGAGTGGCTGGGGGAAGTTGATATAAAAATTACAACAATGTCTGATCTTCATCCTTTGTTGTAGACCTGTACTGTTCTCTGGAGGTGGATTCATTTGGATATTTTGTGAACAAGGCCAAGACACGAGTGCACCGGGACTCAACTGAACCAAACTGGAACGAGGTGCACAACTTTATACTACTGTTTCTTTCTTTCTTTTATTTGTGTTTTTAGTAAAAACAGTATTAGCATAAACATAAAATAATACAAAATAGATATGTCTTAATAATTATGTTTGTTTAATAGGAGTTTGAGATCGAACTGGAAGGTTCCCAGACTCTGAGGCTGCTCTGTTATGAGAAATGTGGCACTAAATCAAAATTGGGCAAAGAAGATGCAGAACTCACAGAGAGAATCATTGCCAAAGGTCAAATCAAGGTAGGTTTGTCTAAAGGTCAAAGCAGGACGTCCAGGGCGCAAATCGGTGTAGGATCGCCACTGGTCACCTGGGATTTCATTTTCACTGGACTGTATAGAAACATTCACTTGTCTCTTAGAATAAAAAGGGATTTTGAGACTTTATCAAGTTGTCAGTAGATAGGTGGCACTGTAAGGGAGAATAATCACCTTTAATTAGTTGATTAAATGCATATATAACCAAATATAAACTAAAATAACATTCCCATGATAGGCAAACCTACATAAGTAATTGGTAATAAACAATAATATAGGAAATTGCATAGCTCATCTTTAAATATTCTCGGATTAACATTTAAATGCTGCTGAACAATGCCATTATGTGCTATGGAGTTTTAGGTTAATCCTGGCCCGTAGCATGTTTTCATCAGAGCCTTCATCTGATACAGTTTCATTGGGTCCAGACTGAGGTCTCACCTTTATCTTGTGACAGAGCAGGATTAGGACCTGGACTTGGACTAAAAGTGGCCCTTGGCGGTGGCCCCAAACCGTGACACATTTCAGATCTGCTTTGAGCCGGAGTGAAGAGATTTCCCAGACAGACAGGTGGCAGAGAACGAAAAGCTGTAGAGAGCATCCAAAAGTTTTTTTCACTAATGGTCATATTTTGCAAGATTTTATTCATGTTTTTATGCATCCTCACAGAAATATGTCATAAGTTTTATTTTATGCATATTTCAGTAATCCTGCTTATTTAGTCCATTTCAGCTTTCAAAGGTCAAAACACAAAAACAAAAAAGTGTTTTTAGCCAATTTTTAGAGGTCTCTTGTACAAAAACTCTACCCAAAATTTTCTTTAAAAATTGCATAATTGGTAATTGATAACCTTCTGTATTTTAGCCAGTAGATTTGCAGTTTGGATCTACTCTTAATTATGCAAATGGTTTCTTTTATATATAACCCACCTTAACACGTACTAAATCTGAATAAAGGAGAGCTCAATATAGGCCCAAGTAAACATAAGTAATAGTATAATTTTAGACACGCACAGTTTCTAACCCAGTAGTCTCACTTGGCCTTGGATGACCCTTCATTTAAGTCACAGGCTGCACCTCCTCTTTTCCTGGCTCCAAACCGTGACAAGTGTGAGCACACTGTAAGGAGGGTAGGAGGGGATTCACCGCTTAATCCTAAAATCCATTTGGGACACAACAGACAACAAGCAACATGGTCCTCCGGCTTTGTTCTGCCTTCAGTGGACGCTGAATTTATTTGAAGTTCAAAAATGGAAATATGCAACAGGGATATTATACATTTTTAAATGTTTTTGGAAGAAAGACATTTGTTTTTTTTATTTATATAAATTATTATTTCATTTGTAGCTTTTTTTTTTTGAAAATTTATTTAATTTGAACTTTTCAGAAGCTATAAAGGAGCATCGGTTTGTTGTAGATTGGTAAAGTTGAAGGTTGAATAAAAACAAGCTGGAGATTTTAAGGATGAGTGATTTTGGTCCAAATATTGAGGACAGTATGGACCAAGCCAAAATGGACCAAACCATTATGGACCAGGCCAATATGGACCAATCCAGTATGGACCAGGCCAGTATAGACCAGGCCAGTATAGACCAGGCCAGTATGGACCAGGCCAGTATAGACCAGGCCAGTATAGACCAGGCCAGTATAGACCAGGCCAGTATGGACCAGGCCAGTATGGACCAGGCCGATGGAGAGATGGAGCTGGAGAGGGACTTGATACAGAGGAAAAGCCCAAACACAGGAGCTCGATTGTGGGATAGAGTTAGAGGGACTCTCCTTAGACCCAAGGTAAAGAGAGGAGCTGTCAGTGTGTATCAAAGTACTGGCATCACATCAAATGCAATATAGATTACACAGAATATCTTTTGGGTAAAATAAGATTAAAAATAAAATAGGATCTGGATAATTTTTAATAACTTCATTTATGACAAATTACTGAGTATCTCCTCTGAAGAGTGTATAGTTATAGTAAACTTTTCAAAAACACTAAAATAAACAAAGTTTAAAATTAGAAGAATTGCTGCCACTTAAATTGTAAATAAAAGTATAGTAATGTAATTTGGATCAAGCAGTCTGTCTAACATCTATTTTTGTATTGTTTTGGGGTTTTTAAAGTTGTTTCACTGAACAAAGGATTATCTGAATGGGATTTCATGTTTTCTTTGGTAAAACAACAGCTGCCACATGGTACAAATCCAATATTATGATATTTTGACATGATGTACATAAATGTAGAGGTACGATTTGGAGATGGTGCCTTTTTTTAAAAACTATTTCATGATAATCAAATGTCACTGCAATCTTACTTACATACTGCCTTTCCAAAAAAATCTCCTAATAAATCGTTTCATTTCTATTTGTAGCTGGACCCACAGACTTTACAAAACAAAGACTGGCAAAGAACTGTTATTGCTATGAATGGGGTAAGTAATGCTTCCCTCACAAGTAACAGTTCATTGTGTAAAATGCTTAACTCTTTTAATGGATCCTTACAGATTGAGGTGAAGTTGTCAATGAAGTTCACTAGCCGAGAATTCAGCCTAAAGAGGATGCCTTCAAGGAAACAATCTGGAGTGTTTGGAGTCAAAATAAATGTGGTGACAAAGTATGAATTAAACATAAACTCTTTTAGAATTTTTACCTCTAATTGTTACTGGCTTGTTTGCAGTGGTGGAAGGTAACGAAATACAAAATCAAGCAGTCTTTTACTTCACCACCTTTGAGTCCATGTGTTTGTACTTTCTACTTCACTACATTTTAGACCTGGACTGAAAAGTAAATTGCACTTTTGTTTATGGTTTGAGACCTGATAAAAAGGCTGAGACTTATTTTTAGCACATTTGATGCGAGTTAATGTTCTAATTTTGTGCAAAACAAATACACAAAAAATTTAAGAAATCAACTGGATCACTTAAAATAAGCTATTTCTTAATCAAAATAATCAAAATAATTTTCCAGAAATAGCTGCAAAATACTTAAGTACATTTTTTCATGTGATGCTTTTAATTGAGTAACCTTTTGTACCTGTATCTGTATTTTTACTTAAGTAACAAAATTGAGTACTTCATCCACTACTGCTTGTTTCTGTCAGGAGAGAGCGATCGAAGGTTCCCCTGATCGTGCGGCAGTGTGTGGAGGAGATCGAGCGGAGAGGGATGGAGGAAGTGGGGATCTACAGAGTTTCTGGAGTCGCAACAGACATACAATCACTGAAAGCTGCATTTGACACAAGTATGTTCTTGTTTTACAATGACACATCCACAACACAAGTTTGTTAATGATGGGGATTAGACAAGATCTTGCACGATGGATTTGTCACAAGTTCGTGCACACAGGTGAAAAAGGGTTGGACTAAAAATGATAATTTATACTTATTGACATACCTGTAGTTTCAAAAAATAGTTTTTAAAATGACAGCAAAAAATATTACAAAAAATAAATCAGCAATTATGAGGTCAAAATTGTGAACCCATCAAGTTGGTCAAGTGTTGTGTTATCTTGCTTCATGAATTGCATTAATACTGAAGGTGCATTGTGTAACTTTTCTAGTGGAGAGTCCGTCAAATGCTTGTCTCCATAGAGTTCCATTAGATGAAACCAAACCAAGTTACAGATCTGTGGAGAGGCAACTCCACTCAATTTCCACTCCGTGAGAATGCCGAAGAACTGTTTAATGTCATTCAGTGGAACATACCAGGCAGAACAATGAAATATCTGTAGAAACAAGCCTGCGATGGACCCCCAAAAGTTACACAGTGCATCTTTAACATTGCATTAGCATGAAGTAGAACTGAAAGTGGTGGTAACTGAACAAGCTATAGCACACATTCTCAAGTGAGAAATGAAAATACTTTATCTACCATTATGTCCTAAATTTTCTTAGTGATCACTGTTCATATTTAGCTCATTTATTGGAGGGCTTGGTTTTTTGATGTCTTTTAATTATGGTATTTCTGTTGACATTATTACTTTTTCTCTGTAGATAATAAGGATGTGTCTTTGATGATGAGCGACATGGACGTCAATGCCATCGCTGGGACTCTCAAGTTGTATTTTCGTGAACTGCCCGAGCCTCTTTTCACTGACGAGCTCTACCCAAACTTTGCTGGAGGCATTGGTCAGTGATATATATCTTATTTTAAAATTGTGTGGAAGTTGATATACTTATTTCATTTATTTATTCGTTTTTATTTTTTCATGTAGCTCTTTCAGACAGTGTTGCCAAGGAAAGCTGCATGTTGAACTTACTGCTGTCTCTACCTGAACCCAACCTGGTCACTTTTCTCTTCATACTCGACCATTTAAAAAGGTAAAAGTAAAATATAAAATATATCAATATCCATTTTCCTATTTGTAGTACAGACATATTCATTTACCTTATAAACAATGACAAAATAGTGTGTGTGTGTTTTTTTACCTACTGTACCTATAATAAGTGTAAAAAATGAATCCCCTTTCACTATATAAATGTGTCACAAAGCATGTAGACTTAGACTTAGGCAAACTTTATTGATCTACATGGGAATTTATATGGACACAGTAGCTCACAGAATATTGTAACAACAAAGAGAAACATATGAATGGATTTGATAATAACAAAAAGAAACATGAATGGAGTTATAATGTAATGTAAAGCAATGTATATGTCAGATGAAAAAGATTATTAATAATTATAGTGAATTATAGTCAACTGTTTTCTCACATTTGTAGGATTGCTGAAAATGAGAGCATTAACAAGATGTCATTGCACAACCTGGCTACAGTTTTTGGTCCTACTTTGCTTCGGCCATCTGAGAAAGACCGTAAATCCAATAGCTCCCAGCCCATCTCCATGAATGATTGCTGGTCTTTGGAAGTCATGGCTCAGGTACCAAAAATAAAGCATGTCCAACCTGGTTTTACAGTCAAATTCATATTGAAATAATTCACTTTCTGTTTAATCTTTAAAGTGGTTATTGTTTGTAAGTAGTGTGATAGATAAAGCAATATACTACTGTAATCAGAACATATTCCATCATTCCCTGATTACCATATTATCTGCTATGGACATTGACTATGTCTTTGTGTTCAGCTCTTAACAGCAATTTTGTTATTAAGGATTTGATTAGAAACATGAACCATGATGTATTCTGGCTCTATTTTTAAATTATTAGAGCCCCATTACTGAATGATTAGATAAAAAAAAAAAACAAGACACTATACAGTATGAATATCCATGTTATTTTTCAGATTACACACATTTATAATATGGATAAATCACTGCTTGTTTTATTGATATTTTAATAGAAAACCATGTGTCTTACCAGGTTCAAGTGCTGCTGTATTTTCTGCAACTTGAGAGCATCCCAACTCCGGACAGCAAACGCCAGAGCCTTCTCTTCTCCACTGAAGTATAACAGAGAAAGTCATTTTTCCTACGATTAGCCTCGAATGTTACTGAGCTGCTGCTGGTTTACCATGAAGTTTCATTATATGTCCAGCAGAGGGAGGCAATGACATACTTTTAGTTTTGATTGGCCATCGTGTCTTTTTCTTTTTTGTTAGTTCAGTAATCTATTCTTAATCATTCCTGTTTTTATTTAAACACTTTTCTTTAAAACGTACCTTGTTCTGTCACTGTGCACATCTCTCCAAACAATGGAGGTTTGCCATTTTGCTGGTTAAGATTCTATTTTTTTCATTTTTGATGTTGAGTGAATGATTGCTTGTTGTTTTTATGGTTTGGTAAAAGCTGTGCCAATGGTTCCCTGCTGATGACCAATAGATCATTTCATTTAATCTTATGTTTACAATCTTTTAAGTTTATAAAGTGACTGAATTGTTGTAGAAGTCACTTAACATGCAGGCATGTTGAACTAAACTTTTTAACTGTTATATAATTGTGCATATGTTATTTTCCTAATTTGGTTTAGGCCAAAGAGGCTGGAGCTCCTAATAATCTGTCAATATACTGAGACAATGCCCACTGTAACATGTTTTCAGTACATTTATATTATTTTAATAATTATATATACATGTGGCCCACTGTGTTTGAATACAAAAGCTGTGGAAAGTCAGCCTTTTCCTGGGTTACAGAAATTTAAGGACCAATATAAGGGTAAAATCCCAGTGTAGATTGTTGACAAATACTTTGAAGTCTTTGATATTATGGTATTGTCCTATCACAAAATTATTCCTAGACATACAATATTATCAAATATTTTTGTTACGTAAAGCTTCTTTGTAAAGGCTTTTTTTCTTTTCTTTTTTCTCCATGACAGCGCATTAGAGAGCCTATGGTCAATATCTATGCTGTTGAAGTCATGTCTATCATTATTTTTTATTTTTTCCATTCCCTTGTATCAGTGTTACATGTACATTCCTCGAATAATATTGAAACCCTAGTACATGAACTCTGCTGTAAAAATGGAGAGATTAGTCTTATTTACAAACTGTTCCTCACTGGACTTAAAGAGCCATATCCGATGTTAGCTGGTTAGTACTGCATTTATCTTCCACAGTCTCGGTATTAGGGTAAACCTCTGTGAAAGCACATGTCACTACAAATATTCAACTTTTATTATCTGTTCAAAAGCAATAACTGTACGATCAATGTATATGTAAACGTGTAAATAAATAAGGTTATAATATAGTTTATCTGTGATTTTAATCAGTTTTAAGTTGTTTTGCATCTGTACTTCATAAACATATTTTTCGTCCGACGAAGCATTTTGGGGAGGTCAGTTAAAATAACAAATACGATTTACGATACGAATACGATACGATACAATATGATAAGAATTGAGCGATTCATGACTCAAAGAGCAAATTCAATGCAATGATCTAGCTTTATCTTTTGAAGTCTTATTTAAAGGGGCACTGAGTAACTTTTCTAGTGAAGGGTCAGCCTTTTGATTCTCTCCATGGAAATGCCATTGCTTTGCCTGAAATGTTAAACTAAAAGTTATGTACCAGTTCAGGCCAGATCTGTGGTGAGGAGCCTTCTCACAATAAGAATGCATGTTTTCCAAGGTATTTTAGAGCAATATTTAAAAAAAAAAGAGGGCAAGTATAATGTCATGCTGTGGAACATTCCAGGTCAACATTTCATGAACAGAAGCAGGTTGCAACTCCCCATCAGAAAAGTTACATAGGATTTATTCTTCATCAGATGCATGAATAGTTCATTTACAGTGTATGCTACTATGTTGGATAAATATCTGGGCAAGAACTTTGAGTAAACATCTAGGAGGTAGTAGCTGACTGTACGGAGGGCCTTGTGTGGGCACTAGTGAGTGATGCTGAGGTGATGCAAACTCAGAGGAGGCTGGCTTTCACTGAGCACAGTCGCTCATTCTGCAGCTGCCAACTCCACGGATCCCCCAGCCCAAACCAATGCTGCCTTCTCCGCGATCAACTGCAGAGAACACGCCCTTATCCACTACCGATGACGGGTTACTTGAAAAATAACCTCAAAGGAAGATAAATGGAGGGAATCGAGGTAGGACAATGTTAAAACGACTTGACAAAGCTCTGTGTTTTGCCGGTGATGCTAATGCTAAAAGACTGCGTTAGCAAGTTTAGCATTATCGAATCGTAATGACAGCTGTAGTAGTTAAACACACGAGGAAAACAAGCATATAACCAAAGTGACACTTTCGGATTTAATGTGGTAATATAATTTTAACTCGTTTATTGTAGAGTAGAGCGCAATAACTAATTTAACATTGCATTTTTTTACTACGAAGTAAATTTAACAAATGTGAAACATGTCCACCGGAAACTCCCTTTCAGAATTTTATTTTGACCTCAATTTCATATTATTTGAATGATATTTTAAAAACAGGCCGAGCGACTACAAACCTTTTTAATTGTGAATAGGTAAAATACATGCGTTTTTGCAAATTTTGGATACAAATTCAATACTTTTTCTTGTCTTTAAAATTATTTGCGCACTTTATTGTGAAAAGGATTTGCCAAACCGGAAATATGTTGGTTGACATCCAGCTAGGGGAAATGCTAACTAGCTTCGTTTATGATAGTTTAGCCTCAAATTGCCATATATGTTCGAAACAGGCTTCTAACCACAATATAGAATTTGTATGTTTTTAAGAAAGTACGTATTATAAATGTAAATAAAGTTGGGTACGTTTTATGTTTAATGTTGGCCGTACTATTGCTTTGTAGGTGTAGCCCCCAGAACAATGCATCACCATTCACCACCCCCCTTAAAGTCAACACTGTTTTTGTTGTCAGTCGTCTGTCATTGTCATTTTGCGTGCCCCAGAGAATCTGCTATGTATGCCTAAATCAGATTCCTGTCTTTTCTCTCTTAATCTCAAGTCTTTCTCGTCCTAAATATTTTAAATCAAAGGTAACCAGAGATGTGCAGAGATTTCCCAGGACTAATGATTGATGTCTGGAATGTACTGCCAAAACAAATTCCATGTCAGCTTGTATCCCAGGACCTCGAGAGCTATTCCATACCCTTGGAGTCATAATATTGGTCCTAATATCCAAAAGAGAATTTAACCTTGAACTATGTGTTTTTAACTTCTGCCTCACTTGGATATCAAGCATACTCTATAAAATAAAAACAGATACACATATAATGTATACACATATAAAACATATAAACATATATACACATATTTTAAGTATTTTGTGCTTACTTTTACTACAGTCTAGGGAGCTTGATTGCACTTCATTCATACTTACTTGCTCACATTTACAGGACACAACAGCAGTTCTCTTGTCTTAGGAATGAACTGCAGACCTTCAGGTTGGTGGGAGAATGTTCTAACCACTATCTGGTGACCATGGCTTTAAATTATCACTCAGAGTAATCAAGAACTTAATGATGATAATAGTCTATTGTAAAGTAATAAAAATTAAGCAATTATTAAATTGCCCTGCTGAAACAACTTGCCAGGAGCAGTGGGAGATTGCTGTGGTGGTTTACGTTGATGAGAGACCAGAGTACCTTGGAAAATCATTCAAATCCAGAAAGCCAAGACATAGGCCCCCGCAAGTAAGTTAAATTCTACTAGTAATATGTGAGTCCATAGTTTATTAGACCCGGCTGTCTCTCTGTTCGTTCAAAGATTGTCCTTGTGCTTACAGTCATGCTTTTACGGTATACAGTTGTTGTTTTTTTACTAGAGACGCCACAACAGGAAGCTGATGTTATGGCAAGGAAGTGCCTCCCAGCAGTTAAACCAAGAATGAGGAAGGCCAGCTTCAAGGGGCTATTTATGAAGACCCTCCTCCTAATTTTCCCAGAAGTAACTTGAAAAAAATCTTCAAGTTCTTTGGCAGCAGTTACTGTCTTTGTTCAGCTGTGTCTGTAATGAACACTGGACACATTTGTTCCTCTTGGATCTGGTCAGCCTTGGATCTGGTCCATTACATTCATCAGCAATGAAATCAAACCCCCATTTAATTTGAATTACAACAAGTGTTAGTCTCTCAGGCTCTGAAGCACTCGGATCTTTATTAGTAGGCAGTTAGCAGCCATGGACTTATTTGGGTATTTTTCTTGTTAATAGTTTTTAGTTACATGCCTTGGAACTGTTGTCATTAGTAATGGAGAAAAGGAACTTTAAAACCCTAACCCACCTAATTTACAATATGTGCAAGCAATGAGTGACTTAAGCTTTTTTGACAGTAACCTCAACTACAGGCAGATATGTCATCATGCATTAGACATGAAAGAAGACAGATGAGAGTACCCAAACTGATTGATTGATTGATTAAAATGTGAAACAGTATCTAAATTAATATTTGACAAAATCACATGCAACATTGGTAACCGTTTTGCTGACAGATTAGGACAATGTAAATGCTGTTAAAGGTAGAATTTGTAACTGTTCTGGATTGACCGCCCATTATATTCTTTTCTCTACGGAGGTGTTGCTTTGTCTGGAATGTTTCACAGTATGGTATTATTAAACCTTTCAATCTTGATAGAGATTGGGAGACCAAACCAGAGCAGATCTGTGAATCAGAATTAGGTAATAGAAACAGGTATTATATAGGTATTGAGCTATAAATAATTGAATAAATGTGAGGTAGAGCTGTTTAATGTCATACTGTGGAACATTCTGGGCAGAGCAGAGGCATATTCCTAGAAACAGGTGATGGACCCCCAGCCAAAATGTTACATACTGCACCTTTAAGTTATTCCATCTAAAAATGCCAAACAATACATGTAGATTAATTATTAACCTATTGATCCACCTATAATCTTGGTTCAAGCCAAAGACCACATGCACAAAATGATCACTGTCAAGAGTAAAATTTTGTAATCTAAACAACCTTGTTCATGCAGTTAGCTGTTCCACCTCTTACACCGCACTGAAATGGCATTGTGAGTTGACTTGCTATCTTCACTCAGAGCGTATACAGTGGGAAGAGTCAAATGGCTGACTCTGGCCTATTTAGCTGCTCTGTTGGTCTCTGGTCTATTCATCCCCTGTGAAAAGATGAGGGCTGAGCTAAAGCTGCTTCTGACATCTGCTTTGACGTTCAACTATTCACAACACTGGGGAGGATAAGGGCGCATGTGTCAGAAATGGATAAAAACACCCTTCACTTTTCTCCCATAGTGCAAATAAACTTGAGATTTACCAAGTTTGACCTACATGAGATGATCAGTGAATTCTCAGTGCTGTTTTGAAATTGGTTTAGTTCCTTTTAGTTTCCTTTCTGGTTCTTTATTCTGCTGCAGACCTGGATTAGTCTAGGTCAGGCCTTAATTAGTCCCCTGTCTACTGTGTTTTTCAACTTTTTGCTTCATATTAATTTAAAGATAGACCTGGCCAACAGAATTTCAACATTGTGCTTTCAAATAAGGTAAACCACCCCATGCCCCACTTCTGAGCCCTAACCTGCTTTTGGTAAACACTGTTTAGCGCCAGTAAATTGTGGTTATGCCATAATTACATAGTAGCTCAAATTGCCTTAAAATGAAGAGACTGTTTTGCCTTCTTTATAGGTTTTTCAAGGTGCCAGACTTAAGCGCTAAGCTAACACTACTCAAAGTCTTTATTATACTTTTCATTGTTTTTAGCTGAGATTCAGTTTTTGTCTTTGTATTTTGGTTCATTATAAGTCACAGGGCGTGGAATATTTTCAGATGTGGGCTGATCTCTTCCAGCATCTGTATCTCATTTGAAACCTTGAATCATTTTTGTTTATTTATTCAAGACACAATGATCCGAGATGGGGAGCTATGCAAACATTTGTGAGTGCACTCTCCAACTACAATTTACTCTTTCGACAATGCAAAATCAGATTTAGTTTTTAAATGCTATAAATAAATGAATGGTCCATAAACTTTTTTTGTTTCTTTACTGATCTTAACAATAAAATACGTAATCATCACCATAGCATCAATGTCTATAGTTTAGTTACTAAAGTTTTCATTAATCTGTGACACTTGAAAAACGAACTTGCTTTTTCCACTGTAAAGCTCCTTTTTGAACTATCTCTTACATTTTTTCTCCCATTTGCAAGCATTCTGAACTTTCCAAGTCTATGTTAAAGCACTTATTCCTCCAGTCCAGCTGTGCCCATAATCACTTTTCATGCTTTTTGTAGCATAAAATCAGGTTATCCAAAGACGTGGACATAAAAATCTGTGAACGAAGCACTTTATAAGGAGTTGTTATTTGCTTTTGACCACTTTAAACGCACACGAACAAGAAATGCCATTCCCAGCCAAGCTTTCAATTTATTTATATGAATCATGTGTCTCCAATTGTCAGCTCTGGCCAGATTTGGAGTTTGGCACAAGAATTTCATTAAAATGTTATTAGGCATTTTATCAAGGTCATTAGAAAAACAACAGTTTGAATTCTTGTTCATTTATAGAAGGCAGGCGATTGCATTTTTAGTTTGGCTAATGTATATTCAGTAATAGTACATTTATGTTATAGATTTACAAAAATAATCCTAATTTAAATGGTTTTATTGAACTTCTACTCTTGTCTAAACTTTTGTAAATCAGAAACACATTTTCTTTTCCATCTAGAAAATCTGAAAAAAATCTGAATCTGAAACAAAATCAGAAAATGTACTGTTTTGTTTTTATATTTTTTGCAATGAATTAGGCTTGCCAAAAGTATTGAAAATCAGATACTCATTGATGCTTATATCAAAACTAGATAGATACTAATTTGAACAAGTATTAATACTGCAAAAAAAAAAAAAAAAACACAACACAAAAACACAGACAAAATTTAAGCTTTTCTGAACAGTTTTAGTGGCATTTTGAGCTTTATCAGGGCTAGTAAGATATTATGCTAACAAAGAAAGAAGTATTATTTTGTGTATGAAAGGTACTTTCTCTTACCAATACATGATTTTTTTTCATTGTGGTATTGGACTCCGTATTGAATATTGAGTGATTATATTTCTTAGTATTGAAATTGAGTTTGTAATTTTAGTATCATGACAACGTTACAATGAATAGATCGTACATTTAGTTTCATTTAACGGTAATGGCCCACTAACATTTGTTATACTCCACTGCGCCAGAAGTAGATAAAAAAAAAAATTGGTAAAAGAAGTACTTGACTCCTCTCTGCTCCAACCACCCACAAATTCACCCCTGCATCTATGTTGGTGCAGCTGTTCTACTACTACACTGGGAGGGTACTCTGCTGCACTTTTACAAACAAACCAGCGCCCTCTAGTGGAGATATAATCATGTTTCTACTGTTTATCTTCATTCCTGAGGTTGAGGGTGGTCCATATCAACTGCCACGGAAAAAAAATAATCAGAAAAATTATGGTAAAACAACCACCAGTTACTATGGCGGAGTCTGTGGTATGTTTGTGGGACTATACACAGACTTCTCATCAAACTTTGAAATTGAACTATTGTTATGGATTTGATTTCCATTGTTTACTGTTGTTGTGTCCTTGGGCAAGACATTTCAGTCTGTGTGTATAAATCCCTTTGTGTATGTGCGTGTGATCGGTCATTGTTGTTGGGGCTCTAACAATAGGAGGGCAACCACACTTGCATCAGTCTGTCCAAGGGTACTTTTTTAGTGTTTTCTTATTCATTTATTAAACTGCAGGACTACATTCAGGCAGCCAAATTATTTTCAGTGACAAATGGAATATACATAAAATTTAATTTCCATATTGTAGGGTCTCTTTACATTTTTGTTCCTGTAAATAAATGCTTTAAAACCACTTGGGCTTTTTTCAGGCTCATCTGTGGTTTTCTTCTGTCAGACCAAAGCTGACGCATCAGAGTGGACTAGTGGTGAGATGTGAGAATACTACAGGGCTGGCCAGTCTTAAAGGTGCATTGTGTAACTTTTGTGGTGGAGGATCCGTGACATCAAATGGTTTTCTTCATGGACATTTTATTGCTTTGTCTGGAAGGTTTCACAGTGTGGCGTTGACCCTTTCTATTTTCATGGAGACCAAACCAAACCAGGTCATATCTGTGGAGAGGAAACACAGTCACAGTCAGTTAGTTATAAAACCACCGGTAATTTAATACATTAAAGGGAGAGTTATTTAATGTCATACTATGGAACATTCCAGGCAGTGATGTTGCATATCCATAGAATCAAGCAGGTGATGGACCCTCCACCTGAAATGTATACAATGCACCTTTTAAATGCAAATGGTAGTTTTAAAACTGCATTGTGCAACGTTTCGGGTGGAGGGTCCGTCACCTGCTTGTCTTCATGGGTACATTACAGGCCAGATCTGTGGAGAGGCAACCTTATCCACTGAGAGAATTATTGTATTTTTGAGCAATAGAAACACCCATGATGAATAAATGCTAGATGGATAGGTCATACCATGAAACATTCCAGGCAAAGCAATAACATCTCCATGGAGACAAACAGGTGGTGGATCCTACCCAAGAAAAGTTGCACAATGCACCTTTAAGCTCTAATTGACATATTGTAACCCACTTTAATTTAATGTATTTAAGAATGTGTTTCTTTCTTTTTAAAATAACATATAGACTTCAAATGAGTTAGAAAATGATACTAGGATTTACCCTCCCCCATGACCCATTTTCAAGACCCACCTTTTTGGGACCACTCACTGCTGCACATCCAAACGTAAAACTAAGATGTTTTTCTTATTAGTTATTTCCGATTTCATATTTTGGAAACATTTTCACAATGCCTCAACGTAAAGGTACAGGGCACACTTTTGCCACCGTCATCGTCCCAGATAAAGTTTTTGAGAAGGAAACCCCCACGTTTTCATTATTCACGTGTTGAGTGTGATCTCACTGTTTTGGGAATTGGTTTGGTGGAAAGAATCCCTCCTCTTCTTGGGAGAACTAGCTCCATCACTCTTAACTTTTCACCTCTTGAAGTGCAAATAACCTTTTCTTTTTGTGCAGATCAAGTTTTAAATGTGGCGTCGGAGGTCTCAGCATGAAGAAGTCTGTGCGTCCCGTGGCGACTAAAGCGAGCGGGGAGAGAGGAAAGGCTGAGGGAGCTGTATCCACGGGCAACGCTAAACCTGCTGCAAAAAACACTACCTTGTCTAAGGTAATGGCAATATTACTTATGTTGAAGCAAACTATAAACTATACATACTGTATAATGAAGTCATATATAAGTAGTAAACCATTATTTATTTTTTTTACACCAATGAAATATCACTTCAGCAGCCTCATTAGTGCATTTAAAGGTGTACCATGTAACTTTTTGGTTGGGGATCTGTCACCTGCTTGTTTCAGTGGATATGCTGTGCCTGGAATGTCCTACAGTATGACATTTAACATCTCTACCTTACATTTATTAAATTATAGGTGGTTTTATAGCTCAGAAAAACCTAGAAAACCCTTTATGGCCTATAAAGTAACTATAAAAATAAAAAATGTACATTCTGCTTTACATCCCCATAGTAACTGAAGGGTCACTATTCATTGGCGCAGCAATATTCTTTACCTCACGGATGGAAAACTTTATCTGCAATGATCAGCTCACATCATATTTCCAGCTTGTTTTCAATACAGGAGACTGGGAATATAGTCCTATAGTCATCTTATTTATATTTATTATTTATTTATTTTCCTAGTCTTATTTATAATGCGGCTGCAAATAATCAATACATTTTCTGTTACAGGTGAAGAGCAATGATGATCTTTTAGCAGCGATGGCCGGAGGAAATCCAGCTCCGAGTGCTGTCTCCTCTAAGACCAAACGAACCACTACCACCGGGACCATGGACAAACCAAAGACCACTTCAGGTGTTTACTTTAAAATATTACAGCCACATCTATGCATTATAGGCCTGAATGACAATAGCTGTGCTGAATGTCATGTCAAATCTCAAAATCTGTTTCAATAATCTTATAAATCCAAAGATATGTTTAATAGTCAGATTAATAATCAGGTTTTGAATATGCATGTAACCGTAGCCACTGTCTTTAGTGATATTACATATTATATTAAATTATTACATACACTGAAATTTTTAGGCCAGGGGTCTCCAACCTGTAGCTCAGGAGCTACCAGTAGCTCTCCACCCCCTTCCAAGTAGCTCGCCAAAGAATTTCTGAATTATATGTATTGCGCTTAATAATTAAAATCTGATTAATTACCATTGTAAATGTGTCATTTTAATTCCTAACTTGTGCACTAATCAATGGATAGTGGCTTATGTTTAATAGGTATCTAACTGTACCCCATCTAAATCTTGCCATAGCTTTTCTACATTCTTAAATCCTTGCGACTGCTAAAATGAGTAGTTCTCTGGATTTTCATTTTATAAAGTTAGCTCACCACATGAAAAAGGTTGGAGACACCTGATTTAGGCAGAGGAATCACAGGCTTCTCCATCTGCTATGATATGGTAAATGGTCACATTTTTATACAGCGCTTTTCCACCTTCAGGGTACTCAAAGCACTTTCAAGGAACCACTCACCCATTCACACACACATTCGTACATCGGTGTATGCAGACACGAGGGGCGAGGTGGGTTAAATGTCTTCCCGAAGGACACAACGACAGCAATCATCTGTGGGAGCTGAAATCGTGCTGCCAATCTGCGTGTCAGTGGATCTGACCTCTCAACCAATGATGTCTTTTTATGTCGAGAGTGGGATTCGAATCTTCAACCTCTGATCAGTCGACAAATGCTCTTACCAATTGAGCTAATCATACATAACAGTCGGCTTAATGGTAATTTTCTAATAGGGATATTATAAACGATGCATTAAAGATGAACCTTGGCATGTAACAGCTATAAAAAATTGCATGGCTGTACAAAAAAACGGATTGCTGGGTTTCAGATGACTTCACAACATTCTGTAGGCCAATTATATTTAATACAGATGGGGGGCAGGTCAAATGAAATATGTTCAAGTACAGATTTTTGTTGTAATATAGCATGGTCTTGGGTCTAGTCAATAACAGGAATGACCAAGTTCCATATTTGAGAATTTACCTTTTAAATACTTCATGGCAAAGCACAGTGTAATCAACAAGAAAAAACTGTCTTTTGCCCCTCAACTGGAAGTATGACGCTATCATATCCTAGAATCTGAAAACCACCAGTTGAAATTGCTGTATTTGTCTTCAGCAGGTACATCAACCAAGAGAACCACATCATCCACCTCAAAGGAGCCTAATTCTTCACGGGACCGACTGCGTACATCCAGAACCTCCACCAACAAGAAACAACAACTCGTCTCTGGGGCAACGAGCGGAGATGGTACCACAAGTAAACGGGCCAGAAGTCAAATCCTGTCCGAGTCGGAAAACCGCATGAGCAAGTCCAAGTCTGACGGGCAGATCAGTGACAAGGTGGAGCTGGAGTCCAAAGTGAAAGATCTGTTGGGATTGGCTAAAAGCAAAGATGTCGAGATACTGCATTTAAGAAGTGAGTTACGGGACATGAGAGCGCAGCTTCATTTGGGAGGCAAGGATGTACCACAACAAGAGGTTTCAGAGGAGGAGGAGAAGCCGATTGTCTCTGCCATAACAGCTGCAGATGTGGAGTCTACGCTGCTTTTATTACAAGACCAAAACCACGCCATCAGAGAGGAGCTGAATTTGTTAAAAAGTGAAAACCGGATGCTCAAAGACAGGCTGAACGCGCTGGGGTTTTCTCTGGAGCAGCGGCTGGATGGAGAGAAGCTGTTCAACTACACGTCACTGAGTCCAGACCTGGCAGCAGGGAGTGGGCAGAGTGATGGAGGAGGCACAGGTGAGATCTAGTTGTATTCTTATACTAGACGTGCTTTAGACTTAGACATGGACAAACTATATTGATCCAAAAGGGAAATTACTCGGGACACTAGGGGTGTAATGATATGATATCGTCACGGTATGAACCTCACGGTACGATATTTATTGTGATATCGTGGGAAAGCTCACGATATGGTGGGGAGGCTCATTATTAGGGATGTAACACTATCCAAATTTCTCAGTACAATATTTTCACGATATACATCTCACGGTACAATAATTATTGTGATATTTTGTGGAGGCTGTTAATATGCTACGTTTTCCTCTTAAACCAGACTTGACCAGACTTAATCCAAAGAAATAAAATTTAAAAGTGCTTAGAACAGTTATTTCTTCTTGTAGTCTACACTGAAATGGAGCAAAAGATCATGGTCTATGTAGTCTTTTTTTAGCTATTGCTGCACCATAACTCTTAATTAAGCAAAGAGACTTGTAATTCAATATTTTGTGATGGTCCACGATATTATTGTGAGAACTTTGACGATACGATATCATGATGTTTCAGTTATTGTTACATCCCTATCAGACACAGTAGCTCATACATCACGCTATAGTATAATAACAGAGAAAAAACATAAATGGTAATGATAAATTATAAATTATAAACATGTAGAGCACAAAATAGCAAAAGACGGGTGTCAAATAAGGCATAATTATATAAATGTACAAGTTAAAATAAAATAGAAATAAATAATAAAAATATCAGCTATACACAAGAGGTCGTAAGGAAAACAGTGCAAAAATGATAAGATGATTGACAGGACATAGGGTTATCCGTTCGATAATGGTGAGTTGTACTGTTCTTGTTCAGTTCTGGCTTAAAGGTGCATTGTATACATTTCTAGTGCAGTTCTGGAATGTTTCATAGTATGGCATTAAACCTTTCTATCTTCATGGAGACCAAACCAAACCAGGTTACAGTCAGATCTGTGGAGAGGTAACCCCACTCACAGTCAGACCGCCTGTTTTTTTTTTTAGGTATTTTTAGTTATAAAACCACCTGTAATTGAATAAATGTAGAGTAGAGCTGTTTAATGTCATACTGTGGAACATTCCAGGTAGAGCAGTGACACAAAGAGGTAATGACCCCCAACAAAAAAGTTACATAGTGCACCTTTGAGTTATTGATGCTGTCTTTTTGTTGTATTTTAGACATGTGTGCTTAATGAGTCTAATCTTATTCTGAAGGCTCTGCTCCTGGTTCATTGGAAGACCTCCTTACCGGACACCAACACGGTGGTTCGGCGGATAATCTGGACAGCGAATCGAGCGAGGTCTATCAGGCCGTCACCTCCAGCGATGACGCTCTTGATGCTCCCTCTGGCGCGTCCTCGTCCTCCGAATCCGAATGCGCCCCGAGTCGAGAGCGTTCCAGGAGGGGAAGCAGTGGAAATGCCAGTGAAGTGTCTGTAGCCTGTTTGACTGAGCGAATTCACCAGATGGAGGAGAACCAGCACAGCACATCGGAGGAGCTTCAAGCCACACTACAGGAGCTCGCCGATCTTCAACAAATCACACAAGAGTTGAACGGTGAAAATGAGCGACTGGGTGAGGAGAAAGTCATCCTCATGGACTCTTTATGTCAACAAAGTGACAAACTGGAACTTTACGGTAGGCAAATAGAGTATCTCCGCTCGCTTTTAGAAGAACATCACATTTCTTACGCTTTAGAGGAGGATATTAAAAGCGGCCGCTACATGGAGCTAGAACAGCGCTATGCCGATCTCGCAGACAACGCACGCTTTGAACGAGAGCAACTTTTAGGAGTCCAGCAGCATCTTTCTAACACGTTAAAAATGGCTGAGCAGGACAACGCAGAGGCACAGGAGATGATAAGCGCTTTAAAGGAAAGGAACCACCAAATGGAGAGGATTTTGGAGTCAGAGAGGCAGGATAGAGTGGCGATGGCGGCTCTTGATGAGTATAAGGCAGCTGTGAGCAATGACCAGGCTGAGCTGAGTCGGTGCAGGGGGCAGTTAGAGCATGAGAGGCAGAGGGTGGCAGAACTGTACTCTTTGCACACGGCTGAGGATAAAAATGATATCTGCCAGCTGCTGGATGGAGCCAGACTCGCCAAGGAGGAGGCAGAGGCCAAAGCTGCCAAGATGCACCAAGAGCTGGAGCAGATCCACAATGAGCTGTCGTCACTGCAAGAGACTCTCAGCAAGGTCAGTACAACATCAAGGTAATTCCCCACAATTTAGACATTACTCACATATTTCCTCATAAGACATCACACATTATAAGGTCATAGTTCTATTTAAATTATTTGTATTATTTGTATTGTATTCATAATGAGAACAGAAGTTTATTTAAAAAAAGAAATACCATGGAAGTGATGGAGTGTGAAATATTAAAACTCATAATAGTTTCAGTGTATTAGTACAGTTACAGTGCTTGATGTTCCCATGTGACATAAATTAATGCTAAAATAAGTCATCTGACCTCAATAGAAGTAGAACAAGTGTGTTTAGTTCAGGTCATTCAATTCAGTTAAGTTCACCTCCTATTTAGCTCTGCAGGGAGAAAGACCTCTTTCACTAATACCCTACATCATGCTTAATAGTTTTAATATGTCCTTTTAATAATTTGAACACTAGTTACTGCACCTCTCATGTTGTTTCTCATTTGAAAAAGATCTACTTATTATATTATGAGAGTCCGTTTATTGTTGGCATATCTCCAGAAGATACAACTACTTCCACAAACTGGTATAAAAAAATATCTCGGCATTTCAGTAGTTCAAGATATGGAGGAATTAGTGACCAAAAACATAACACCAGTTATGCAGAAAATCAGACAAATATTACAAAAATGGAAACCATTAAAACTAAAGTCAATGGGAAAAATAAATGCTGTTAATTAGCATTATTCCTAATATGCATTATTTGTAAATGATGCTGTCAATTACTTTCCCTAGGACAGTTTTCAAGCAGTGGAAAAAATAGGTGGTTAAAAAAATTTATGTGTATCAACGTATATTTTGACAGCTTACTATGTGAAATAAAAATATACTTAAAAATAAAATAAATTAAAAAAAGAAGACACATATACTTCTGTACAGTGTTATAAAGATTAAAGTATTTCCTTTGTTCTTAGCTGGACCAGGAGTACCGGGAGTTCCAGGAGCAGGCGCAGCAGCAGATCTCTGAACAGGAGCGGGCCATCGAGAAACAGAGAATGGAAATCCAAGAGAAAGACACAGAGATCGCAGACATGAAGGAAACCATCTTTGAGCTGGAGGACGAGGTGGAGCAGCATCGAGCGCTAAAGCTACATGACAATCTGATCATCACCGACCTCGAGAGTGAGTCAGGAACATGGTTTTAAAATCACCATGTTTAGTGTAGCAAGTCTGCAGGTGTGAATTTGTATTCTATGAGAGAAAAGTACTTCTAAGTTTAGTTGGTGGAAATATTAAGATGATTATTAAGATTAAGATGAATTATTGTCACTTATTTATAAGTTTTGCATTGCTTTTAAAATAAACAAAGCACTCTTAGAGTTCACATGGTCACTCACATAGAGCCTGACTGAGGCTGAATGGATGAATGGATAGAGAAAAGTAGCCTGCATGTGTTTGAACATAGAGCTCCACTAAACAGAAAAAATAAAATAAAAACTATTTAATCATTTATCGTTCTCCATAGATTGATAGATTTTCACAGACTGATTGACAATTTAATATAACTTCAAGTATAATTAATAGTATAATTAATCACCAATCCTGCACTGTTTATATAGCTACGTGAACATTTTTTTACATTGTTGTAAATCTGACATTTTCAACATCTGTGTTTTTTCCAGACTCAGTGAAGAAGCTGCAGGACCAAAAACATGACATGGAGCGAGAGATAAAGATCCTTCATCGGCGTCTAAGGGTGAGAGTTGCATTTGAACAACAAAAAATTGTCAAAAAAAGTCTAAACACAGTTTGAGGAGTTTCATCAGGCGATTAATTTCAATGAAAAACTTCAAGTAATGCCCTGTGAGTTCAGAGAAGGATCTCTCTACACCCGTCACTCCCAGTCTGCTGTGCTGCAGCCCCTGTATCAATGCAAAGATCGCCGTGGGCCCCTCTAATAATATTTTACACTGAAAGAATATGTAATGTTTTCTCCTTAGATAATATGTTAAAACAATACATTCCTGTGGGCTTAATACTAATATAAACTAATATCTTGTGTAAAGTTGATTTAGAACCCAGGTTGCTTTCTTGCTCGTTGTGTGGACAACCTTTGCCCCCAAGGTTGTCTCCCCTGAAAGCTTCTGTGGCCTCCCAGGGGTATCCAAACCCAGGAACCACTGCCCTACACAATATATGAACATAAGAATAAGAGGGACATCAAAATCATAACAATCTAATACTTCGTGGCACGTCTGTAACAGGAGGAGTCTATGGAGTGGCGTCAGTTCCAGGCTGATCTGCAGACAGCTGTGGTGATCGCTAATGACATCAAGTCTGAGGCTCAGGAGGAGATTGGGGACCTGCGGCGCCGCCTGCAGGAGACTCTGGAGAAGAACGACAAACTGAGCAAAGAGCTGGATGAGGTCAAGAGCCGCAAGTGAGTCCTATTGACAGAGAGACATGTGGGTCAGTGTGACGGGGGCAATGTAAATGATACCAGGGTGACTGAGGACAAAGATATTCACTCACTTGAAATTAGTAGCTATTTATGTCCACTGAGCTAATAGTTAAAGGTGCACGCAACCTTTCTGATCTAGGATCCGCTATCTACTTGTCTCCATCGAGATGTTAGACCTAGACTTATACAAACCTTATTGATCCACGAGGGCAATTATTTGGACACAGTAGCTCACAGCGTTTTACAATAACAAAGAGAAATGGTATAATCAATAATGATTTTAAAGAAGTAGCAGAAAAAGCAAGAGGTTGATCTTAAATAAGGCATAATTGTATATGTACAAGTAAAAATAAAATACAGATCTTGTTGCTTTGCCTGGAATGTTCCATGGTATGACATTAAAGAGATTCATCTAGCATTTAATTATTACAGGTGTTTCTATTGCTCAAAAATACAGTAATTCCTTCTGTGAATGGGGCAACTCTCCACAGATCTGAATTCTAATGTAGCATAGTGCTGTAACCTGCTTGTCTCCCTTGTAATAGATAGGTGTAGTCTATAGTGTAGAACATTCTATACAAAGCAATAACATTTCCATGGAGACAAGCAGGTGGAGGACCCTGCATTAGAAATTTGACTTAGACTTAAACAGACATTATTAATCCACAAGGGAAATTATTTGGACAAATTATTTATGCAGTGCACCTTTAGAGAAACAATGCAGAATTTAAAATACTGTCTATTCTGGGCCTGTAGTAGTTTGGTATTTTGAAGGACCATGGGGATACCAATTCATACAACATCTACTCCGTCCCTCTAACCTTTATTCAAATTCAGGAGTTTCAGTTTTCTGTTATATGCACCATTTTAAAGATTCCTTATTATAAAGCCATAATATTTTTCAGTCATTAATTGCTATGGCAACTGTCCTTATTTATCATCATTCTGAAACCCTTGGATAGGAATAGCTTAATTCTCATCACAGCTGTTAGGTCCATGTTGCTACGTGTAGGCTTCCACATTTTTTGTCCTATCCAGTCGACTTTATTTCTTATTATTACCAAAGTGCTAAACATAGAAAAAAAAAGAACTACAGTAATATAATAAAAACAATTTTGTAAAAGCAAATAAATAAAACGATACAACTGATCGATGAGAATAACTTTTTTAAAACAAGACTTTTCAAACTCACTTTTGATTGTTAAAAACCCTACAAATTTGACACTTTTGCAGGCAGGAGGAGGAGCGGGGTCGTGTGTATAACTACATGAACGCGGTGGAGAGGGACTTGGCTGCGCTCAGACAGGGCATGGGCCTGAGCAGAAGATCTTCCACCTCCTCAGAACCTTCGCCCACTGTCAAAACACTCATCAAGAGCTTCGACAGTGCCTCACAAGGTCTCTGCCTAATTCACCTTAGAAAGATGTATTACTTTTTCAGCTATGGTGTTAATTCTGACCTTTGTGTTGTGCATGCTTTTAATATTTCTGCTATATCAAAATTGTCCTTTTTGAAGTTAACATGGATTTTTAGATAATAGGCTTTTTATGTCTTGAAATATACTTACTTGTCTTGAATCCAATGTATTGATTCATCATAACTATTCATTGCATCTATTTGTACTTGTAATGGGCTACAGTCTCTGGCTTATCATGTCTTTATTGTAACACCACAGACCCATAAGTTTTAAACTGAAGATCACAGCCTAAAATGTCCTCTCTCTCTGTATTCTGGACTATCTTACACAGGTCCCTCCCCCACTGGAGCTGCTGTGGCTCCAACTGCTTCAGCTGCTCCTATGCCTCGTACACCCCTGAGCCCCAGCCCCCTGAAGACCCCCCCTGCTGCTGCCGTCTCACCCATACAGGTACAGGGTTTAAAAGGTTAAAGGTGCACTTAATTATCTTGCATTTATTGAATTACATGACATTATTGTTCAAAAAACATGCATTCTTACTGAAAGTGGGCTGCCTCTCCACTGATCTGACCTGTGACTTTGTCTGGTGGCATTATTTGCTCATCTTCATGATGATAGAACAGCTCCATAGAGACAAGCATCAGAAAAGTTACAGAGTGTCTCTAAATTACCTAAATAAATACAATCTTAATGTTGACAGGTGTACTACTGTATCAGGAAACACATTTAAGGTGTTTTGCTTTCTTAACCCGCTAATACATTACATTAACACATTACAACAATACATATTCAGTTTACTGATGAAAAATCATGGAATTCTATAGTTTATAAAATGTGAACATAATAATCATACTTATTTTGTACTTGGACAGAGACACTCTTTGACCTCATCGATGTCAGCAGCCAAACCCCTGTCTTCCATGAATGACAAGAGGAATACTTATACAGACATCTCCATGCCAGGTAAAGAACATGGGAATTGCAAAGCTTTCATTTAAATTTACTAAACTTACCACAGCTCATAAAATAGTAAGCTGTTGAACAGTTAAATTGAACAGTAGTTACAGATTTATAATCATTACAGTTGCTGGTTAACTTTCCACTTGGTGCATTTTTAACATTTACTGGTTTATGTCCTTGTACTTCTACATACGTCATTCATATGTGTGATTTTTTTAAAATGTACTCAAGGAGCATTTTGCATTCTAATTTAAAGGTGCACTGTGAAACTTTTCTGGTGGATGGTCTGTCATCTGCTTGTGTTCATGGTGGTGTTATTGCTTTGCCTGGAATGTTCCATGGTTTAACATTAAACACATTTAACTAGCATTTATTCATTACAGGTGTTGCTATTGCTTACAAATACAGTAATTCTCTCTGTGAATAGGGTTGCCACTTCACAGATCTGACCTGTAATGTAGCCTATAGTTGTCTCCCTTGAGAAAGATAGGCTTAATCTTTGAGATGATGGACCCTACACCAGAAAAGTTGCACAATGCACCTTTAAAGCTATTTTGAGGACTTCAGGTATTATGAGAAAAAAGTGGAGGTTTTTTTCTTAAAGTGCCTTTGACAGGTTGGACAACTAAACCAAAGCACAGTTAAGATCATTATATTTAAGATTTTATAAAAGATTTTTTTCCAGTTAGGCAGTTTTTTAAGTTTAACATTTTACTTGACTCTCACACTAGGGAATTCCGTAACTGTTACCGAGCAACCATGATGTACAATTACATTTATAAATACAAGTTACAAATACAAATTAAAATTTTATGAATAAAAATTTAAGAAAACCCCTTTATTTTGTTGAAATGAAGTTTAAAAGTATCAGAAAAATGTGTCTTTCATGTAAACTGTCCCAAATTTTTAGACAGAATTCACCTTAGTGTGGTGTCATCAATATGGAACCATTAACTCTCTATGTCCTGAAATTTGCAAACTATTTTTCAACTTTTCTCGGCAAATTTGCTTCTCGATAGGTGTAAAACTATAATTTATATTTACAACAGGTTTTATTCTACCAAATTAAGTAAAAAATTGAGAATTGTCAAGGCCCCTCATATCTTCTTTAAGTTCAGATGGATTCGTTCTTTTTCTAGTCATAGTGAAACGGATGTAGCGTGAACAAAAATGGGGAAAACATGCTGCCAGAGTTTCCATGCAGTTCAAGCATTGTGTGAACGTGCACATAGGGACGTAGCCTCCAAGGGTTCAGTTTATTTTGCTCTTTAATTTATTATTTCTGTGCCGCGGGACTGGGGCCTGGTGCGTCCGTCTCGGCCAGGAATGTAGCCCCTCTCTCAACCCCACATGTGCGATTTCTGAGGAAGTCCCTTATCATCGTCTGTGTTACAAACTGGAAAAACTGCTCTCCATCATGGACACTCCTGGTCAGACACTGCACCAGACTACAGAGGGACAGAAAGCTCATTCTCCAACAGGCTCCTACAGTCCGCCTAGGCCAGAGGTTGGCAGGCTTAAATACTCAAAGAGCCATTTGGACAGTTTCCCACAGATAAAAAAAACACCTGGAGCCACAAGAATCCTTTTGACATCTAAAATGATGATAACAGTGCATATAATTTTTTTACCTGTATGCTCTGTCTAAAAAAATATAGTGTGTTGAAATCAATGAAATGCTACAGAGAATATATGTCATAGGTCATATATACAACCTGCAGACGTATAATCTCTCAAAAGTTTCACATGAGCAATCTCCAACGCGATAGAAGCACAGAACAGACTCACCATCTGCAGCACATCCTCTGTCACAGAGAGAACATACATATTCCACTGAGTCGTGTCCTTTAGTCCGATAGAAGTTGACCGCATCAGGGCAGTGTGCATAGTTTATGCAAATGAGACATGTGGTTATAAGTTTTGTTTCTGTAAAACATAAACGAATGTATGCAAAGCTGCATGAAACACATTATTACTCAATGTCTATTTGAGACCTCCTTGCAGGAAATAAAAATCTAAACTATATTATCCACCCGCAGCAAACCAAAAATGCCGTCTGCTTCTGTGTTCCAGCATCATTTAATCATTTATTGCACCAGTCTCATCAGCTGTGAAAGCAAATGGACCTAAACAAACTAAAATAAAAATACATTGTAATTAAATACTCATTATTTATTTTCCAAAGTCACAGGGAGCCATAACAGAAGGATGAAAGAACCACAGAGCCACAGGTTGCTGACCCCTGTCCTAGGCTCTTACAGTCCGGTATCTCTCACTCTCAAACAGTGAGAGATACAGGACTACATTTATACCACACTCCATACAACTGTACAACAACTCACCTTTATGTAACAGATAAGCCTATTTCCTTACGACCTCTTATATATGGCTGAGATATTTTGATTACTTCTTTCTATGTTATTTTATTTTTACATGTACATATACATTTATATAATTATACCTTATTTGACACCAGTTTCTTGCTATTTTTGCTATTTGCTAAATCTAAGAAGTGCAGTGAACAATGTCAGTGGTTGTTATGTCCACAGCAGAGCATTCGTTCAGAGGAGCAGCAGCAGCCCGGCCTCAGTCTGCTCTACAGAGGGTTTCCAATATCGACTCTGCCAAAGCTATCTCAGGTTAGACATACACTTGTTTGTCCATAAGTATCTTGTTTCAACGTAATATTTTGAGACCACCCTTCATACACTTTGAAAAATGTACTGTCTCTGCTAATTCATGACAGTATTTTTTACTGTATGTCACAATAATTAGGGGTGTCCATCTTCAAAAAAGCCCTAAAACTCATCTGTTCATAACTGCCTTCAAATAATTGCATCTCATTTTTATTATTTGTTTCATCATTTGTGTTTTGTCTGTTTAAACTGTGTGAAGCGTTTTTTAGTGTCAAGAAAAGTAATATACAAGTGTTTTGTATTGTTATTATTATTATTAGTAGTCATAGTATTAATTAAAACTGTATTTTTCTTTCACATCCAAATTACTGCAGTACATTTAGTTCTTTGTAGTTATGAAACATTCACTTTAAATATATTGTGCTCCAACTATATCTACGATTAAAGCCTATTTTCCTCATCTAGATTTTGCTAATATTGATTGATCACAGTGTTGTATTTTATTTTGTTATATTAAAAATTGCTTTAAATATAAACTCTTGAACATGAACAATACATACTTTTTAATACGAAATAACATAAAAAAGTAAAATTTCTTCCTCCAAAAGCTGAACTCTGCTCCAAACCACATGCTTTTACTGACAGAGGATTGACTGTAGACCTCTCCATTAGAAAAACATAATTTTGAATCTCGATCTTGATTAAAATTTGATTAGCCCTATTTTCTACTGTATCGCCAGTGTCTAGGAGAAGCAGTGAGGAGATCAAGCGGGACATTTCAGCTCCAGATGTGGCGCCCTCTGCTGGCTTGATGACTATCAGTGCAGGCTCCTCTCCTCTGTCTCTGTCCTCCTCTTCTCCCACTGCCTCCGTCACCCCCACAGCACGCAGCCGACTCAGGTAAACCTCGGATACGCCAGTCACTGTACAGTTTTAACTTTTTGTATACTGTCAAATTTATTGTTGTATATTCTGTGGAATCACTTGTTTATATTTTTATGTAGTAGCATGACATTTACACAAGTCTCAATCTGAAGATAAACATCCCTTTAGTGCAAGGCATAAACATGGCCAATAAAAAAACATGAAAAACAGAACTGGTTCATTTTAAATGGTTTGCAGTGGTTCAAAGTTATTCACCATTTACCTTATGCATTTCAAGCATGCTAATTAATTCTCAACTTTCAGATGCCAAACTGAAGTTTTGTCGTCACTGTAAAGCTAACAACAACTAGCATGCTAACTGTGCACTTCTTGATTACCAGACAAAACAACACTTAATAATTGAAATTAGGGATCGTCATGATTAGTCGACTAATCAAACACAGCGCAACACTGGAGTTGCGGTCTCACAGTCACATGTTTGGGCTCTGGCACCTCCTGGGAGATCACTGTACCACTCAATGAGTGCATTTACATGCACATCAGTGTCCCGGTTATGGTCGGGTTTTTTGAGTATCCCGGTTTCATCATGGTGTCTGTATACACAGTATCCCAGTTACTGCAACATAAAGGCGAGACTTTTCAGTCTTTTCATCACAACAGTAGCCAAAATACATAAAGTGACCTACATAAATTAAGTGAATGTTAAATAAATGTGATGTTAAATAAAGCACAGCGCTAAACCTGCACACGTCTGATCTCTGAAAACATGAACCATCTCCAATGCAACACACACACAGAACAGACTCACCATCAGCATCATCAACATCCCGCTGTCACAGAGAGAACACTCATATTCCACTGAGTGGTGTCCTTTAGTCCGATAGAAGCTGACTGCATCAGCGAACAAGGAAAGAGCTGTTTTTCAGCGCTTATAGTTTATGCAAATGAGCCATACAGTTTTAAGTTTTGTGTGCAGAAAGCCGCATCAAACATATTATAATGTCAAACGGGCTGATGTGACTCTATAGTGGTTATGGTTTATATGTTGTAAAGTTGAGTTTATTTATGTAGATTAGTTATAGTAATAATAATGATTTAATAATAATAATAATTAATTGAATTCCCATCCCTAATTAAAATGCAGACAGTACACAGCAGACTTATTTTGACCTCAAGAGATGTTTATACAATACATCCATACTGGGGCAAGACAGATTTTGCTGATTTACATGGAAATAAATTGAGTAAAAGTTTCTTATGAAAACAGTTTTTAGTCCATTGCTGATATCTTGAGTTTCCTTATCTTAAAGATGTTGCGTAATGCTAAATACACTTGGAGTTGTGTTTCATTCATGCATGTTTTCTCCTTCTGAATAGACAAACCTGTAGAGATTTACTGTTTGTAAAAAAAACATTTGTTACATGATACATAACTGCATGTATCTTATTTGTATTCAGGGAGGAGAGAAAGGATCCACTGTCTGCTTTGGCCCGTGAATATGGAGGCTCAAAGAGGAATGCTCTGTTAAAATGGTGTCAAAAGAAAACAGAGGGATATCAGGTAAGGCCTTTATTTATGTGTCGCTCCTCACGTTAAGAGATGAATAAGCATTGTCATGACACTTTGGATTTTTCCTGGATACTGTAAACCATCCATGTATCTCCTCTCCTTCATAGTCCACTACATTACCTAAAAGTGAAGGGGTGTAACATTTCTGGTGGAGGGTATGCCACCTTTTTTTTCTGTTGAGAGATGTTATTGCTTTGCTTAGTATGTTCCACAGTATGGCATTAAAAGTCTTTTAAGCTTTGTTTCTTTAGAGGTGATTTTATAGTTCGGAAACACCTTTAAGTACAGGCACATTCTTTTGTTTCCTCGCTTCTCCACAGAACTGATCTGTGTCTTGGCCTGCTTGCCTCCATGGAGATAGATAAGTTTAATGCTGTACTGTGAAATATTCCAGGCTGACTTAAACTCTTTAAAATTTGTAGCGGTCCAAAAGTTATTCCTCACTTTCCAAAAACATTCCTAGCATCCAGATTATTCATATATATGAGGCTGAACAAATTTAACTTTACATGAAACAAAAAATCAGGTGCAAGCTCTTTTAAAGGAGCATTGCATAACTTTTCTGGTGGACCAAAACAGGCCTTGTAACAGGTCAGATTTGTGGAGAAGCACCCCCGCTAACAGTAAGAATGCCTGTTTTTCTGGTTATTTTTGAGCTATAAAACCATCTGTAATTGAATAAATGTAATGTAGATCTGTTTAATGTCATACTGTGAAACATTCTAGGCAGAGTAATGGCAGATCCATAGAAACAAGCAGGTGATGGACTCCTGACCAAAAAGTTACATTTTTAAAACACTGCCAACACATAAATGTACGCAATTCGTTTGTATTTTGTTTATACGTTTTTCAATATAAAACCAAAAATAAGAAAACAAAAAAATAACTGTTTTCTTCATTATTTGTCTCCTAAACCAAAATGAAAAAAACGGATAATGATTCGATTTTTAATTTTTCGATTTTGTATTTAAATGAATAATGAAAAAAAACGGATAACGATTGTTTCCCGTTTTCATGACTTAAACTGCGATGCCGGACTTTTGCTCCAAATACAGACGGCACCAGGACTAAACCAGGACTAAACCAGGACTAAACCAGGACTAAACCAGGACTAAACCAGGACTAAAACGTGACTACAACAGGACTAAAACGTGACTACAATGTGACTACAACAGGACTAAAACAGGACTAAAACAAAACTCTAAAAAGCTCTAAACCAGAATTAACCAAGGTCTCAGTCCTGGTCTCAGTCCCAATCTGGTCCCGGGACCAGGACCGGACCAGCACCAGGACTAGGACCAGGAGCGGGATTGAGCCCGGGGCTGAGAGTAGGACTCAGACCAGTTTAGACCTGGTTTAAAACTGGTTTAGACCTGCTTCAGTCCTGGTTCAATCGCAGTTTAAGTCACAGAAACGGAAACCCGTTTTTTCCATTATTGATTTAAACACAAAATCGAAAAATGAAAAACAAATTGTTATCCATTTTTTCATTTTGGTTTTGGAGACAAATAAAGAAGAAAACAGTTGTTTTTTTGTTTTCTTATTTTTGGTTTTATATTGAAAAATGAATGAATGAATCATACATGGATTGTACTCCACCATTTGATTCATCTTCTCATTCTGCCTCTTCAAAGCTTTTGGATATTTGGAGGTGGGGGTGTTTCATTGTTCAAATTTAAGGCTTACTCGATCACCATTAAATAATTACAATTTTACACGTACGCAACCACACATAAACAGTATAATTTATTCTTTGTTTAGATGACTTAAGTCAGTTCATGGTCAGATGTGAGTTTTCTGTTCCTGGATTTCCTCTATCATAGATTTATGGCCCTCCTTGCCCTCCATCTGATATTTTGACGTCACCAAATTCTTGTATAAGCTTTGTTTCTACTCTTAAGTGCTTTCTAGCTACATCTCTGCAAATAAACAGCTATAATTTCAGCCGTGAGTCGTAGATTTGTTTAATGATCATTTGAACTACAGGGTCTTGTGAGGCCAGGGCTTGTCTTTTCCTTTGTAGCTGGATGAATTTCTTGCAAAGATGTTGCTCAAGGATTGTGTGTACTTTGGCACAGAGCCCGTTCTTGTGAAAGTGAAAAGATGTTTGTAATTAAAACTATGAAGCAGCGCCAAATGTCTGTGAAAGAATGGCTTCATTAGTAAAACGGTTATACACCGTTTATTTGCATAGGTTTACATAACATTTTAAAGAGTAACAAAAGACTATTTCAGATCAGATAAAATGTCAACGTGGTCTATTTCTTAGTCTGTTTCCTTGAGCGATATTTGATCCTGTTAACCTCTGGTTGTAAGGCATACTGACAGTCTCACTATTGTAAGTAGGAGTATCTTATAGTACTCTTATTTGCTCCCATTGCCTCATATTCTTTCATCGATCACTTTCAGGAAACATGATGCAATAACCTTACTCCACTGACCCGAAAATAAATGTCTCTGCGGTCAAATTATAGCTCTTTAAATATACAGAGTTTGTAGTTTCCATGGCACCATAATCCCTTTTTAGGAAGTATGCTACATTTAACACGTATGGCATGTGAAAAACAACCAAAGCAACATGTAGACCACATTTGACAAGCTAGAAGTGTGGGGTAGGAGTTGTGATCACTGGCTACGTTTTGCTTCGTAGATCAGTGGGATACAATGTTGAAAGTTGGGCATAATAGTGCCCAGCATTCTCACCGTTAGAATCATTACTTCCTGTATTCCTTTTATCTCGATGTGGCTTTTGCTGAGTCGCGTTAAAATGAATGAATACAATATTGAAAGACAACGCATAGAACAGGGAGCTGAGGGTGGATGTTAAAAAGTACACAATTAAAACGAATACTTCAGCGGAAGGCACTTCTGTACTTAGAAATGGAGATGTATGTGTCTCAACGCTTACGATAATGGTAATAAATACTCTAAAAAGTACACAAACTGAACTACTCTGCATATAAAAATTAGTTCATCATCAGGTCATCTTTATTTTAATCAATCAGAATTTTAATAGATTGTTTCTTTTATGTTTTACGTTTTAAGCTTTCAGAAACAGTGAGTTGGCTTGTAAGTAGGAAGCTGTGCAGGTGCTGCTTTCTGTATGTTTTATTGGGTTCAGCAGTTGGTGGATTTATAGTGACAGTAATGATGTTAAAAGCCCATAATAGTGACAGTGATATATAGTGACAGTGATATATATATACATTTACAAGAGTTCTCAGTGGAGCAGCAAGTTCATCGTGATCAAAATAAAAATTCTCAATTTTACGCTGCTTGCTCACAAAAATAACAAAATATTCAGTCTCCATGAGGTCTCATTATTTGTATAAATGTTCTGAAATGCATTTGATTCTTGTATTAGTTGGAGGTAATATGTCTTTTCTTGTACTGTATTGCTGTTTTAGATGCGTTAGACCACAATTTTGAATCAACAAACAAGGTATTAAAGCTGTCATTTGGATATGAGCAATAATATTCAAGTATTGCTTGTTTATTTATTCCAGAACATTGACATTACAAACTTCAGCAGCAGTTGGAATGACGGGTTAGCCTTCTGTGCAGTTCTCCACACTTATCTGCCCGCTCACATCCCCTACCAGGAGCTCACCAGCCAGGACAAGGCAAGTGATTTTACGTTTAGTACATGCACACTTTTGACTGGTATAACCTCTTTTCCATTGGTTCACTGTGTATGTGTATCCTAACATATATTTAATTTTTGCAGAGGAGAAACTTCACATTAGCTTTCCAGGCTGCTGAGAGTGTTGGGATCAAATGCACTTTGGTAAGATTTATCACGTGTTTGAGGAGTCAGTGTAAATCCCTCAGTTTGAAGTGTGGAGGACTGTTACATGCTTATGAATCTGGGTCACTGTACTGGACAGCAGATGTCAGCTACAGACGTCTGACCTTTTACTTTTATGGTATGGAGCTATTATATGAATTATAGCCTATATACACCTGCTATATTGTGCAGTGAGTGAAGGATCAATAGAGAAACAGGAACTTTCGAAGAAGCTGCATGAAACGAAGCACAATCATGATTTAAAGTTCCATGGAATTGTATACTGTATGACATTTTTCCTGCCATTCAAAAATTATGGGTAGTCTGTTCAGTTGGTATCTTTTTTGTTGATGAAGATACACTATCGGTCAAAAGTGTTAGAACACCACACTTTTTCCAGTTTTACTTCTTAACTAAAATGTATTCTAAAATTTTAATTCATGAATGTAGCCACCTTTGGCAGATATAACAGCTGCACTGAAAAAACAATATCCAGTTAAGTTAAAATTACTTAAATTAAGAACATTTTACTTTATTTGAGTAAATTCAGTTTGACAAGTAAAATGTTCTACCAGTTAAATGAGTGTGTTTTTCTTAAATCAAGCAACATTTGATTTTGTTTCTTATTTTAAGTGCAAAGAGTTGTTGTTTTTTCTTATTTTAAGTGTAGCAAAATGTATTTTCATATTTTAAGTACAACAAATCTTATTCCACTGGCAGATAATTTTACTTGTCAAGTGAAATTTACTGAAATCATGATAAAACTTTCTTAATTTAAGTCCTAACTTAACCTAGCTAGATTTAGTTTTTTGCAGTGTGAACACACTCGTGGCTCGTTCTCTTTACAATATAAATCAACTATTCTTCAGAAACTTCTTCCCAAGTCTGTTGCAGAAGTTCCGTAAATGTGTGGCACTTGTAGGTTGCTTGGCTTTCACTCTTCTGTCTCGTTCATCCCAAACCAGCTCGATGGGGTTTAAGTCTGGAGACTGTGCTGGACACTCTGTTTTCAAGCTTTACCATCTTTTTTTTTTTTTTCCTGAGAGCTTGGACTTGTGTTTTGTTTTCTTTTATCTTTTTTTTTTTAACCTCTGGCTATTCAGTACTTACCTTTGTACCATTTCAAGCTCTTCATTGGACTTGCACAACTTGAATTGCAATAAATAATTGCAATGAAAATTAGGGTGTTCTAAAACTTGTAGTGTATGTTTGTATGTTATTATTTACAATCACATTATTTCATTGTGGGTAGTTCAGATGCTCACTGTTATTAGATGAAAGGTTGTACAAAGCAATTATATTAAGTATGTATAACATAATAAAGTATAGTAATTCTACACTCCTATTTAGTGATTGGCTCTAAATTTCTAAACATGCTGTTTTGTTCTCTTTCCCAGGACCTTAATGAAATGGTGCACACGGAGCGGCCAGACTGGCAGAGTGTCATGACCTACGTTACGGCCATCTACAAATACTTCGAAACTTGACTTCTAAAAATCTGACCAATCATAATTCATCACCACAACCTGCAGTTTTACCTCACAAGACCTAAATTTCTCCACAGTTACAGTCTCATTTCTTCATTTCAAAATGGACTTGAACTTTACTTCGAACAACACTAAAGAGGGAGGACAGGCACTCTCCCAAAGCTACACTTGCTGAGTCTATAAGGGCTTTTTATCTTGTATGTCTATGCTGTTACACTGGTAAGGCACAATCGCTATATGCCTGCAAATACAATAGCATACAAGACCATCTGTACATGAATTAGGTAAAAATAGTGCCTTTTATAGCCTTGTAGTTTTTGCTTATTAATATATTTAATTTTGTGTCTTTTATTTAGTTGTGAATATTTGGTTATGAGCCAGAAACCAAATGTTTGATTCTAGGCTAGGCATAGCGAACCATCTGCCTTATAGCATGTATAGTATTACGTCAGATGCCCTTCCTGAAACCATTACACTTAACCAGGAGCTGGCACAAAGGGTACACTGGCTTGTTTCTGGATTAAATCTGAAATGAAGTCAAATTTCAAGGAGCTAGAGTAGCCATTTGTACCATGCACACTTGCCTCAACATTATTGAAATAAGTGCCTGTTTTAAGACCAGGAGGTGACTTTACACTACAAGTTACTAAGCTTAAAATAATAGTTGCCAAAATCTTTAGTATTATGAATTTCCTTCCACAGAGAATTGAGAATGAATACATGCTATACATCTGCATTAGAAGCACATTTTGTAACTCAAATTTTCTATTTGCATTTAATTTTAAAATCGAAAATTGAGCACATAATCACATCATTTATTAATTTGACCAAAATGTATTAATTTGTCAAGAGCTTAAATTAGGTTGGACATACATACACTGTACAATCTTCAATATAGGTCAATAGCTACAAAAGCAAACGTCACATTGCAGTTTTTTGTCTTGTTTTTTTTTTTTTCTAAATTGCAGTATGAGTAAGATTCTGATTGTGCCAATGACTTAATATGTGTTTCCTTTGACTCTACTCCTTTTCAGTAGTTAGCCTGGTCAGCCAAACCCATCGCCCTAAAAACATCTGCAGTCTCTTCATAGCTATTTACTCTTCGGTCAACCAATGCCATACATCGAAAAAGGGCTGTTATTCTGCATATTGTTTGTCTGTATGCCTTCCCAATTGAGAAGCTAATCATTTTCGGTATACCCTCTTAAAATCACTTAGATTGATCTGTAAATAATGTAAAAATAATATTATCTTGGCTGACCAAGCTACCTGAAATCCTACAGTTTTTTGTGACTGTTTTGTGTGCCTCGCTCTACCAATATCACTGTATTTATTTGCATGATTTCAGCTCTTTTTTGCATTTCACATGAAGTAGCTGCACTGAGATAAGCTGTTTTAATGCCATTTATTTCTTGCCTTAATAGTCAGAAATACTGTGATAGTCTTGTGTGAATGTGTGGATCTGATTTTGAAACTTCTCTTGGCTAGGACAATGAATATTTTTTCCAACTGTCCATCATCATCCACGGATTGACTATATCTTACTTAAAAATGGTACTAAAATACTAAATCATGACATATTTCACACTTTGGTTAGAGTTGCTGGCTGTTGCCAACGTAAAACTTCTGTGAAGAACATCACCTCTGTGTTGCTACCCAGTCTGCAAAACTTTGTTTCCTGTGCGTAGGTGTATCTTACCGCACAATTTATCATGACATTTGAGTAGATATGATTGTTACTGCCCAATCCTAATTCACTTTCAACATTCACAACCTGATGGAAGGTTGGATATTTTTTTATATATATTTTTGTTTTGTTCATTGTTTTATTTCATGGCTATGTTGAAAATCTGTGACAGCTACCAATTTTCTTTTCTATTTGTTAAGGCATAGTCATGTTTCCCTGCATTGTATGTCAAACAATGTATTGAGTTAAACTGAATCAAAACTATTTACTTTTGTTGCCAGATAATTATTGCATTCCCTTCTTTACAGTGTTCAATTTCGTTTTATTTACTTGAACACAATGATAGCTTAATTCAACTAAAATGTGTTTGTTTTCATCTCAAACGATTATTCAAAGAAAACCGTCATATGCTCTCATTACATACACTATGCAGCACTGAACAGGCTAACCGAATATGTTTGTGTGTGTGTTTATACTTACGGGACTAAGCTACAGTATTAGTTGGATTTTTTGATGATAATCAGTTAAAATGCTGTATGGTCTTGATGCTTTATTTTCTCGTCACACTTATAAAGGACCATTGGAAACGCTGTGGCTGCTTTCATTCTTTTTTGTTATTTTCTTTTAAGGTAAATGTCTGTATGGATGTTAATTGGGCAAATTACTACAGCAAAAGTAACACAATCATCGATTTTATACCGAAATCCTACTAATTTGGATAAATGGCAACTTCCCAGTTTTTGAATTCCCAGTTTTTTTTTGATGGAGGGTCTGCTTGTCTCCTTGGATATGTCATTGCTTTGTCTAGATTGTAAAATGCTCTATCTCCATGGAGACGAGAAGGTGGCACAATCAGGCCAACTTACGGGTGAGGTCTGTGGAGAGGAGACCCAGACCTGCTCACAGTAAGAATAAGTATTTTGAAAGTATTTCTTTAGCATTACAAACATGCAATTCAGTTAATGCATGAAAGATAAGTTAAATGTCATTGTGGTGAATATTCCTGCCAAAAAAAATAACATCTCCAAACCAGACCCTATCCCCCAGAAAAAAAATACATAGTGCAGCTTTAAGTTAACAGTTGGAATAGTAAATAATTTCACCTTTTTCTATTTATCCTCAATTATTTATTAACCAGTAAAAGATTATACTCAAGTAAAAGTGAAAGTATTACATGAAAAAATCTACTTAAGTAAAACTATTGAAGTACCTGCTTAAAAATGTGCTTTAAGTAAGAGTAAAAAGTACTTTGCAGTGATTTTTAGAACTTTTAAAGCATCAAATGTGGTGATTTTGATAAAGAATTTAGCTGATTTTAAGTGATTCAATTGAGTTCTTAATTTTTCCAGCTCTTTTTGCGTTTTTGTGTACAGTATTTGGTTTGCTTGAAGTTGGGACGTTAACTGAAATTAAATGTGCTAAAAAATCTCAAACCAAAAGAAAGGTACTTTTTTACTTTTCAGTTCAGATCAAAAATGTAATGGAGTAGAAAGTACAAATACATGCTCTCAAATGCAGTGAATTGAAAGTAAAAGTATCTGCTGTAAAATTTGCTTAAGTAAAGTACAGATACCTAAAAATTGTACTTAAAGGTGCATTACATAACATTTGGTGTAGGGTCAGTCAAATGCTTTTCTCCATGGAAATATTATTGCTTTGTGTGGAATGTTCTGCAGTCTGATATTAAACAGCTCTACCTTATATTTATTAAATTACACACAGCAAAAAGTGGGTGTTAAAACTGACTCTCACAGATGGAATTTTAACACTTTCTCAGGGTTTATATGAGTCCAATCTGTTCTAGAGTTAATTTAACATTTCAGGAAATGTTAATTAAGTAACACTGGACCAAAGTTCCTGTTTAACCCCGAAATCAAGAGCTATATTAACATTTTGATAGTAAACGGGTAACACTTTGTAAGGTTATCCTGATTTAGCTAAACAACTCACAGAGGTGTTTCATTTTTACACTTCATTCATTCAAGATAAAATATTATGTACAAAACTGGTTCAAACTTGTTCTTCTCTCGTGGGAGTTTGATGTGGTGGGTGGGAGGTGCCAAATTAACACTAGGGGAAGTTGAATTAACCATATCACGTCTGGCAAATGACTTCAACTTGAACCCCCATTTAACTTTCAAATAGTTAAAATAACACTTTTTGTTCAGTTCAATTCAAGTTTATTTATATAGCACATTTAAACAACTTCAGCTGAACAAAGTGCTTCACATACAACTCAACAAAATAGAAAAAAAAAACTGTTACATATACATATATACAGATAACAAGTGAAAACTACAATAAAAACACCAAGATAACCTGACTAGCTAGTATGAAACGCCAGGGAGAAGAGGTTTGTGTTAAAAATAACTAATTTTAACCCTCCAGTTTTTGCTATGCAGGTGGTTTTATAGCTCAATACTACCTAGAAAACAAACATTCTGATTGTGAGCGGGGTCGCCTCTCCACAGATCTGACCTGTAACTTGGTCTGGTTTGGTCTCCATAAAGACAGAAATGTTTAATAGTATACTGTGAAACATTTCAAAGCAAGAATATCTCCATGGAGAAAAGCATTTAATTAACACTCCACCAGAAAAGTTACACAATGAACCTTTAAGTATTATAAGTATTTTTACCTTTGTACTTCGTTACCTTCCACCACTGTTATTTACGTGATCTATATTATACTATCTTCTGTCATTATGTATTTATAGATATATATTTTTTTCTATATTGTCCCGCCCATTACGTGATGTGAGGATGTTAGGGGCGTGCGCAGGCGAAAGTTTCACCAGTCAGAACAGAAGCACCGGGAGAACTTTGGGTTAGAAAGGGGCATTACTCAAGATTTTAGCAAATTAATTTATTTGAATACTCTTTGTTTTTTGCATTTTAGACCTTAAATTTACGTTTGCAGTGTGCAGACGCGCCGAGGGGACAGACAGACGCACGCGCTTCCTAGCTTGAACTGGAGAATTAAGGTGAGTATTACAACTAGCTAATTCTGTTCAAAGTTATTTTTAGGTGCAATTTCATAATATTTAAGAAGATTAAAACAATTGGAACGGGCTATGTTGAAAAAGCTAATCAATAGAGCTGTGCCAAACCGCCAATGGTGCCCTCATGTTATAAAGCAGGTGTCGTTACAGTGAGATTTTTTTAATTTCTCTTTTTTTCTTTTCATTATTTTTTATTTATTTATTGGATAACGATGATCATTATTATTAATGACTAAATTGAAAGTAGCTAATCTAAATTTATCTCTACCTATTGTAGAGAAAAAATCTTAAAATCTGTCCCTAAAGCAACATCATGTGCCTCCGCCTGTTCAGGATGTGCAACCAGGATGTGACCACATCACCTAACCCCAACCCCAACCTATAACTAAAACCACAATGTGAAGAACATTACACCATGTTTCCTATTACTTTATTATTTTAAAACACGGTGACATGTTTTTTAGGTGCACTGTGTGACTTTGTTTCTATGGCCGCTATGCTATGCCACTGTTCTGCCTGGAATATTCCACAGTATGACATTAAACAGCTCCTACAAGTGGTTTTATAGCTCAGAAATACTTAGAAAAACAGGCGTTCTGACTGTGAGCAGCGTTGCCTCTCCACATATCTGACCTATACCTTGGTCTGGTTTGGTCTCAATGAAGAGAGAAAGGTTTAATACCACACTGTGAAAAAGTTTTCGACAAAGCAGTAACATCACGGAGAAAAACAGTTAACGGACGCTCCACCAGAAAAGTTACACAGCGCACCTTTAAAAGTCCACTATGTAATAATATTATATTTATATTATATTATATTTATGTATTTATTTTGGGCAAGTAGAGATTTACATTCTTATACAATGCTTTTAAATATGCATTTAACATAAGTGAAATGACAATAGAAATAATCACAATAGAAATAAAAATAACCACAACAAAAAAATTTCCAAAAATTTGTGGGAAGAAGAAAACTTATTTTATCCCACCCCACTCATCATCTACTTGTCTCCATAGAAATGTTATTGCTTTGCCTGAGATGTTTTACAGTATGGTGTGTAACTTACGTATCATGTAGCCTATTTATGTAAAGGTGCACTTTGTAACTTTTTGGTTGGGGGTTCATCACTTGCTTGTTTCTATGTCACTGCTCTGCCTGGAATGTTTCACAGTATGACATTAAACAGCTCTACCTTACATTTATTCAATTGCAGGTCATTTTTCTACTCAAAAATACAGGAATTTTAACTGTGAGTATGTCGCTTCTCCACAGATCTAACTTGACATTTGGTTTGGTTTGGTCTCCATGAAGATAGAAAGGTTTAATACCATACTGTGAAACATTCCAGACAAAGCAATAATAACATCTCCATGGAGAAAATCTTTTGATGGGCCCTCCATTAGAAAAGTTACATAATGCACCCTTAACTGTGCAATTTTATGGCTTTAAAAAAAAAAAAAGACTTCAAGACTTGTATTCTTGCTGTGAGTGGGATCACCTCGCCATAGATCTCACATGTATCTTGTAGGGATGTAACAATAACCAAAATATCGTATCATCAAAAGTCTCACAATAATATCGTGGACTGTCACAATATATCGAATCACAAGTTCCTTTACTTAAATGCGTGGTTTTACAGTAGTAACAGCTTATGAACATCGAAAACTACATATCCCATAATTCATTTCAGTGCAGACAACATGAAAAGATATGTTTTTTACTTGAATTCTTGGCATTATGATGGTAATAATTCACACCAAAATCTTGTCAAGGTATTTAAAAACAGAAATGCGTCTTATCTAGAATTATATTAGCCTGTCCAAAATATTGCAGTAAATATCGTACCGAGAGATTTGGAAATCGTTACATCCCTAGTATCATCTTAGAGATACTGTGGAACATTCCAGGCTCCATGGAGACAAACAAGTTACATTATACCCCTTGAATCTGTATTTATTCAAGTTCATTTGTTCGGTTTTCTTTTTAAAAAAATATTCAAAGCCAACTTTCATGGAATGGATCAAGAGAAAAGGAAGAGCTAATATTCTCTTACAAGTCTACAGGTTTACTGGCAGAAAAGTTTGCATAAATGAGCAAAATAGTAAAATAGTGTTAATGTTTTGTACACAAGTCAATGTTAGCCTTGTATTTTTGTTGGATGCTTTAGATCACTTTCAAAACCAGTTTGTACAGTGCTGCGTAGCTGTAACGTTAGACAGTGATATGACACCTTAGAAAGACAAAAAAAAGTTAAACAAAAGTTCCTGTGTGTTTAATATAAGCAGTAATAAAAGGGTCTCATATGACCCCCGCGGGAGCATCTTGACCCGGTGCACAGACCTCCATGTGTGTCCTCTGGCTGAGAAACTGTGGAAATAAACAGTACTTCCTAGAAACAAATTTTACAGCCGATTATGATGCGTGGGCACAATGAATAATGTAGAGTAGTGACACTCCCGGGGTTTACAGACGCAGATCCTGTGGTTGAGTCTAGACAAATGATGTGCGTTGTACGTGCATACTGGGGAAACTGAGAAATGGGGGTTCTACAGAGATTACTGTTACTTCGAAATATTTAGAGCTCAGGGGGAGGCAGGTGGTTTTAAGAAGAAGAATACTAGACACCTTGACTGCATCTGATAAGGGGAGATATTTTGTTACTAGAGCCAAATTTCAACCTTATCAATAGGAAAAAAGCAACAGCTAAAGTGATATAAAAGTGGTTTAAGGTAATAATAATGATTCTATTTGAGGTCTTTATAGTGTTGTCACATTTCAAACTTGATTTCTATATTAATGAATTGACTTTATACTCAATATCTCCTCTTTAATACCACAGTGATAGTAAGAAACAATCTTTAGTAGGGATGTAACAATAACCGAAATATGGTGATATCGTATCGTCAAAGTTCTCTCAATAATATCGTGGACCATCACATCACATCATATATCAAATTACAAGTCTCTTTGCTTAAATGCATGGCTTTATAGTAGCAACAGCTTATAAACACCGGAAACTACATATCCCATGATTCATTTCATTGCAGACAACATGAAGAAATATGTTTTTTACTTGAATTCTTAGGATTATGACGGAAATAATTCACAACAAAATCTTGTCAAGGTATTTTAAAAGTTTAAAGAGTTATGTTACAGCAACAGAGGGAACTACATAGACCATGATCCTTTGTTCCTACTGAAAGAAGAAATAGTTCTAAGCACTTTTAAGATTTAGTTCTTTGGATTAAGTCTTGTCAAGGCATTTTAAGAAGAAAAAGTAGCATATTAACAGTTTTGTTAGCCTCCACAAAACATCCATCCATTTTCGTCCGCTTATCTGGGGCCGGGTCGCGGGGGCAGCAGCCTAAGCAGGGACTCCCAGACTTCCTTCACCCCAGACACGTCCTCCAGCGTGTCCTGGGTCTTCCCCGGGGCCTCCTCCCGGTGGGACATGCCCGGAACACCTCCCGAGGGAGGCGCCCAGGAGGCATCCGAAACAGATGCCCGAGCCACCTCAGCTGGCTCCTCTCGACGTGGAGGAGCAGCGGCTCTACTCCGAGCTCCTCCCGTGTGAATGAGCTCCTCACCCTATCTCTAAGGGAGCGCCCAGCCACCCTGCGGAGGAAACCCATTTCAAGCGCTTGTATCCGTGATCTCGTCCTTTTGGTCACTACCCAGAGCTCATGACCATAGGTGAGAGTAGGAACGAAGACTGACCGGTAAATCGAGAGCTTTGCCTTTTGGCTCAGCTCCCTCTTCACCACAACGGTCCAATACAGCGACCGCATCACTGCCGAAGCTGCACCGATCCGCCTGTCAATCTCACGTTCCGTCCTTCCCTCACTCGTGAACAAGACCCCGAGATACTTGAACTCCTCCACTTGAGGCAAAGACTCTCCACCCACCCGGAGAGGGCAAGCCACCTTTTTCCGGTCGAGAACCATGGCCTCAGACTTAGAAGAGCTGATCTTAATCCCAGCCGCTTCACACTCGGCTGCAAACCGCCCCAGTGCACATTGCAGGTCCTGGTTCGATGAAGCCAACAGGACAACATCATCCGCAAACAGCAGAGATGAGATCCTGTGGTCCCCAAACCGGACCCCCTCCGGCCCCTGACTGCGCCTAGAAATTCTGTCCATAAATACAATGAACAGAACAGAACTTAATAAATATCATACCGTGAGATGTATATTGTGAAAATATTGTACCGAAAGATTTGGATATTGTTACTTCCCTAATCGTGAGCCTCCCCACCATATCATGAGCTTTTCTACGATATTGCAATAAATATCGTACCGTGAGGTTCATACTGTGATGATATTGTATCATGAGACTTGGAAATTGTTACACACCTACTCTTTATACAATAAAATGTGATTTTCAACATTAAATCATAGTAATTCTTTTATATTACCATGTGGCTTTATATCTGTGTAATCCCTCAGTGGTCCAGGTAGGTTCCATAGTGGTCCATTGGCATATGCTAGTGTGTTTGGTCTTGTACTTGTTCTGATACAGTTCAAGATAATTCTAAAGCTATTCAGGAAAGGTTAAGTTCTGTGAATGTGATAGTTGTAGTATCGATTAGTATCTGATTTTTGATACTTTTGACAACCCTATACACCTTAATATTTGATGATATTACTAAAAATACACAAGAACCAATATTTTTACAGTTAAACAAAGTCAACACTAGAAATTGTCACAAAAGACTTGGACAAAAGGTCTTTCTCACAGTAGTGTAAGCTACTATTAATGTTTTTCATCGAAGCACACATTTTGTGAATGCTGATCTCTCTCGTTCTGTCTTACAACAGGTGGTTCATGTTCAGAAGTAAACCCAATTGAGTAACCCTAATTTGTTTACTGGTGAACACTTGAAGAGAGGAAGGGACATGCACGAAGTCTGTTTACAAAGGCTTGTCTGGAAACCCTATACATACCGTGGACTGTGATGCTTTTAGAATGTAATCTAATCTACTCTCAACATGTTTTTTTTCTTGCAAAATTATTTTTTATATTCCAAGTGCCATCTTTTAAATATTCCAAAATATCCTGTATAGTTTAAAGCAGGTTTAGGCCAGTATAAACCTTTTTTGTCCCACCCCAGAGGAAATTACAGTGTGCAATACAAAGTTCAAGAACAGCAGCAGAACATGGAATCTAAATCAACATAAATAACTATAAGGATTTACCAATATACATCAAATTGAACAACACTGTCCCAGGAGTTTAAAGCTGTAATGAATGTTCAGTAAGTGGCTATTACTGTGTTTATCTACAGTGCAACATATGGACATGTTAAGTATATAAATAGTTGGTAAAGGACTTAAATTGTGCCAGTAATGATTCATAAACTCAAAAGAAATGCAAGCCTAAACTAGAATAGAATATGATGTCATTGCTGCTCATAATCTTCTTGCACTGTCTTGGGTTCCTAGAATTGAATAAACTAAAATCTAAAATTTAAATTAAAGCATTGGTGGATGATCTGTCAAATGCATTTCTCCGTCAATCAGACCAAGTTTCAGGTCAGATCTGTGGAGAGGCTCAGTCAGAATGCCTGTTTTTTGAGATATTTTTGAGCTATAAAACCGCCTCTAATCGAATAAATGTAAGGTGAAACTGTTTATACTGTGGAGCATTCTAGACAGCAATGACATCTCCATAGAAACAAGCAGGTGATGAACTATCTACCTTTAACAAAAGACTTGTAACCTAAGTCCAGTTAAGACCAGCAGGTGCTATGTTGCCTGAAGTGGCACCACTGGTTGTAGCCACGCCCACTCTAGCTTCATTCTTGCAGCCGCTTCCTTTGCTCTCTCAGGGGGACGTGTACAGATGCACAAAGCACAGAGGGCCGGGCTAAGTGAACATCTGACTCTGACCGCAGTCTGCTCCCTTTGCTCCACACCAGGTCAACAAGGGCTGTTTATGGAAGCTGTAAGCAACCAGCGGTCCCACCAAACCACAGCTCTCCACAACAAATAACAAAACACTAACCAAACACCAACCAAACACTGATAAATTAATAACTTTAACTTCTGTCATATTGATTTGTTGAGCATTTTTTGCAACACAAATCTATATATTTTTTCAGTTGCTGTACATAGGCTATAGGCAACATGTTTTCTAATGGTGTTAATAATTAGTTGGCTCCTAAATGCTTCTCAACTATCCAGGTTTAGGAAATGGCAATATTTAAACATGAAACTCTTTTTTTCTTATATGAAAATGTATTCACTTCAGTTTGGGTAGCAGATAAGAGCATTATATCATTTAGAGTATTTAAATGCACGTTTAATTTACTATTTTTAAATGTCTTGAGTTTAGTCTTTGCATCACTCCTCCCATATGCTTTTCCATGTTCAACATAGAAACAAAAAAAATGGTTACAATAGGTCAATTTCAATTCATTCTGAAAGAAAGAATTTAATTTGAAATCAGATCTGTGTTTTTTAACAAACAAATTCTTGTGATATTGTCAACATGTCTTGATGTTTTTGCTGCTCTGTGCTGCTGACTTGGCCTGGACTTCTTTGAAAAAGAGCCTAGTAATCTCAGTAGGATTTTCCTGTCAAATAAACATAAACATAAAAATAAATATATTGCCAAGTAAATCAAAACAACTGGATTATTCATCTGGAGTTTGGCAGTGATTGCCTCTTGACTGTGGGAGAGAAGCACCTGTGGTTTATTCTCCACAGCAGTTGGCTGACACCTGTTAGCCCCATCATTACATCCAGTGGGAGCCGCAGTCACTGACTCAAACCCCTGAAGGAGCTACTTGGTCGGTAGTGAAACTTTTGCTGCAAATGTTTAGTAAGTCCACTTGTTTTGATTAACTTGGTAATATATCTTATCCCTGGAAGTCTCAAGATTTGCCTTTAGGCAAATAGCCTAATGTAGAGTCAGATTCAGAAACTACTAAACCTTATTGTAGTTTCAGTTTTATTTTAGGAAATGTTTTCACAGAAACTGACTTCCTCTTTTGATTTCTGTCTCTCTTATCTGCAGTGACATCTTCTGCGTTAGCTGCCGCTTCGTTGTTGGCATCTTCTCAGCTCTCCCAGATGCTCATGGGAAAAAAGTCGACTAAGGGGCGGATCCTTGGAGCCACCAGAGGAGTGCAGAGGGACAACATTACAACCGCTGTGCACACTACAGTTTATCTCTATATGGCAGCTTTATCTGAGTAAACAGCACTGGTTTATCAGCTTGTTCTGAGGCACTGTGGAGTTCTGTGCGCAGCTATGGTCCTTTTGTTGGTGTGTTCAACTTTGACCTTTCCGCCGGCGTCACCATGTTCGAACCACCCACTGTCTTCTACATCATCGTGGAGCTTCTGATTGCAGTTTTCTCCGTTCTGGGAAATGTTCTAGTTTGCTGGGCTGTGGGTCTCAACTCCAACCTGCAAACCATCACCAACTTCTTCGTGGTGTCTTTGGCGGTGGCGGACATTGCCGTGGGGGTCCTCGCCATCCCATTCGCCATAGTGATAAGCACAGGTTTCTGCTCCAACTTCTACGGCTGTCTGTTCATTGCGTGCTTCGTGCTGGTGCTGACGCAGAGCTCCATCTTCAGTCTGCTCGCCATCGCCATCGACCGCTACATCGCCATCAAGATACCACTCAGGTTTGTGCATGTAAATGTAACCACTGCCGTAGTTTGAGCTGATTGGGCTATTGTTTATGGCAATCAGTGTATTAGGACTGTACACAGAAGAGACCAGTTTGCTTATGGAGCTTGCATATGAATGACAAAACACAGATTCAGAATTAGTCAACTGAAATGTATTTGGTCAAAATTTCAAAAGAGTTGCTAATTTGATTATTTAACTAAAAGTGAATATTAAGAGCCAAAGTAGATCAAGTTTTCTTAAACAATAAATATACTTAGATTTAGACTTAGACTTAGACTTAGACATACTTTATTGATCCATGAGGGAAATTATTTGGACACAGTAGCTCATACATCACAATAAATATAATAATAAAGAGCAAAAATATAAATGGTGATAATAAATTCTAAATAAGTAGCACACAGTCAAGAGAAATAAATACTTCCTTGTCAAGTATTTTGACTTTGAGACAGTTCAGTTCATTCCGTTGTTAAAGTTTTGTGACTTTGTTTGAGGGAGTGCGTGGTACTTTAACAAAACTTAATACAAATGAAAAGAGTCAGTACTTCATGCTCGTTTTGATACCACAATAGTAATAAGAAATAAACAGACAAAATAATGTCATTTTCAATACAAAATATTGGTATTTTCTTTAATAATAGAACAGACAAAATCAGCATGCAAATAATTTTAATTATTAAAAATTAATGCATATATTTTACATATCTAGGAATCAACCTTTTGCATAATATTATGTGAAACATAATATTATGTGAAACTATGTTAGCAGAATCTGCACTTATATATATATATATATATTTATATATATATATAATCAACTAAATAAAAGAGACAGATTTGTTCCTGGAAAGCTGAAATACAGATTGAAAATTTCTCTGCTTTTTCTCTACTTTTCCTTAATCATCAGTGTCAAGAAAGTCTCACCATGAATCCTCATATTTCATTTTATTGACATTTGGATAAGACAGATTTGGCTTAGGTCAAATCTATCCCAAAATGCCTCTCCCATGGGACAGTGTCTCTCTGGACCAGTTAAATGAAGAAGTCCTGATTGCTTTTGCTTTTAATTATGGCATAATCGATCAGGAGCAGGACAGTACGAGAGAGTAAAGATTAAATCATGTTGTCTTGTGGTCGACATTAGTGGTTTAAGGCATTTCACATATTTGTTGTGGTAATGTTATCAGATTTTTTTGACCAGTAGATAGCAGAATTGAAACCAGTTTTCCCTCACCTGGTCTTTGTTCAGGCTCACCTATGCACATTTTCAGACTGCAGTAACATAGGCAACATCTAGCTGGCGTAGATTACATTTGTCTATCTCACATCAATTGTTCCAGTAGCTCCAACATTCTTACTACATTAAATAAAGCATTAATTACATTGCCTTGGTTTTACATTCTGCTCTATGAATATAAATTTAATTGAAATAGTGGATAGAGATTTTTCCTAACAAGAGACAAGACACTGATTGGCAGAATCATCCCAGTCAATTTGATATCTTCATAATTGAACATAATTGGCCTTCTTCTTATCTGACTGTCCACCAGACTCATTTAATTGCATTTTGTTTCCCACAATAGCAGCCTAAAGTTTGTCCCCTCTCAGGACTGTGCTAAATTCAATCCCCATAATGCATGTCATTAGTCACAATCAGAATCCAGTTTAGAAAGCATTTGCCACATACCCCTTGATTAAATAAACATGACTGATACGGCAATTCAGCATCTCAGTTTTCTCTTCTTGATACAACAATGTTTTTATGTGATAACAGACAAGCTTCATTATTTTAGAAATCAAATTTTAAACTCTAGGTAAAAAACACCACAAGATGTAGACAAAAGATTTCTTTACAAATGTCAAATACTCTCCTAACTTCATGTTCTTATGGCTGTCGGAGGAGGACTAGCCAGGCTGGCACCACCTAGTGCCTCCGCTCAGTTTCATTTCTCTCTAGCGACTAGGTCAGGAATCAGAATACACTAGACAGTTTGCAAGCTTTGCAAGTGCAAGTTTGGGCACCATCCAATCAGCGAAGAGCCATACATTCTGTGTTGGCAACGATTCCCGTGATCGAGGATTTAAAGCCCGAACAAAGAGTATGTTTGGTGAATTTTATCAAGGGGAAAGACGTTATTGTCCTTCTTTCTACGGGAATTGGGAAAAGCTTAACTCTTTCCCCCTTGGACGCCTACTAGGAACAACCCTTACATATATTCCTAAGGCTACCCTTAGAGCATAATTACATAAAAGAAAACGGACTTCCACAAGTGATTATAAATAATTTTCACACTCATGAACTTAATTGAAACACAGACATATTTGGTATCTCTGGAAACCTTAGACTCTGAACTCTTCATTTATGGATGTTTAAATGTGATTCAACTCATTTACAGGTTTATAACAGCTCACTGAAAACGAGAGTTCACCTGGTCAGGTGCAAAATCGAAAACAAAAAACTACATTCAGCATCTGATACATGCATGTTCTGAGTACTATATTCATAAAAAAATATAAAAATATATTTGTCAGAGTATCACCAGAAGTTGTCAATGTATCACCAGATACAGTATAGTCAAGTGTACACCTGTTTTTACCTGTTGTACACCTGTGTGGACCTAATTCGCTTTTTCCATTTGGCTTATTCAACTCATTTAGCTTATTATAATATAATAATATGATAATAAAACTCTTCCCTGTCATTGTGTGTCCAGTATTTGTCACCTTGTATACTTTCTCGTGTGCAGCGCTCCACATAAGTGTAGGTTTCTGTAGTAATTCTATCAAACATCGCATCTTGGAAAAAAAGACTGAAATATTTCATAGGACTAGCCTGAGCAACATCCAGATTTCGGGGCAATTTTGGTACATAATCGAGTATAAAGTCCCGGACAGTTTGTTCGGATATCACAGGACTCCATACAAACTCATCACCGGCATTCTTACCTTCGTAAGTTTCACTCTCTGAAAGTCCGTCGGTATCACTGTTTTCCACTTTATAATCACCCTCATCATCAATTTGAAATCTATAAAAGTCACTTTCTCTAAACTTATCCATAAAATACGATCTTTCCATTGCACGTGTTTCATGTTGTGTTTTTCCGGAAGCTACAATCGTCACAACTTCGATTATCTTCGGAAAAAATTGGCGAAAACATATCCTGGAATCCTATTGGTCAGCCTAGTGTGGGTTGTAGTGGCCCCCACCTATCGCAGCCTCTGTTTACCTGTGAAAAAACGAGCTGTTTCTAATGGTCGTCAAATCACGTCTTTAGTGATACAGCAGAAGTGTCAAAACACGTCATTAAGGGTACGGGAGGGGGTCATCAAATGTCGTCTTCATGGGGGAAAGAGTTAATATAAAAGTTAGCCCTGTTAGCGGCGCATTACATATGTCACGACCAAATAGCAGCAATTGGTTAAATGAAAAAAGTACCCGCCTACCGTCGAGCGAAAGAATTCTAATGCTGCGAGGTCAGATGGTTTCTATGAAGTGAAACCGGCTGATGAATCAGGCTAGAGGAGGACAACATCAGCATGCAAATAATTTAAATTATTAAAAATGAATGCGTATATTTTACATATCTAGGAATCAACCTTTTGCAAAATATTATGTGAAACTATGTAAGCAGAATCTGTACTGCCACACCAAAGATTATATATTTTTTTTTATTACCATAGGCAATGTGCCATATTGGTTCTACAAAACCATTTATCATATTCATATCATTTATCTACTAAATAAAAGAGACAGATTTGTTCCTGGAAAGCTGAAATGCAGACTGAAAATTTCTACTCTTTTTCGCTACTTTTCCTTATTCATCAGTGTCAAGAAAGTCTCACCATTAATACTCATATTTCATTTTATTGATATTTGGATAAGACAGAATTGTCTTAGGTCAAATCTATCCCAAAATGCCTCTCCCACAAGACAGTGTCTCTGTGGACCAGTTAAATGAAGAAGTCCTGATTGCTTTTGCAGACAGTGTATCCTCACCATAACCCCATGTACTTTAGAACAGAATTTAATGAAACATCTGTTTGATGCTTTTTGAAGATTTAGTTTTCTTTGGTTGGAGAATCTAGCTTTGATAACCTAAAGATGAAATATGTGGATATGTATCATTGCTTCCATTGTGTGTACACTTACCGTCAGTGTTGGGAAGAATATGTATTTATATATGTATTTATGTACTAGTTACAGAATACCGAATCTATTTCTGATACATGCAGTACTGAATTTTAAACACTTTACTTTAATATTGAGTTGTGTTATAATTAACCAGAATACAGTTCCTCAAAATAAGTATTTTAAAAGCATATTTTCACTTCCTGACACTGGCCAGTGTGAGTAATAACAAACTTGTGTCCGGTCACCATTTGGTGCCTTTATGCAAACAACGTCATCTCTTTTTATTTATTTATTATTATTATTATTTTTTTTCTACAACTCAAGCACTCCTGTGACACTGTTGAATCAAAAGGTATACAGCCCTGTCCAGTGATGTGTGTAGTTGAATCTATGAGCACATGGTGTTTTTGTAACTGGCCTGTTAAACAAAATAAGGTTACCACACATTGAATCTGGCCCTGGCTCTTCCTCTGGCACACCAGCTGTCCTCTTTCAGTCACCCTATTCATGTAGCTCCAAACTAGTGATGTCAGTAAAAGAACATTTCAAACTGGGCTGATTATTGTTCTGTTTTTTTGACAACCGTCCCTTCTCCAAAAACACAGCTTTGATATGGCCAGTTGGGATTGGCCCTATGAGCTCATCCCAGTTGCTTTGGGTGTGAAATTGGTTGCAGTTACACATTAGGGCAGGGCAATATAACAATAATACAATCTATTCTTTGGTGATATCTGAGATGTCTGTAAGCAGAAACAAAGTATGGTTCAGAAGATGGAAGTGTATTTCAGTCGTACAGGCATGGTTGGCACTGAAATTACTGTAAAGCAGGGATGTCAATCTCATTTTGGTCCGGGGGCCGTATCCAACCTACTTTGATCCCAAAGTGGCAGGATCAGAAAACTCATGGCACATATACCACAAAAATAGCAATAAGTTCAAATATTTGTACAGAGAAACGCAAATCTATTACAGAAATCTTTTTTAAATGATGAACTCTTTCTTTTACAAAATATTATAATATTATGAACAACCTGAAACTTTAAGAAAAATGCAATTTCAACACAGTTTTAACATTAACTTGTATGCAAATAGGAATAAGTCAATTTTTCTTGGAAAATCCTGCACTTGGCATCCACTTTTCTCTTTTTTGACATTTTGCTGATGAGGGTGTCACGATCAACTGTCAAAACGATCGTCCTTTAAGAGCATTTGGAAAGAGGCAAGTCTTCATTTGTGCTGCTCTGGTGGGAGGCGTCTGTGCACAGAGGCGCAGGAGACGCTGCTATGATAAGCAGCGCAGAAAATTACCAATATTTTAATAGAAAATATAATTAAAATATTTTAGTAGAAAATCAGGCCCGGGCCGTATGTTTGACACCCCTGCTCTAAAGCCTTAAAGGTGCTGTGTGTAATGTTTCGGTTGGGGGTCCATCACCTTCTTGTTTCTTTTCTGTGGATATTGCTTTTCCTGGAATGTTCCACAGTATGACATTAAAAAGCTCTCCTTAACATTTATGCAATTACAGGTGGTTTTACTGCTCCGAAATACTTAAAAAAACACTTAAACCTAATCTGACCTGTAACTTGGTCTGATTCGGTTTATGCCAATTTTGACACTGACCAAGGACACTTAATTGGGCATGCACATCCCTGTTGCACATCCACACAGAGCAATAATAAAAAATACAATTCTGGTTCAGTTAAAATCCAAAGTTCTCCCTTAAACCACATTTAATTCAAATATGATTCCAAGTATTCTTAATCCATGTATCATTTGTTCATTTGTTTTTCAAAATTAAACCAAAAATAAGAAAATGAAAAAAAACAACTATTTTCTTCATTATTTGTGTCCAAAACCAAAATGAAAAAATGGATAATGATTTGTTTTTTCAGTTATCGATTTTGTGTTTAAATGACACGGAAATGGGAAAATGCCATTATCCGTTTTTTTCCATTATTTGTTTAAACACAAAATCGAAAACTGAAAAAAACTAATTGTTATCCGTTTTTTGATTTTGGTCTTGGACACAAATAATGAAGAAAACTGTTGTTTTTTAATTTTCTTATTTTTGGTTTAATTTTGAAAAACAAATGAACGAATGATACATGGATTATTCTTCGTCTACATTTAGAAAGTCTGTTAATGTGTCATGCTATGTTATCATCACAATGACCTCTAAAACTAACAGACAACTTTTAGTGGTCCTTCCTGTTTCTCTCCTGCTCGGTTCTCCCTTCATTGTTTTTTGCATCAGATTGTAGGGGGCTGTTTATGGACTTTAACCCTTTGCACTTTAACTTCCCAAGAATGCGATTCACCAAGTTACATATCTCAGCTGCTCTCCCACACTGCAGCACAGCCAGGACCAAAATAGACTTTTCAGAACCACACGAATGTTGGGATATCAACACCAACATTTATCACACATCTTTATCGCTTTGTATTTGGAAGTAGTAAATATGCACTGATTTTAGCTTTATTCATTTACTTACTGCTTTGCCTGGAATAATCCAGAGTATGGCATTAAATTATCAGTCTCCATGGAGACAAGCAAGTGATGCCACCAGAGTAACCTCTCCATAGATATAAATGCATGTTTTTTTTTTAAATAAATAATAAAATAAAAACGCCCTGAACTAGTAGGCCTAAATATCTGTTCAATTTCATAGTGATATACTCTAATGTCAGCGCAAGACATGTCTGAGTACAGAATGTATCTTTTATTATAGAATGTATATTTTGGGATAGTTGGACACAATATCAGAACCTCCTCCCTGCTCTAGGCCTATGTGACTCCAAGCATGTGCCTATGTCCTGTACTCCTTAAACTAAAAATGATTTCATATCCTTCAGACTGATGGATGAACTCCTCATGAATATTTTTAAAACATACTTTAAAGTGCAGCCCAAACAATCGACTGGCTCTAGTCCATCCAGGTTTCCTCCACAACTTCCTCATCAGTGCATCCTGGTTCTTATTGGTTAGGACATGTACTGACAAACTAGCAGGATTAAGACGGTTTGCAACCTTTTGATTTAATTCAAAAATATACTTTCATTGCAAAAGAAGGGGAATTTTATCTTTAAGAATGAGAAATTGAATGTGTTTACCATGCAGTGCTAGGTATCACTTTGATTAACTTAAATTAAGCTTGTTTGTAAAATCCCTCAATTGTCCAGGGAGGGTCCTTGACAAAAGAGAAATTCAAATCTGTCAGCTGAACAAGTTTTTTTTTTTTTTTTTAATCAAATACCTTTTGCAGCTCATACACACTGCTTCTTGGTTTGTTAGGTCGGTGGAACTGCAAGTGTGAACTGTGTTATATTAGCCCCTGATGGCCACCTCTGAGGCAGTGTCCACCAGGAATCTGACCAAAGTTGTTGTTTTGTTTTGTTTTTTGACCTTTTAACTATGTCCCCTCATCAAACCATACCAAGGTGTGTTTTGCTTCATGCTGGATCCAGTAATCCTCTGTAAAAAGTCCTTTTAGTCTAACATGTGGTTTGAATTTTCCCAGGATTGTTGCATCACAGGTAGTGCTGTGGTACTTTACTCTGTTGCCAGTAGTTGGCGAGCTGGACTAGATCACAGTATGGGGAGCACTGAAGCTGGGAAATAATGTGTGGTTCCTCAGTTAACTTAATTTAATGTTCTAAAACATGAAATGGTAGAGCAAAGATCCTTACGAGCATTTTGAAATGCCAAAAATAACGCAAATAATGCATAGTGTTTTAATAAACTATTATGACTTAAGTCTTTGTTCAGGCTTTATTGAGGCCAATTAGAGTGTAATTATTATAAAGTGTTACCCAGTACTTTATACTGATTCTAATCTATTTTCCAGGTACAACAGTTTGGTGACAGGACAGCGCGCCCAGGGTATCATCGCCATCTGCTGGCTGCTTTCTATAATCATTGGCCTGACTCCCATGATGGGCTGGCACAAGCCTGAAGAGAGTGAGCCCCCTATACGTTCAAAGGACCCCTGTCCTCCCGGACAGATGAACTGCCTTTTTGAGTCTGTGGTTGACATGAGCTACATGGTCTACTTCAACTTCTTTGGCTGTGTTTTGGTGCCATTGCTACTCATGTTGGGCATTTACCTGTGCATCTTTATGGCAGCACGGCACCAGCTTAAGCTGATCGAGCTAAAAGTGGTTCATGGTGAGAAATCTCGCTCTACACTGCAAAAGGAGGTCCACGCTGCCAAATCTCTTGCAATAATTGTGGGATTATTTGCAGTTTGTTGGCTTCCTTTGCACATCATCAACTGTTTTACTTTATTTTGTCCCGGTTGTGCACGCCCAGATCCTTGGATTTTATACTTTGCCATTCTTCTTTCTCACGGCAACTCTGTGGTCAACCCATTTATTTACGCTTACCGCATCCGAGAGTTTAGGCTAACATTTCGCAAAATTATTCACCGTCATATAATGGGTAAAAAGGAACACATTGAGAGCAGAGGTAGCCATCGCATGTCCATTCATCATAGTATCAGTGACTCTATAAGACTCAAGACAAATGGACAAATGAAAAGCTTGGATGTATTTACAGAACCCAGTAGTAACGGGAATAACTGTGAGTGCTTATATCAATGTCATGGCCCCGTGTCAGCACTAGGAGGCGGTCTGGTTTCAGTGGCACACTCCTCTTTGTCCATCATCATCTCCTCTCAGTGTCCTAAAGCCAGCATATGTCCCATAAGAAGCTTCAGTCAAACGCAAGTGAACCAGCACTTAAAACACACAGAGGAGCCTGTTTCTGAATTTACAGAGGACAAGCAAATGTCAGTAACCCATAATGCATCACTGCTGGAGTCTGTGAATAGGCAAGACTGTTTGACTGAGCTGGAGACTGGATCATCATGACATATGCACGGGGACCAAAAAATTGCCTTCTGGACTTTTCCAGAACGCACAGATTGCCAGTTCACCCCGTATATGCAAGAGGAGACATTTTGAGGACAAGAAATTGTGCTGAATCAAGACCAAGATTGTGGTTGAAAGTATGCAAATATATGTCTTGTTTTTTTTGTGTGATTCCCAGTGAAGTGTTATGGATATATAAATAATAATGGTGCCTGTTTGGATGGTACAGGTCTTATGGGAAATGGCCTTTACCCTGCTTCCTGCCAAAAATTAACCAGATGTGATGTAAAAGCAGCTGTACAACAGGGGAGCAATAGAAGCATTGTTTAAACATTGTGGACAAACTTTTCACTATTACAGTATTGTCGAGACTTATAATGGACTACAGTGGATTTATATTTATGGTTTCAGATTTGCTCCAGGTACTGGTCTGGCTTACGAAAAATAACCAGAATTCATACACAGATTTGGCTGGACTTGTTTATAAGATCACACTGGCAAATATGGTTCATATTATTTTATGTTGAAAATTTTACAAAAACTGTTCAAAGGTGATTACAGAGTTTACTTTCAGGGATACATGTGATTATCTGCACAAATAAACTATTGTCTTGCACTGTTCACTGCCCACAAAGGCATCAACATGGACTATGATCTCTAATTTTTTTTTTAGTTTCTTATTTTTTTATATATTTTTTTAGATTTTCTTCACCCTTTGTCTTGCACGACTGCAGATATAGTGACCTTTGTGTAGTATCCATGGCATTTCTCTACATAACTTCTCTGATGGACCGTCGGCCACATGCTTGTTTCCATTTAGATGTTATTGGTGTGCCTGATGTGTGCCTGATGTGTGCCTGATGTATGCATGTGATGCGGCTATGTTAACGAACTTCAATCAATCTCCATGGAGACAAAGTAAGTGGCACAAGTTAGTGATCAGATATGTGACCCAGCTCACAACAAGAATGCATCTTTTCAATGCATTTTTTGCTATAATGGCATCTCCATCCATTTCCTTCCACTCATCCGTAGATAATGATAGCCAGGCTGGCGCCACCTAGTGCCTCCGCTCAATTTAATTTCTCTCCAGCGACTAGGTCAGAAATCAGAATACACTTGACAGTTCGCAAAAACCCTGGAAGTGCGAGTTCAGTCACCAGCCAATCAGCGAAGAGCCATACATTCTGTGTTGGCAACGATTCCCGAGATCAAGGATTTAAAGCCTGAACAAAGAGAAAGTTTGGTGAATTTTATCAAGGAGAAAGATGTTATTGCCCTTCTTCCTGCGGGATTTGGAAAAAGCTTAATATACAAGTTAGCCCCTTTAGTGGTGCATTGCATACATCACGACCAAATAGCAGCGATTGGTTAAATGAAAAAAAGTACCCACTTGCCATCGAGCGAACGAATCTTAACGCTGCGAGGTCAGATGGTTTCTACGAAGTGAAACCGGCTGATGAATCAGGCTAGGATAATAACATCTGTAACTGAATAATGAGAAACATCCCTCCAGAAAAGTTACATGTATTTGCATCCACATAAGGACAGTCCCTAATCCCAGTCAGAATTCCTACATAACTATCCATGTTTCCATTGTTAGACACATACAGTATGTTTCCAATTATCAAACTAAACCGCACAGTCACCTTAACCACTAAACATTTTTTCTTATCTGAACACACAAATGACTTGAATATTTTGTGATGTTTTTCTCTCATCCTTAATATTATTTTAATCTTCTATCGTGATTCCCAGTAGGGTTCAAGTTTCAGCTTCCCAGACGCAAAAAGTCTTAAAAGAGCATATTCAAAAGGCATCAAAGATATATTTACATGTCCTCAAATTAGTTAAGATTTTTGGGGGCAAAGTACAGTCATGTCAAAGTTCAAAGTAGGATTTTTTTGTGTGTGCACTTCATGAAGAAAAGCATGAAAATTATACAACACTTTTATTCTTTTGTAAATGAGATATTGATTATTTTTACTATATGACATTAAGGTTTAAATTTTTTTATTTTTTTTTTTCATTTTTTTATCTTGGTGTTTTCTCATCACAAAGAATTATCATTGGTTGCCCTGAAACTAAGCTGAATACTTTGACAGAACTATGGCGCCATCTAAAGACCAAAAATAAGAACGATTTCAATGCTTAATTCCAGTCCAATTTCTTTGGACATATTTTTCCTTTCATTTCATAATCTAAATACTAATAATACAATTATTTTGTCATGTCAGGTCAGAGAATAGTTACAATGTGGTGTTAGTTTAAGTTTTAAGTTGTGACATTTTTACTCTTACACCAGTAAACCTTTATGTGAAATCTCTGCGTGAACTCCATGGATACGATGACGACCAAGCAAGTATAGTCCAGGTTTTGTTTAAAAGGTCTAGATCTTGTAAAGTAGAAACACAGGAGGTGGGTTTTGTGTAGACAGCAGCCTTTATAACAGGAGGTGGTGGAGTGACTGGTACCTCCGTTGTAAAGTATAGATTCACTCAGACTGTGGCGTCAGACAAGAGATGTTTGTTACTGTTCTTTTTGGGGGTATGTATAACTTTTCTTGTTTAGTTTTTTGGTATATGATGAGAGACTATTGCATTTTTTTAAAGGTAAAATAATGTGTAACTTTTCAGGTGAGAGATGTTATTTATTTCCTTGATTTTTTTTCCATATAACATGCATTTATCCAACTTCAGGTGTTTATATCACTTAAAAATATGTTTACAAACTAGTCTTACAGTGAGCGAAGTCAGATTTGACAGATCAGTAACTTGTACCAGCTTGGTGGAGTCTACTCTTTCTGCTTCTGTGGAGATATTTATATTTAATGCCGAATTTTCCAGACAAAGCAACTAAATCTCCATAGAGACAGGATGGTGATAGACCCTGCCCTAGAAAAAACTCCACAGTGCACTTTAAATATAAGCAAGACACTGTTTTATCATGTAAGGATAAAAATAGAGCTTGATTCTTATGCTTTTTAAAACACTTTACTATTTTTATTTTAAAATATTGTGTATCTATTAGGGGTGTAACAGTAACTGAAATATCGTGATATCGTATCGTCAAGGTTCTCACAATAATATCGTGGACGATCACAATATATCGAATTACAAGTCTCTTTGCTTAAATTAAGAGTTATGGTGCAGCAGTAGCTAAAAAAGACAGTGGGAACTACATAGACCATGATCCTTTGCTCCATTTCAGTGTAGACTACAAGAAGAAATAACAGTTCTTATCACTTTTAAGTCTCAGTTCTTTGGATTAAGTCTTGTCAAGGCATTTTGGCAAGGCGTTTTGTTAACCTCCACAAAATATCACAATAAATATCATATCATGAGATGTATATCCTGAAAATATCATACCAAGAGATTTGGATATTGTTACATCCCTAAACGTAAGCCTCTCCACCATATCGTGAGCTTTCCCACGATATCGCAATAAATATCGTACCGTGAGGTTCATACCGTGACGATATTGTATCGGGAGACTTGGATATCGTTACACCCCTAGTGTCTATGAATTACATGACTGTTTACTGCTATTGCGTGTTGGTCCTTAATGGGTTAATTTTGGCAGATGACAGAATGGAACTGTTCAACCCTGATTGTAAACTAATTCATTTCATCCATGATCTGAAGCTCAGGTGTGGGCTGGATTCTGAAGGTAACATTTATATTACGATGACGTTAGTTTGTCTTTGTTTGACAATCTTGCGTGTTTTTTTTTTTTTTTTTTCCAGATCATGTGGATTTGATGGACAGCAGAGGGACTGTGATGAAACTGGAGGGGAGAGAGCAAAGTCTGGACCGTGCCAATGCTCTGCTCAAAGATCGTCACAAATATATCCTCGTACGCGTCTGTAGTGAGTAGTATACAAACATTAGAATATGTATGTTTTAGAGTTTTTACTGGGCTCAACTTACAAAATCAGAAAGTGTACCACGAAGGTCTCACAGGTCTGGAACTTTGGCCTTTCCCAAATTTGTAAATCAGAAATGAAAAAACATCTCAAGATTTCAACGTAAACATTACTAAAACAGGATTGTACTAACAGTGTAAGGAAGGCTACAATATCTCAATTAATTGTGAGTATTCCTACCCATGTAAACATAGACACAACTTTCTTGAGTCGTCGATGGTAATAAATAGCAAAGAAATAGTGGGTGTTATATGCCATGTGGATTCTGGATTCTACACATCCTCCTTGCATTACAATAAGTCATCTCTTCTCACAGTGTATATATGCAATAAACAAAATATAATTTATTTTTTTCTGATTCTGTACAAGGGGTTGATGGAGAGTGTAAATATGTTCCTCTGCTGACCAAAACCCAAAGACAACCAGAGTTTACTGGTGAATACCATTATATTTCAGTAAGAAACCACCCACAATGTGTGCTCATTTAACCATAAAACTTACAATATGTTATGTGTGTATTTGTATATTTTAATGCAGAGCTGTTGAGGAAACTGTCCACTGGCCAAAAGAGACTGGGCCGAAGAGGTCAGAGACATGGTTCCCTTAAACCAAGGAACAGGAGCAAAAACAACAAACTTTGTTTTCTAAAATAAAATGCTTCAATTCAAGACCTCTGTGCTATTTCATAGTTTGTAGGATGATAGAAATAATGTAATGTAATAGGCTATGGTTATGATTTTGATTATTATTTAATCATGGCCTATCATGCAGAGGATCCTGGCCGGGCTACTATATCTACACCACCAGAAGGTGGAAGGAGCAAATTCTCTGTAACGTGCAGATCTCACATGGTAAAAATACTGCATGCTCTGGCTTGATCCTGCAGAGTAACTCCTGACTAATATCTTGGGTCTACAGGTGCTATTTATTTGCACTTTTTTTATTTGTAACTTTTCTGGTCAACTGCTTTTTCCCTTAAAAATGGCCAGTATGGTTCACAGTACACACCAAATTCAAAAGTGTTAAATTCACTGTGTTGGTGCTGTGATGTGGTGGTGATAGTAAAGAGTTATTTCAGCTATGACAGTGCTGTAGAGTAAAATGAATAGTTGTTGTTGACTCACAGTGTTAACATTAAACACTTAGAAAGTGTCTATTTTGAATATTACACTACATCAGTGTTGGGCTTTTGTAATGTTTCCAGCGGGAGAGCACAGTCCAAGAGTAGGCTTGCCAGCTCCCTGAAAAATAAATAAGGGACACCTCATTGGCAGGGCCGGTGTCCTGTCGATTTGAGCTACCCGCCATTTTGAGCTACATAGCACTACTGCGCATGCGCACAACCCCCAAGTGCTGTTCCAGTGTAAATGCCATCGATTTGAACTTCCTAGGCAGAAGTGGAGTAACAAGTCACATTTTAAAAGTTTATTGGTTTTATTGTATGTTTTGTTAAGCATGTAAGTATGTGCGTGTTAGATTTGTGGCAGAATACCTACGCTAGGCTGCAGGTAGCTCATTTCGACGGCACAGCCCATTTCAACAGAACACTGTAAAGCACTGTAAGCGTCACTGTCGTCCATGCTGCTTTGTTACAGAGGGGAGCCCTCAGGGCCTTCAAGGTATTCAGTGACGTCAAGAAAAAAAAATTGAAGTGCGTATGACAGATTCTGGTAATTCTCCAATTTTTACTTAATTCAATGAGATTAATTGTAATTAGCTGTTGTAATTATAAATTATAAAATTACAGAAAATAGAGGGTTCTGTTTTAGAGAGTGCCATATTGATGACATCACAATAGGGACAATTCTAATCAAAGTTCAGCACAATTTACACACTAGAAACTATTTTATTCTACACACACTAGAAACAATTTTATAAACATTGTTTCAACAAAATAAAGGTATTTTCTTATTTGTATTTCTATTTGTCAAATAATAATTTCTGTGTACATTAGAGGAGATTTGGTTCAGGGTATGTTACGGAATTCCCTAATATGATTCATGATTTCCAACCAGGAAGTAAGATTTTAGAAATGGCCAAAAAATGTTTTAAATAAAATATTAAATACAATGATCGTAACTTAGTCAAATGAGTCATCTAACCTGTCATAGGCACATTAAAATTAATGTGCTGGCAACATACTGTACAAGTAATTATTATATCCAATTTTAAGCAACATGCTCAATTTGTCATAATTATGTTCACCACATGAGGGAGCTAGGGAGTCTTTAAACGCTACTCTATGTAGTCATCACGCATATTAGCCTAATAAAAAAAAAAAGTTTTTGTTGCTGTTGGTTTCGAATGGCATAAATGGCATTACTGTTGTCATTTATCTGTAATCTATTTTATATTCTCAACAATAATATGTACCCATAGGCCTGTCACAAAAACTAATTTTGAAGTGTGGTATATTGCTACAGAAAGATAGAATTTAATGTTGAAACCAGCTTATGCCATGACCGTTAACCACTAACCTTGAAAATGGATAACCCCTTAAATAAAATCCTACATGTACAGTTACAATATCATGAAAAAAAACATGAGCTGCAATAGATAAAAAGCACAACGGAACACTTTAATAGCTAGCATTGAGTCAAAGAAGTTACTAATTTGACTTTTGGCTGCAGAAAGTGTCTGCTATGACAGCCGTGGATCATTATGTTAACATTTGTACATTTTAAATCGTAATATTCATCTAAAACTAGAAAAGCACTCAGAGAGTGCAGACCTCCGCCAAGGACTACCCCCATTTTTTATATAAATTGCGATAAAATCAGTCTTGTGGATCAGATCCGGATCAGCCTTTGGAATATGAAAGAGGATCCCATTGTCCATCCCTGAGTCAAATTTCATGGGGTTTGGTCAATAATTAACCAAGATATTGAGAAACAAAATTTTTGGCCCCATTTACCACAATGTTAACTAAAATTTCAAAGTGATCCAGAATCCAGGATTTCTTCTGGATCACCCCCAAAATGAAATCAGTTCTTCCTTTTCACATTTCCAACAAATCCTGAAAATTTCATCAAAATCGGTCCATAACTTCTTGAGTTATGTTGCTAACAGACAAACAAAAAAAACAAACAAACAAACAAACAAGCAAACAGACAAACGCCCGCAAAAACATAACCTCCTTGGCGGAGGTAATAACTTAATAAAAGACTTCTGTCAGAAAACTACAGTGCCCAGTTGGAGCTGGCGTCACTGTAAACATCATCACAACAAAAAGCCGTGTAGCTGTTGGCCCCCTGACTGATAGTTGCAGATGACACTAGCAATACTATTAGTTACACTGGTAAGTGATATCAGAAGTACTGTTACATCATCATAAACATACCTAGAATGAAGTGAATGAAATAAAACACAACTCTATGTATGTTTGTGATGAGGAAACAACGTTATAAAACAGATCAGATAGCATGATATGGGCCCCTTTAATAATATGTACACCATAATTATCCTATATAAAGCATGATTTTTTTTCATAATTAACAATTATTTTTTTTAGGAATGATTCAGGCTCAGTAACTATTGTGAATTAAGTCTTTTGATATATTTTTTAAAACTGTAAACAGTGTATTTAGGCTTGTCACAGTAACAGATTCTGGAGTACAATATATCGCTGAAGAAAATACAAATGATAAAAGATAATATTGAAGCAAATTTATGCCCAATAACCCAAGAACCAATTTAAACCACAAAAAGTATTCTAAATGTACAATATTGTAAAGAAAAGTTAATTTAAAGCTAATTTAATCTTTTACTGCTTTTAAATCTGACCATATAGCCAAAAAATAACCAAAACATGTTCAGTAGTGCAAATTAAATGTATAAAAGGTAAATACTGACCCCAAAAATATATAGTTCCAGCTTTCATATACTAAATGATACCTTATCTTTTATACTTTCTTTCCCATCAGGCTTCAGGACAAATTTAGCTGGGATGCCTTTAAATTGGTGTTTGTGGGGATGAATCTGACCAGGTTTTTCAAGGCCTGGGGTTGGCCAATGGAGGACGCCACTGAGACAAGACACTCCAACCTGCCAGCCTGGACCGACCATCCCATGACCAAATATAACTGAACAACACAGTAATTTTGAATCTATAGGCATTTAACGGCTAACTGGTATATTAAGCTTTTCTCAAATCCCATAGGAAGAAGGGCAACAACGTCTTTCCCCTTGATTCACCAAACATTCTCTTTATTCCGGCTTTAAATCCTCAATCTCGGGAATCATTGACAACACTGAATACTGAAATTGAGCGGAGGCACTAGGTGGTGCCAGCCTGTCTAATTTAACAGTAAATTATTCTGTTTTATGATCTATGTTATAATATTGTTTACACGTCAAAAACATACCAGGAGTTGTTTTGTTTCATTCACACATGTTTAACACACAAATCCTGCATATTTAATCTGAGTTCTTCTCTCAAACAAAAACATCTTTTTTATAATACAGGAAGTGCTCCACTGTGTTTTTATACTCCATACACTTAACTAGACCCTTCACTAGAATCATGTGAATAACTGGAATTGCTAATCTCAACTGAACTAAAGGTAAAAGGTTGCTGTCAACTTCCAGAGTACCACAACATGACATCATAAGGTGGAACAGAGTATTTTGAGTTTTTGAGATGTAGACAGACTAATAATAATAATAATAATAATAATAATAATAATAATAATAATAAAAATAATGTATTAGTCAAACATGTGTGAATGAAACAATACACAACCCTGGGTATGTTTTTGATGAGGTGACATTATAACGTAGCTTAACACTCACAAGAGTCAAATTTGTGTAATATTTGCAATCCCGACTTCTAATTAGGGGTTGGGACTTGAGTTAAGGTAATACTTTCATAGCTAATAAGCCTGAGTCATTCTAAATATAGTAATTGTTTATTATGAATATTATGAAGTCTTTGTTCATACTTACATTAACCCTATAACTACAATCATTCAGTAATGTACTATTTTATTCATTTACCTTGAAGTGCCTTTATCACATGCTCATTAGTTTTTAAAATTACTATAATAAATAATTTTAACACTCAATTTTACCTTTGTCTTGATTAAGAAGCAGGGCAGAAGCAGTGTTTTGGGTAAAGCAACACATTTTACACAACTACTTTCACCAAGACAGTAACAGTAACAATTTATACATTGTTCATACATGCATCATGAATTTTGGACTTTCAAGTCTTTTGAACCATATCGCATTTGTTTCTGGTTCTGATATTGACATATTTTAGTTATGGAATTTGGACATCATAATTGTGTGGTTGTTGGATGTCCTAACAGCAGAAAATGGGCTTCAGAATTTGCGAACTCCATAAATGCAAAAGGGAATCAGATCTGTGTGACTGCAAACCTCTGTGTTTCCCTTTCCAACGAAATTGAAAAATAGAGAAAGGCGAAGGCGATGGGCAGTATTGATATACAGGAAGGACCAAAAAGGAAACCTTTGGCTGCCTAAGAATCATCCTGAATTTGCTAGTTGCTAGACCAGTTTGTTTGCAGGCACCTGGGTGTATCCTGGTTTTGAACATTTGAACAAAAGCGAGGTGCAGTGCTGCAAAAACACCGGTGCGTGACTGGGGTGTGGCTAAACAAATAACTTCTCCTTTAGTATTATTCGGTCAGTGATTCCTGGTCTAAAATCATTGCTGCCATGTGAGGCTGTCTCTATAGCAACTCCAGGTACGTATATAACTTCAAAATACTACTACTAATATTCTATTGTGTATATGCCTAAACTACATTGCAAAAAATATTTCAAGATTATTTATAATTAATTCAACGCAGAGTATTCATCTTAATTTTAGTGCTGTTTTCTTCAGTTGTTTAATGGTGTTTCAGACTTATTCCAATACGTAACTATCCATTCCCCTTATTTTGTCACTTACACCAATGTATTTTTTGAGTCGAAATTGCCATTAAACTGATTAAATACTCCACCATGCATCTAATTTATAGTCTCAACTCAAAGCTTCATAATCTAAATTCAAGTCATTTTAAGTGAGGTTAAATCTTTTGCAGTGTGGGAAGTATTTTTACTGCAAAATAAAATATAATGTTTATTTTACTCAAAGCGAGTAAATGGAATTGCTAAAATGTATAGTACAACACTGCTTATAAAGTATGCTACTTCTTAAAATGGTACTAGTATTGCTACTTTCTCTGCTACTTCTGTTACAACAACTACTACTAAAGCTTCAACTACTACTACTGCTATTACTACTACATCTACTACTATTACTACTACAACTACTGCTATTACTACTACAACAGCTACAACTTCTACTACTACAGCTACAACTACTACAACAACTACTACTCCTACTACTACTACTACTACTGCTATTACTACTACATCTACTGCTATTACTACTACATGTACTACTATTACTACTACAACTACTGCTTTTACTACTACTGCTATTACTATTACATCTACAACTGTTACTACTATAACTACTGCTATCACTACTACAACAGCTACAACTACTACTAATACAGCTACAACTACTACAACAACAACTACTACTACTGCTATTACTACTACATTTACTACTATTGCTACTACAACTACTGCTATTACTACTACATCTACTACTATTAGTACTACAACTACTGCTATTACTACTACAACAGCTACAACAACAACTACTACTACTCCTATTACTACTACATCTACAATTGTTATTACTACAACTACTGCTATTACTACTACATCTACTATTACTACTACAACTACTGCTATTACTGATACATCTCCTACTGTTACTACTACAACTACTACTACTACTACTACTACTACAACTATGACAACTACTGCTATTACTACTACATCTACTACTGTTACTACTACAACTACTGCTATTACTACTACATCTACAACTGTTACTACTACAACTACTGCTATTACTACTACATCTACAACTGTTACTACTACAACTACTGCTATCACTACTACAACAGCTACAACTTCTACTACTACTACAGCTACTACTACTACTACCACTAGAGCCAGGGCAATCTAATTCATGTATATTAGAGTGGGCCCATGTGAGGCTTCTTGCTCCGGGCCCCCAAATTTCTGTTGACAGCCCTGACTAGAGCTACAACTACTACAACAACTAGGCCTACTGCTACTATTGCTGTACTATCTTTACACTTTTAATAATGTTTATATAAAATTGTATATTTCTCGTCTTTTCAGATCGTGCAGTGAACCACCCACCTCTGTGACCCTCCAGTTTAGCATCTTGTAGTACACACTATAAGTCATTATGCCTTCCTCACATTCACAATCCGATCTGGAAAAAGCCTACGTCTCCATAATGAGAGGAATAAAACAGCTGGATTTCCGTGGTTCCAATGTCCCGTGTGACCTGGTTTTAACTGGAGACCATGCGTTTCCGTTGGCGATGAACAGTCACGGTCAAGTACTTCTAGCAGCTTCTATGTACGGTTCAGGTCGCATTGTTGTCCTAGGGCACGAAAGTTTTTTGGGTACGCAGCCAGCTTTGGTTGAGAATGCTATAAATTGGCTGAACCAGGGGAAATCACAACCTGTTGGTGTTCATGTGTATTCCAAAGACGTTGCAGAAAAGCTCAATTCTAAATTCCAGTTTCAAGTGATGAATGATTTTAGCAATGGTCAGGGCATTGGGGTGTATGTAACGGATGCGTACAGCGTAGAGGGGAAAGCCAAAGACATTATAGAGTTTATGAAATGTGGAGGAGGGGTGCTGATCGCGGGGCAGGGCTGGTCATGGGCATCGCAACACCCCAGAGACAACACGCTGCTGCAGTTTTCGGGGAATAAAGTGTCCGGAGTGACTGGAGTCTACTTCTCCAAACACACAGCAGACGCAGAGATCATGCCGGTCTATCCCCAGATCCCTGCCTCTTGGATGTCTGTTGTGTAAGTTCTTAGGATTCCATTGTTATATGTGTGTATGTGCGTATGTGTGTGTGTGTGTATGGGGCACAATGGCCAAATGCACTCAAAATATATTGAAATTTACAACAAAAATTGCCCAAGTCAGCTAAATAAGTAGACATACATTTGCAGACAGTGTAACTTTTCTAGTGAAGGGTCTGACATCAGCAGGTCTCCAAGAGATGCTATTGCTTTTCCTGTTATGTTCCACAGTATGGCATTAAAATAAATGTAAATAAACTAGTTTTTAAACAAAATATTAAAAATTACTTTGAAAAACATGCATTCTTACTGAGAGGGCTTGCCTCTCCACTGATCTCAATAGTAACTCAGATTGATGTCAGATTGATGTCATATATCGCATATGGCAGACCTTCTAACAAAAGATTTACATTGTGCGTCTTTAAAATCATAAATACTGAATATTAAACAAATTGCAAAAATAAAGTCTAAAGTCTGGACTCTATACTTACATCTGCCTTCAGGTGTTGTTCTCCGTTGTCTTCTTCAGACTTAACCTGACAACTAATCTATTTTATGAAATGTAAGATTTAAGAAAAATAAATATTACATTCCATATATTTTGTTTTGTATGCTTCAGAATTGGGAGGGATTTTGAGGACGACCTGGACTTCTTGCTCCAGGGCATCTCAGAGTTTGACCTGATGAATGGCGTGGTGGCGTCTGAGATTCTGATCCATGGATCTCTGGCCTTCCCCATCGGGACCACCCCAGATGGACGAGCTTTTCTGGCCGGAGCCTACTATGGACAGGGGAGAGTGGTGGTGATCTCACATGAAGGACTGATGAAAAGAGAGGTAGAGAAGTGCAAAATTATAATTATGGCTGTACAATTAATTACATTTGTTCATTATGAATTAAAGGTGCACTATGTAACTTCTAAGGTGGAGGTTCCACTCCTTGCTTATCTCCATGGAGATGTAATTTCTTTGCTTGGAATGCTCCACAGTAAGGCATTAAACATATCCCTCTTGCGTTTGTTCAATTGCAAAATTCAAAAAAAATTCCTCAAAAACATGAATTCTTACCATTCTATTGTGATTACAAAGTTTATTTCCATACTGTAGAATAATCAAGTAATATCTCCATGGAGACAAGCAGGTGGCGGACCTTCCAGCAGAAAACTTACACAGTGCACCTTTACATCCATGTTAATCCAAAAACATCTCATAATATTAAACTTGTGTATAAAGCTGTGTTTAAAGGAAATAAATAATATTTTCAGTTTCTGATAACATAATATCAGTTGATATTGGCTATATAGATTTAGCAGATATTTCAAGCTAAAGTATCGACATCGGTATTGGAACAAAAAAAGCTGGATTGATGCATCCCTAGTTATAGTATTACATTTTTTAAAAGATAATAATTCTCCACTTGTCTGCAAAACATCTTCAATAAAAAAAATAAAAATTAATTGTTTATCGCTATGGCAACAGTCCTAATCTCTTATCATTTTGAAACCCAGGGATCGGTCCTTGTTGATTTGTCTCATTAAATACATGTTTTACTTGTGTATTACTTGCCAAAATTCTAAATGAACTATAAACTACATTACTATATTGTTTTGGGACAGACTCTTGCCCCCTTCTTCACCAATGCCCTGCACTGGCTGGACGAGGGCAGGCAGGGTGTCATCGGAGTTGTGCCAGAGCTGAACGAGGCGTACGAAGTCTTCAAGAAATTTGGCCTTAACTGTGAGAAGACCAAGCTTCGTAAGGACCTGAGTGTGTATGTGTGCACGACCTACAAGGAAGACGAGGTGCAGCAGATCCATGAGTTTGTGGCTGAGGGAGGAGGCCTGCTACTGGGAGGACACGCATGGCACTGGGCCCATAGTCACAAAGACAAGAATTATATGACTGAGTTTGCAGGTATGTATGTTGGACCATAACTTTTAAATCAGTATGGCTTTGTCTGGTTACTGGCAGAACTGGAAAAACCAAAACACGTGTAAGGAGCTAATTGAGTCGTGTTCTTACATGGAGATTAATAGGATTAGTTCAAGATTGCAGACAAATCAGATACCTGTGTCAAAATTTTCCACACCACAATAAAAACAACAACTTGCAATTATAGACTTGTTTCTATTGTTACTAACTCGACAGACCTTGTCAAGCTGGTTTAAGAAAGGGGTACCACAATGAAAATGTATTATTTATGGAAGAGAAAAGAATTTTCAACAGTAAATAATACTAGTACTTTCTAGATCAACCTGATGCAGGAGACCCTCTCAAGATGTTTGAGGAGAGAGGCACCACAATGAAAATTCATTCTTTAGAAAATAGAATAGGATTTTCAACATTAAATAGCTGTGCTTTCTAAATCAACCTGAAGCAGTAATGATGTTTTAGGAGAGGAGGACCTAGAGGAAGGATCTGTGCAGACTTTAGATATATTAACAGGAAACCCCAAAGATAGCACAATGGGTACATAACACACATGGGATGATGTCAAGATGGACCCTCCACCAAAAAAGTAAAAATATAGTAAAAGTTTCTTTTTAATCAGGCTTTTTATGTCACATTATATTAATATTACTTATTCATTGAGAAAGTTTGATTTCATAAAACCTGGTAAGACAAATAGAGGACTGCTGATCTTTTGAAACAGTGGTTCACAAACATTTCACACCAAATGCCACCAGATCTAAACTAGGTCTACACCAGGCCTAAACCAGGTGTGAACAAGGTCTAAACTATGACTACATAATTGCTATACTAGCTTTAAAAGGCCTATATTACGCAATTTTATGATCTATGTTATAATGTTGTTTCCTCATCACTCTTTCTAATTAGATGCAAAGAGTACAGGGCAGACTTTTAACCAGCTACTTATAAAACATAACTGTACTGAGGAAAGACATATTTTGATAAGAAATGTTTAATTTAATCGAGGCCTTTAAGATTTCTCTGTTGTTTGTCTTGATATAATCCATAATAATTCTTCACACAATAATCAAAACACTAAAATATATTGTGACATTGCTAATTAATTTCGCACTTGCTTTTGTATTCATTGTAAATTTGGTTTATTTTTCTATGCGATATAATTAATAATTAAACAATATACATATATATTCTTGGTTGACACATTACAGTAGACACAATATTTATGTGTTTTTGTTTGTTTTTTTAAATCACTTTTTTCCACCACTCCAACTTAATAAAAAATATTCATAATAAATATAAGTAAACAAAAGCAAAACTATAATAATAATACTAATTAAATGAAATTGAATTCATAAAAAAAAATATATATATATGTATATATATATATATATTTTTTTTTTGTATGTGATGTACTATGTTCCATTGTAGGAAACAAGATCTTGAACAAAATGGGCATGACTCTGTTGGAGAAGTACATTACAGATGGGGCCTATAAGCCTCCAGTTCCCAGCCAGGCCATCAAAAACACGTACCACTTCAGACACGTCCTGCATAAGTTTGCTGGTCATGTGACTAAAGGCGAGCAGCTGGCTAAACACGAAGAAGAGTGGCTGACCAAACTGAGCCAAGACTGCACTACCTACTTACGACTGGACTCAAGCAACAACAACTACAAGCAGATCCTCAGCACCTTCACAGAGTTGATTAAAACATGTGGAATGCCACAGGTACGTTTAATGGTTCTAAAGAACAGACCTGAAGTTGTGTTTTGTTTCAATTACACATGTTTGAGTAACTGTTTATTATTAGACTACATATATACTGTACATACTATATACATCTACATTATATACGTCAGAAGCTTGAAATGCTCTGTTCCACCTTGTGATGTCACATAGTGGTAGTTTTCAAGTTAACAGTTACCTTTTACCTTTTGTTGAGTAAAGATAGGCATTTCCAGCGCTGACATTATTAGTATGGAGTTTAAAAACACAGTGGAGTACTTCCTGTATTTCCACATGACATCACAAGGTGGTGTTTTCCAAGTTCAACTTTAAAGATTCCCAAGTGAAAATTGACTAAATTGTTTTCGGAGGAAAGTCTCTGATTCTAACAAGCCCCTAAGATCTCAGCTGCGTAAGTAGAGCTGTTGTTGGAGGTTTGGGGATCCCATTAACAAATTCATATGGTTGTTATGGCATTGGGCAAAACACTACTCCTAAGTACACTTTATTTCTTCTGTGAAATTGACTATGCACCATATTTTTTTAGATTAACTTAAGGCATGTCTGGCTACTTACATTTCTTACAAATTTTTCCTTTTTTTTCACAGTAATTATTATGATGTCCTCTCTGCTATTTGCACTACAATCAATGATAATTAGCAAGTCAGAACATTTCTTCTCGTTATATAACTTGCACCACCTCATTTTAATATTGTTTTTATTGTAGGCGTGTGAGAGCTGCCCTGTGAAAACTCCCAAAGACAAGTTTTTGTTGCATGTTGGCACAGAGGTGTATAAGGTCTGCCCAAACAAAGAAGAACTTTTGCCCTATCTCATCAGAAACAACCCTCTGCTACCGGTCATTTACAACCACAGGATCAACGTAAACGTAGACACCGCAGGTACAAGTATATACAGTTATGATATGAATGCAGACTGTTAAAGGGTTCATGTGACGCTATTTTCTGATCTATGTTATAATTTTGTTTCCTCATCAAAAGCAGACCTGGAGTTTTGTTTTATTTCATTCACACATGTTTAACACATAAACCCTGCATACCTGCAACCCTCATGTGGTAATACAGGAAGTGCACCACTATGTCTTTAAACTGCATTTTAATTCACTAGGATCACTTGGACAATCACAGCCCTTGAATTGCCAAACTCTGCAGAACAAAAGGTAAAAAGTAGATGTCAACTTGAAAACTACCACTTCATGATATCACAAGGTAGAACAGAGCATTTTGAGCTTTGGAGATGTAGACAGACTAAAAATAAAGGGTACTCAAAGATGCATAAATGAAACAAAACACAACTCTAGGTATGTTTTTAAAGGAGGTAAGAACTTTTTTTTTCTGTACTGAATCAAGTCTGTTTTGGATAACATTTCTATCAGATGGAGAGGAGTGGGTGAGCACTGGCCTATATCTGTCTCCTGGGATGAAAACCTACATTTCCATACCAGCAAGCATTGTCGACAAGGGCTGGAAGGTACAGTATACTAAAGAACATATAGTTATCATGTAATCATACTAGTTACATTAGTTATGAACAGCTATTTTCCATACATTTGCAGGTGCAGATTGGATGCCAAACAGACAGTCTTGTGAATGCTGCAGAGTTGAAGAGAGCTCCATGTGTCTGTGAGAGGTTCCCAGTCACTTCAGAGATGATGCAGGTGCATAACCTTTGGGGCGGGCTCATTTACCTGGTGGCTCCACCTAAAACTCAGGTGCAAGGAGCGGAGGTCGTAGTTCAAATGGCCGTACCTGCTCCATACTACAAATCAGGTGAGTGTAATCATGGTTATATTTTTATGGTCCTTTCTTGAGTCCAGTTGTAGTAGTTGTTCACACCAGGATCACCTTGTACCATTTAAATCAACTGACCGTAAATCAGAATAAAAAATAAGAATAAGAAAACAACTTGGATAATGCTACAGATTTATAAACAGTAATATTAAACTATAGCAAACTTCAAGGTGAAGTATGTAACTTTTCTGATCGAGTGTCTGCCACCTTCTAGTCTCTATGGAAATGTTATTGCTTTGCCTAGAATGTTCTATAGTATGTCATCAAACTTGTCTAACTTATATTTATACAATTGCTGTTGTTTTTATAGTTGAAAATACTTTGAAAAATACAGTGAGCAGGTTCACGTCTGCACTGATCTGACTAACGTAAATTGCCTCGTTGTCTTGTAGGAGACATTACTGAAACATGAAACATACTGTGAAACCTTTTAGGTAAAGTGATATCATCTCCAGACCTTCCACCATAAAAATTACATAGTGTACTTTAAAAAAAAAAAGTTGTATAAATAAAACATATGCATAATTATCAGATGTGTTCATATCCAATCCTCACAGTCACATTCTACAGTTTAAACTGACAGTTGTATCACATGCAGTCTGGTACTCAGTCAGATCAAATACTCTGTTATGTTGATATTTTTTAAATTAAATTCAGTTAGAACTATTGAATACATTTTACATAATGCGAGTGTTGGCCCTTATTTACAGTATGGTTGCTAGGTAGTTATGGAAATAACTTTTGTACACTGCCAGTCAATCTTTTTTATTATGTTTACTACTTTTTGCATTTTATATACATACAGAAGACATAAAAAATACAAAGAAGTATGGAATTAAGTAACTAATATCAAGTAACGTTTTAAAAATATTTTATAACCAAGTCCTTAAACTAGTCACCCTTTACTTTGTCAAAAAATATATATATTAATTTAACTTCTTTATTTACTAAATAATTACATATATTTTGCTTAATATATTTGATGTTTTCCATATGTATCTAAAATGTAGAAATTAGTAGGAAAAAAATATATATAGAAGAAAAAAAACACTGGATGAGAGAGTGAGTGGTAGTGTATATATACCGTGTCATATTAAGTGCCCATGTCCAACCAGTATAACTATAAAGTATTGAAACGATTTAAACAGGAAAAACTTGGCAAGCTTGTAGTACAATCTTAAATATACTCATGTAAAGTGCATAGTAATGAAGAGCAGTTTAAGGACCCTCTTTTTGTCCCCCAGGAGTGACGTCCCTGTTAGACTGGCAGCTGCTTCGTATGGCGCCCTCTCCCTGGGCAGAGCTGGAGTTTGAGAACATCATCCTGGCTGTGCCCTCTGAGGTGGTGCGGAACCTGGAGCGCCCTGATGAGCTGGCAGCTCTCTGGGACAGGATCATGAGGGGCATTGCAGACCTTGCTGCTATCCCACCCAAGTTTAAAAGGAAGGAGCGGTTTGTCTGTGATGTGCAGATCTCACATGGTAGTTTTTGTTTTTTTAGATTTATATTATTTTCTGATATGACCTGCTACAATTATTATTAACTAATTACCAATATCTCATTCTCAACCAGTAAATAAATCAAAATAGAAGCAATACCTATTATGAATGACACACAAATTTGAACCAAAAACTCATTTAACTCATTTGAATACTTATACTGTGTCCAAAGGTCTTATCAAATTGTATTCTGTATGTTTTTCATTCAGGCTGGATGCATGCGGGCTACCCCATCATGACTTTCAGCGAACCTGCTAAAACTATCGTCAATGCTCAACACATAAAAACCAAACCTATTTGGGGCTTCATCCATGAACTGGGCCACAACCAGCAGAGAGCATGCTGGGAATTCCCTCATCACACGACTGAGTGCACATGCAACCTGTGGTCTCTGTATGTGCACGAGACTGTGCTAGGATTCCCAAGAGAAGAGGTATTTCATGTTTGTATCAGGACTCTGTATTTATAACAAAGAAGAGGCTCAACCATAGACTGATGGTGGACTAAAGGCTGTTATACGCTACAGGAGAATTTGCCAGATTTAGGCTGCGATTTGCTTCTCTCCGAGTTCAGGGAGGCATGACCTGATGTGATTTTGAAGCAGATGAGCTCCTTGTGTGAGCGTGTTCTTTATGTCCGAGGTGTGTGTGTGACTCTAAGCTGCTCTGTTAAATGGTAACCACCAAACATCAACAACGCTACGGTAACAGCCAATAAAACAGAGCGTTAGAGGCAGAAGAACAGGTGACAGTTATTTTAATTCCATACATCTTACTTATACAGACTAGTTATGTAACGAAATTGGAGCTGAGTTCAGTGTTAGGAATAGGAATTTATTTATGGACAAAATAATAAAATAAAAACACCAGGATCACGTAGAGCAGATTAATACAAACATTTTACGACCAAAATTACCACGGGGTGACTTTTTTCAATTGGTCAATTGAAGCTGGAGTTGGCGAAGTGCATCCATGCTCACTTCTTAGTTTTGAAAGGAATAACTAAATAGAAATTAGAAATTATGTCTAATAATCTTGTGTCTAAAAGTCTGACAAAGATCAACATGTTTGACCATCCCTTTGTGCCTCAATAGATTGTTTAAAGGTCTTATATTATGTAAAAAATGTTTGAGTAATCCTTTATTTTTAGTCTGTCTGCTTCTCCAAAGCTCATTTTTCAATTAATATCTACCTTGTACTTTTAGTTCAGTAGAGATTGGCAGTTCCAGGGCTCAAATGATCCAAATGATCCTCGTGAAGGTGTACAGACATTAGGCATATAGGTTTTAAGAATGTTGTGATGTGAGCCCAACCCATGTATTTATTAGTATTGCAATGTTCAGAGAAATGCTCATCTTAAATGGGAAACAGCCATCATCCTTCCTTCTGTGAACCAGGAATGAGTCACCTCAGCACCAAGCAGCCTCATCCTACTGACTTCCTTCCTTCCCAAAATATTCCAAGTTTTTATAAAAACCTTTGTAGAATTTTAACTGACTTTGAATATCTATAACTTATTATAACATGCTTTAATGCTTTGTCTGGAATGTTTCACAGTATGGCATTAAACCTTTCTATCTTTATGGAGACCAAACCAGATCAACTTACAGGTCAGATCTGTGGAGAGGCAACCCCGCTCACAGTCAGAATGCCTGTTGTTCTATGTAATTTTTGAGCTATATACCTGTAACTGAACAAATTTAAGGTAGAGCTTTTGATGTCATACTGTGGAACATTCCAGGCAGAGCAGTGACATCTCCATAGAAGCAAGCAGTTGACAGACCCCCAACCAAAAAGTGACACAGTTGAAAATTATTTAGAACCCAATATAACCATCTTTGAATGACGCCAGAGGCCTTTTGACATATGATGAAACAGATCATTCTTCAGTCAAAAGGTGCAAGGCAAATAGATATACATTTGAACAGATATTTGAACAGAACATATGTATTCTTCTGATCTCTGACAGTGTGAGCCAGCCATGCAGATGGAGAAGCGTCGTAATCGGATAAAGGAGTATGTGAAAAGTGGTCGAGACCTCGCGCAGTGGAACACTTTTGTGGCTTTTGAGACTTATGTCCAGGTTTGCCTATCATTTTACACAAGGATAAATATAATTCCCTTAATTTAATCTTTATGTTTCTGTTAGCAAGTAAAGCATTCACCATTTACTCACCAGTTGTTTTATTTAGAGTGATTCGTCCATGTTTGAGTCATTTTTAATCACTTCATTTCAAATCACCATATTGCTGATCAATTCCTGTTTTTACTAGCCAGGCTGGTGCCACCTAGTGCCTTCGCTCAATTTCATTTCTCTACAGTGAATAGGTCAGGAATCGGAATACACTAGAACCCCGGCAGTTGTAGACTGTGCACCGGCCAGTCAGAGAAGAGCTGTGAAGCCTTGACTGGGTCCCTTTTGTGGTACAACACAATAGTAAACAAAGCGGTTGAGATTGATGTAGACGAAGACATACATTCTGTGTTGTGTGCAACCATTCCTGAGATCGAGGATTTAAAGTTGGAACAAAGAGAATGTTTGGTGAATTTTATCAAGGGGAAAGACGTTATTGCCCTTCTTCCTGCGGGATTTGAGAAAAGCTTGATATACCAGCTAGCCCTGTTAGCGGCGCATTACATCCGTCACGACCAAATAGCAGCGACTGGTTAAATATAAAAGTACCCGCCTACCGTCGAGTGAACGAATCCAAATGCTGCGAAGTCACGTTTTCCACGAAGTGAAACCAGGCTATGTTTTTACTGCCACCGACATATGCTCTGTACAGCTCTATATTTACTTCACTCTCCAGTTTTATTTTGATAAAACAAAATAGTCCATTACTCGATGGCATGATCAGAGTTGCCATCTCTTTGTTGTGATGACATTTATAGTGACGTCAACTCCCACTGAGCATCCCGTATTACAATTTAAAAACACAGTGGAGCACCTGCATTACAACATGGAATCACAAGGTGTTACCATGTTTTTCAGGGCTTGTGTGTTAGTCCAGGTATGTTTTTGATGAGGAAATACAAAATAGTGCAGTATGGGCCCTTTAATTCTCTAATCACTCACATAAAAATATATGTCATATATTGTTGATTGATTGTTGTTATAAATCTACCACTAATAATTTACCTACTGATTATTTTCATTGTACAACTTATAATAACATATGATAATTGCACTTAATCTTTGCATTTCTCTTTTTCCAGCTTGTAGAGAGGTTTGGCTGGGAATCCATTAAAAAGGTATTCGCTGCCTACCACACAATGACCAATGTGCCCAACAACAACAAAGACAAGATGAACCTGTATTGTGTGACCTTCTCTGAGATTGTGGGCATGAATCTGAGCGGGTTTTTCAAGGCCTGGGGTTGGCCAATAGAGGGCGCCACTGAGCAGAAACTCTCCAGATTGCCAGCCTGGACCGACCACCCCATGACCCAGTACAAGTGATAGTTGTTGAAAACTTTGTAAAACTGGTGTTGGGTTTGAAATCTACAGACAAATTTCACATGATAGATAATAAGACATGATAAGAAATGGTATAAAAATGTTGCATGGTCTAGTTTGTTTTTCCGGCACTATGTAACTTTTCTAGTGGAGGATTTGCTATTTTGTACCAAGAAGATTTCACAGTATGGCATTAAATTTATGCACTAGTGTATCTCCATGAAGACACGCAGAATCTGTGGACTGTACAATATTTTTTGAGGTATTTTTGAACACGAAAAACACCCATAATGCTATAAATCCAGGTAAAGCAATAACATACGGAGAAAAACAGTGCCCCTCACCAGAAAAATTACATAGTGCACCTTTATTTAAAACAACTGTTAACTGTTGGAAACAAAATAAAAAACAAAAAAAAAAAAAAACAAGGTTGCTGTACCAATCAAACGTTGCTTGGTTAGGGGACTGAACTGTTATTTTTTGTCATCAACATTCTTATAATAAAAAGAACATAGAATATAATATAGTAGCTTTAAAGTAAGTAGAAAATTACACCAAGTGCTCCTCACTCATAGTCCATGGAGATTTAAGCCACATCATTTCATTCTTGGTTGGGGAGGGCATCAGAGTAACTATAATGGTGCACCGTGGACAATGCCTAATTAGTCACATCAAACACTCACCCATACACAATACAATACAAACAATACACACAACCACTGTGTTGAGATGGACTGAGAGTGTAGTTTAATGCTACAGCTAATGCATGACAGACTCAAAAGTTTTCTTTCCAAGAGCATAACAACAGCGTGGGAATGTGCCTTATGCTCCTGTACTCTAATATGGGAGTTTTTTTAGGCCTACTATATCAGTTACCATCACTACAAATCTACTTAACTGGTGGACTTAGGCCTGTCAGTATTAGATCAACTTATTACTCAGTAAATGATAGTGTGTATACTCAGGTGACCAGATTTTCAAAAATAAAAATCTGGGACATCCCTGTTTTTGTTGGTAGTTGGTAACAATAAAATTGTGAAACAAGTGCATAAAAAAGATTGTTATGCAGAGACCATTCGTGACTAACATGTGAGCCAGTATAGTCACATTTTCTGTTTTGGTCATTTTTAAGCAGCGTTTATATTTATAATATTTTACCTAAACTCTCTTTACTGTTGGAAGGTATCAAATTGATCAAAAATAGGGACACCTGGGACATTTCTTGTATAAAACTGAGGCAAAACAATGGTTTTGGATGAATCTGCTGGGACAGGAGATACAGGGCTCAAAACTGGGACTGTAAATAAAATGTGTTTCCCCAGTTTCTCACCTTCCACGTTGGTTGGTCTCTCTCACCCTCATCCAGCTCGGGTGACTGCAGATGTGAATGCAGCACTGAGAGCAATCCCTACCACAAGGTATAAGCAAAGTTAATGAAACACAGCCATTTTACTCATCAAAACAGTGAAAAACAGTGAACTGTTAAATGTGCCTGGTAATCCATGTATATCTAGTAATGTGTTATGATTTTGATTACTATTAAGGGACTAATATATTTACATGACCAGGTCTTTTTATTCCGTTATATTTTTATTTTTTATTTTACAGAGTCCCAATCGGTTTCTGCCCACTAGGTTTTATGATCTGTACTTTTCATATAGTCTCAGCAGAGTTCTGTTGACTATGTAAACAATTATTTTGCAGTTGGATTTCACAGACTTTGTTAAGAGAATTATGTTTATAGAATTTAAACTTACATGGAGATAGATGTAACATCTCCATGGAGACAAACAATATGTTAACACAAGACATGTGAAATGTTCAAACATGAACATGAAGGTTCAGATGAGATACATCACGTGTTTAGGCTAAACAGGAGCTAAAGTCTAAGTGATGTGTCTTCTGAATTTCTTTATTTTTTTCTCACTGTGTGTTAAAATAAAAGGCCCATGTTCAGCAGTTCAGCTTTTTGTCATGACCAATATTATTCTAATATCTGACTGTACAGCTCAGCTGTAACAAGCTGTAAATTTGAAATGTGTATTTGTACTATAGACTGTTGTTAGAGCAGAAACTGTCAGATCTGCACAGTGCACAGGCAGAAGAGGAACATACTGAAGAGCACAATGCGCAGAGAGGTTTAGGGCAGTCTCTAAGGTTAGGCAACAGAATGAATTTGGATACATAAATACAGTAGATTGTGGTTTATTAGAAATATTTTGAAAATAAATTAAAGTTTGCTTAAAATCACAAAACACTTCACTTTTACCAATTTTATCATAGTTGACAACGAAAAATTAGAGTACTATTTTGTATTATTTTGTATGGGTCTCAGCCTTGGAGACAATAGTCAGCAGAAAAGAAGCAGTCTCATCAGGTTTATATGTGGATGGTACGATGAGGTACTCCCCAGGCATTAGCATCACAAGCTTCATCACCTCTCGAGCATTTACGTATTTGTTGGTTTGAGCCACTGGTCTGTTTGTAATGAAGAAAGAAGCTGGAAACTTTTCCACTCCCTGGAACATCAGTGAAAAGACATTTAGTGATATTTTTGCAGATTATCGTTCTATGAATAGTTACTCACTGCATCAGGCACTGCAAAAATGGAGAATCCAATGTACAGGTTTTTTACTTGTCGCCTGTTCCTCTTATTAGGTTTTTGCATGAGTGATACCAGCATATTATTTTCTCCTTGGTTTACAGCACATTTGTCCAACAGCTTGTCAATCTTCACACGATACTGTGGATTTTTCCAGAAACTATCTGCAAGACAGACATTTAGTACTTTATAAATAAGGTGAATAGGTGAATAGTGGCGTGCTGAGGTAAACTTAACACTTACCAAATCATTGAGAAGTTGGCAATACAATACATACCTCGATACAACATATTTCAAATCGATTCAATACAGTTCAGTGAAAAAAAATTATGGCTAAACCATGGCTTATACTTTGTTAAACCACTTATTGTGTAAAGTTAATAAAACACAGTCATTTTACTCATCAAAACAGTGAGAATGTCAAATGTGTTGCGTAAACGAGGTTCCTTCCTTTAAACAATCAGCAAAATTGTAGTACTGTAACAAAATAATTTAGTGACATAGACCAAAAAAATACTCTTAGTGATATATTGATACAGCAGCCCACGATAACAATACTGTGTCATCACATTAAACAATACAATATATTGATATTTTTGCACACCCCTAGTTTATAATACATTCTTTACATTTGAGTAAAACTGTACTTTGCATTGGTGAGTGTGACTGTAATAGTACCGCTGTTGTTCAAGCACCCTCCTGCAGTGGAGCCTGCCACCCATCGGCCCTCATAGAAGGAGGTTTTCCAGTGACAAGTGGAGCTTCCATCCAGGAAGTCAGGACACAGGCAGCAGATGTTCAGGTCTGAGTAGAACTTACAGAAGTCCTCCAAAGTCATCCTTTCATAGCAGAGGTTTCATTAGTTGTTCTGCTATTATGATAATAGTTTTTATATTCAAATTAATGTTACCAAAACTCTCCATCATCAATTACATCAAGGCATGTGGCACGGTCTTGGGGGCTCACCATTTGCCAGAAACGTGACCTGCACAGGTATTGGAAGAACACTGGTTTCAATTGCTACCTTATTTTGAGATTATTACATTTGTACTCAGAAACAATTTGTATGATGTATATGTCCACCGTAATTTGCATTCATTTTCACACGTGATAGTAACAATCAGACTACGCTAATCTTAGTCTTGAAACCGTGTTACTCTTGTGTTACACATTTTTATATATCACTGAAGGAAATCTCTATTTTGCTCCTCTTACTTATCACTCCAGTCTCCTTTCCATTCTCCTTTGCCCCATGGGTTCCACAAACGTACCAGCTTAACAAGCTGCCCCCGGATCTTTATCTAATGAATGGATAAACATACAAAATATAACTGTGCTATTAATGCATGATATATTAAAAAGTAGTCTACAAACTGTACCTCTTTGACCCCTGTTACCGCATAGGCATGGCCATTCACCAGTCCATTTGGGAGGACTGTATTCTCAGATGTTGCCTGTAGAACAGATTTCATTCACAACGATAAAGTAGTAGAAGTTGGGGTTGTAAAATGTGCCATTTGTATTCAGACATGGTACCACACCCATTCTGACCACAAAAGCAAGCAAAGCATTACTGTGCTCTGTTTGACTTAAGCTTTTCACATGGGGAATGTGAAAACATTAAGAAAATGTAGTCACAAACAGTGTCAAAATGCCCAGGCTAGATCCCGAACTGAAATACTTGAATTTCTTGTTGGAACATGTGGACCTTCTTTTGTCTTAACGTACTTGTATGAGTTATTCAAAAACAAATGTATATTTAGATTGCTATGCATATTTTCTCTCATGATCTATGCCAATAGTTATTTTGCCTTGTGGCTGGGTTTAGGCTCCAGTAGAAGTGGCTGCATTTACCCCTGGTGGAATGGCACATGCCATCAGAGACTGAGACTGTCTCGCGTGGCTCATGAGCTCCCATAGGTTTGGAGGAGGACTGGACAGCTCCACACACACGTGAACTCCACCAGTGAAGTCCACCAGAGCCTCAACCGGGGTCCCTGCATTCATGTCTGAGTAAGAGCCGCATACTCTTAAAAACAAACACAGAGTGATTCCAGGGACAGCTCTCTCATGCAAATATTCAATTAGCATAATAAACATGTACTATACTTAGCATAGGCTTTTTCCAACAAAGCAGGCCAGAACTCTTCAGGGTCTTTTGAGTGGACAAAGATGAGTCTGCCTTTGATTGTGGGGAGTTTGTCATCAATAACAACATCCACCCACCGGCCAAATCTCCAAAACTGAGGCACCAGTAAAAGATTTGTATCTGAATTGTATATTGAAGCAAAGTTATGAACAAATGATTTTTACCCTAAAGTGGAACAAACCACAGTAGTCCTCATCAAACGTCTGGTCCTTTGGGATAATCTGAGCCAGGATGGGCTCTTGCAATGTCACAGCTCCAATGGACGCCAAAAACCAACAATTCCCTAAGAATAATGTGTAATTTTTAATAAATACTACTATATATGAATAATTTGACATCCTATTTAGTACCACAGAAATAAATATTTACGTACCCACTATGCCTTGGCCAAAGTCAAACCTGGTGATTCCATCAACAACAAAAGATGGATTTGGAACAATTTTCTGAAACAGCAATATAGAAACGTATAAATTGTCTAAAAGCTTTTTTCTGTAATGTGCACTATCCTTTGTCATACACTCACATGTGGTCTGACCCACACCACTTTATTCATGTCTGAAGACTTCAGGATTCCGTCTCCGATGGATCTCGTGTCTGGGGGAAACTTGTCGTCGATGTAGCGCATCCTCTTGCTCAGACAGGACTGCTTGAGCTGCTGATAGTCCTGGTTGTCGAACTTTTCAGGGGTATCCAGGCTTCTGTCGATGCTCTGGCTTCCACCTGTTGCTTTCTCCATGGCACAGCGTACTTACTCGATAATACACTGTGAGCAAAGGGGAAATTCAATTCTGTCAACTGGACAAAAGCTTTTTGATCGAATACGTTTCACAGCTCATCCAAGCTGCTTCTTCAGTCCAGAGTATGTGTGAATTTTAGTATTTGGGAGTTGACCTCCAGGAATTGCCGCGGGCGGCAATTCCTGGAATAAGGTGAATACAAGCCCATATCTGTGTCACAGGTTAACTATGCACTACGCTGTTTGCAGTGATGTGCACGTGTTTTCATATTACTTTTATTGTGAAATGTGTTTGTAGCCTACTGTGTGCAGTTACACTTCCACGGTGCAGTGCTGTGTATTTTACTTCCTGTTCCTAACACCTGAGAACAGTTCTATGCACCTGAGGCAAACTTTTCCCTCTGGATTTTAACCAATGAGCTGACAGAGTGGTGTCGCGAGCAAATCTGCACGAGGCACTTTTATATGGACTTGGAAGTACGAACGAGAGACGGTGGGAACGTGAGGGTGCGCGAGCGCAGGAGCGGCAGCGACTAAAGTGACAGTGGGTGTTTCTCAGTTCCCAGGATACTTCCTCCAAAGACCACTTTGTAGCGCTCCTCCAGAGTCGCTTCCTCCGAAGCAGAGCAAGTGTCCTGCAGCAGCACACAGCTCCTGGTAGCGCAAAGAACAGGCTCCGGAGGGAGCGACTGCGCCGTGTCACGTGAGACCAAATCAAACGCGATAAAACTCAGAGATTTAACAAACATCAATGCTTCTACAAATAAAAAAGTGTTCAGAAGTGTCTTCATATGTCAACATGCATTAAATGAAGCTGACCCTATTCTTTAAGAGAACTGTCCTTTAATTCATTCGATCTGAAATAGAGTTCTGCGCCGAATACAGCCATGGATTACAGCAGTTACTCTGCCCGGTGTTCTGTAAGTATCCTTTGTACTCTGGAAGGATAACCTACCTGGCCACACACGCACCTTACTCATTTTAATGACATTAATAACATTTGACTGTCTCTGCTTCCTTTGTTTTTTCAAAAAGGACTTGCACAATATTTTATTATTGGGCCCAATTGTTTTTATTTTTCATATTTTAACTTTTGTAGGCCTAATAAATTATTCCTCTATGTACTCTGGATTATGTTTATTTGTGTGAATGCCTCAGACAAGCAGGTGGTGGAAAAGATAAATCGTTGGCCCTACCTGAAATCAACAGAGTTGTAATACGGTGTTGTAATATCGTCCTTAATGAGTTAATTTTCAAGGTGAAAAAGAACTATTATTATTATTGAAATTGCCTTGGAAATCCATATAATAATAATAATAATCATCATCATCATCGTCATTATTATTTCAATAAAATTATTAGACCTATCATGCTAAGAATCCATGTGGGAACCACTGTATTTACACCATGATTATTTCCGATGTGTGTCTTCATCACAGCCGTTCCCATCTCCGAATCACCGCCTTCACACCACACAGAACCAGTCGCTGATACGGATCGAGAACACCGCTTTCCTGTGGAACCGGGCCCTGTGGAACCGGGCCCTGTCATGTGAATGAACTTAGTCCAAAAAGTCCGGGAGCAAACTGCAGCTGTGAACTCACACGCAGACTGATTAGTTTATTCACACTTTATGTCCCGCCCCCTGAATGGGACCAACATGAACTTTGTCTGGTTCTGAGATTTGTTGGGTTACGTAACTCCGGAGTCAGTAACAGATAAACCTGGACATAGGACAGGGACACTGGGCAGACTGCAGACGTGCCGTGCAATACAAATGGCGTCCTCGTGTGAGTTTGAGTCTTTGGAGAAAACTTTGGAGAGCCACATCCCGGAAGCAGAGCTGGCCGAGGTCAAGCGCATTCTGTTCGGCAAAGAAACACAGTGAGTCAACGGGACCCTAGAATATTTGTGTCATGTAGCTGCTGTCTGTCTGCATTTGCAGGTCAGAGGTTTGCGCGTTATGCGCTCTGCGGACTTTGGACAGTTGCCAACCGGTTTTATCCATGCAGTGACTCTCCTTTGAAGCATTTTTTGACTTTACTGTGTGTAGTTATTGTTATTTTTTATCATATTCAAGTGCTAGAATTATATAAACTCAATAATAATTCACCATTTACTTTCGTCTTAATTCAAAATTGTCTAAAATTATAGTATCAGACTCTATCATGGAAATGTCATATTTACAGCTCTAGGAGGCCTATTAAAAGTGTAAAATAGTGTTCTTTTTTGGCTGTCATTTATTTTAGGAAGTTGGAGTTGCCCTCATGTGCGCTGGAGAGTGCGTCGCAGCGGGACTTCGAATTGAAGGGGTTCCGTTTCACCGCGTCTCCGGAGCAGCTCAGAGCGCCCAGAGTGATCCGGGTGGGACTGGTCCAGCACCACACCGTGCTGCCCACAGACGCCCCTGTACAGGAGCAGGTAGGAGATGTTCACATCTTCATACTTCAAATGATACAGGAAAGATATTACAACACAGTTGAGGCAGGACCAACGGAGTATCTTCTCCACCAGCTGCTTATGTTTAATCTGTCTTATCTTTCTCCATGTAAATATAAAATCTATAAACACCTTTCTCCTTACAAAGTCTGTGAAACAAATCAAACTATATACTGCAAATAAATGTTTCTGAAGTTGAACTCTGTTGAGAAGGCTCAGTAGGCGGTAAAATAGGAATAAGGAATTTTAACAATACATGATCCCAGGGTTTGGGGCATTTTCCCTACATTCATTGTTCCTTTTCCATGGAGCACATGTTTTTACCATTTTGCATCACGTCCATCAAGCATTCCTCTCCACCTTTTATTTGAAACTGCAAAGCCTTTGTTTGCTCATTCTTAGATCAATGCAGTACATCATCGGGTTGGAGAGATGGTGGAGGTGGCTGCCATGTGTGGAGTCAACATCATCTGCTTCCAGGAAACATGGAGTGAGTAGTTTGCTCGTTTTTATTTCAAAATAACAAGCAGCAATTCAGTTAGTGTAAATCGTATTTGTTTTCCTGCAGCCATGCCTTTTGCTTTTTGCACACGAGAGAAAGAACCGTGGACTGAGTTTGCAGAGTCAGCAGAAGAGGGCCACACCACTCGCTTTTGCCAAGAGGTCAGTGTGTGCAATAAAACAGGCGACTTGTATTTTAACCAGGAGATGTAAATGGAATAATTACTGAATAAGCAGCTTTTGGAAATGTCAGTGATACATGTGTGATAGATTTCTCAGGTCAAATTTCTCCTGAGGTCTACATACTGATGTTAAATAAGGCAGAGAGTAGGCTGATGGTTCTACTGCTGTAGTGGAGATGGGACTGAGCCGGGTTGCAGTATACACAGTAGCTGAAAGGGCATAGCTAAGGAGGAGAGAGAAAGTATATTATTAATATGAATGACTTGAATGGTGACTGGTTGAGAAGAAAGACAACAGAAACATAAATAGTCTTCCTGGTTTCAACTTCAAAGCCAGTTTCATACATCATATTTTTTATTTAGTTGGCACGTAAATACAACATGGTGGTGGTGTCTCCCATCCTGGAGCGAGAGCAGCTCAGTGAGACTTTGTGGAACACGGCTGTGGTTGTTTCGAACTCTGGGAACGTGATTGGAAAAACACGGAAGAACCACATTCCCCGGATTGGAGACTTCAATGAGGTCTGTGCAAGGAGCTTATGGTGTATCTGTATACAAAAGAGAGAGTATCTATTTTCAAATCAAAGAATTCACTTCACATTTAAGTACCATTAGCAAATCGCAAATGTTCAAATTATTAATTACTTCAAATAGTTCCAGTGGTGAAAGAAGTTCTCAATTTTGTTCAGTGTTGTCCAAGTACAGATACTGCAAAACTCAAGTAGAAGTATCACATGAAAAACCAAAATAAAAGTATTAACGTACCTGTTTAAAAACATACTTAAAGAGTAAAAAGTAAAAGTATTTTGTGCATTTTTTGAGCTCTAATAAAGCTTCAAATGTGGTGATTTTGGTAAAGATTTGTGCTGAATTTTGTTGAGCAGAAACAACTGAATCAATCTTTTTTTCTAGGTTACTTGTTTTTATTTGTATAGTTAACTTGATTCAAATAAACTCTTCATTTCAACAGTTCTCAAACAATAATAAATAACACTTTTCAGTCCTGTTGAAACATTTTGTGATGTAGAAAGTACAAATACTTGTCTCAAATGCAGTAAAGTAAAAGTAAAAAATATCTACTTTAAAATCTACTTAAGTAAAGATACCTTATTTTTATATAGTAAAGTATAGTACTTTACTACTTTTACTTCGTTACAGTCCACCACTGTATAGTTCTTATGTCTATCTTCAATTTCCAGTCAACTTACTACATGGAAGGGAACATGGGACACACAGTTTTCCAGACTCAGTTCGGGAGGATCGCCGTGAACATTTGTTACGGGCGACATCATCCTCTGAACTGGTTCATGTTCAGCCTAAATGGAGCAGAGATCATTTTCAACCCCTCCGCCACTGTGGGAGCTCTCAGGTTTGGACATACACACAATTCTATCAAGTCATTCTGAGTCCACCTCTTGTGAAATGAGTGGTAATTGTGACTTGGAATGTAATTGTGCAAATATTTGTGACCAAGATAAATTCATTTTGTCATGAAAAACTGTGATTTTAATGTTAAAGGTCCTTTATCACGCAACATTGACCCTGTGAGCTATAAGCCATGTTATAATGTTGTTACCTCCTCAAAAATATACTCGGAGTTGTGTTTTGTTTCATTCATACATGTTTGAGTAATCCAGCGTTATTAGTCTGTCTACATTTCCAACCACCTTGTAATGTCATGAAGCAATGTAAGGCCATTCCAGATAGTCCACTTTAGCCAGTCTAAAAACTTCTGAGATGTTTTCAAGCAGAAATACACACTGTCAAAAATGTTAAAAAAGAAAAACTGCTATTGATTATTTTTGTTCTCCACAGTGAGCCCATGTGGTCAATAGAAGCCCGAAATGCAGCTATAGCCAATCACTGCTTCACATGTGCCATCAATAGAGTTGGAACAGTAAGTCTTTGCCTTTTAAGAAATGTTAATTCTAATGGATTGGAATGGGATAACTAATGGATATCTCTAATGGATTTAGATTTAACTGGATCTAATAATAATAATGATAAAAACTATAATTTTCATCATTCAGGAGCATTTCAAAAGTGAATTCACATCTGGTGATGGCAAAAAAGGTGAGTACAGTGAATCATGTCTGCTCATTAGCTCAGTGTATTATATTTCTGCAACATTATGATTCAGTTGTCATCATTTTAAATGTCCATTAATATCTGCTGTCACTTTACAAATAATAAAAAAAGAAATAAAATTTTTTAAAAATCTAAAAAAAAAAAAAAAAACATAATGGACTGGCTAATTCCTGCAGAGAGATATTAATGTGCAATGGTGGAAGAAGTATTCAGTTTTGTTAAGTAAATGTACAGATAATGGAGCAAAGAAATACTCAAGTAAAAGTATCACATGAAAAAATAGTATTAAAGTATCTGTTTAAAAATGTACTTAAAGAGTAAAAAGTAAAAGTATTTCACACAAGTTTTGAGGGCCTCAAATGTTTTGATACAGATTAGTGCTGAATGTTGTTCAGCTGAAACAAATTGTTTTTTTCTAGCTGTTTTTATTTGTATATTTTTGTTTGCTCAAACTATGAATGTGTTAATATTACACTAAACTAATAATTAATAATTAAACTTAATAAAAATACTTTTGCTTTTCAGTCCTGTGCCAAAATGTAGTTGAGTACAGATACCTGCTCTCAAAAAAGTATCCACTTTAAAATGTACTTTAGTAATGTACAGATACCTAAAATGTATACTTAAGTACAATACTACTTTTACTTTGTTATGCTCCACCACTGTTAATATGGTTGATTATTCTTTTTTTTTTCAGCACACCATGATTTTGGACAGTTCTATGGATCTAGTTACGTAGCAGGCCCAGATGGCAGTCGAACTCCCGGTCTGTCCAGGACTCGTGATGGGCTCCTGGTTGTGGAGATGGATCTCAACCTCAACAGACAGATCAGTGACAAATGGAGCTTCAAGGTAAAGTTTGAAGTCTGATGAATAAAAAAGAATATAAAAAATAAGAGAAGATCTGAAATTCCCGACATTTTAATATAAGTGTGTTACCAGAAAAAAAGAGTTCCTAGAGTACCTTTAAAAGTGCATCTCCTAATCTAAACTAGTTTTGTTTTCAGATGACAGGGAGATATGCTGAATATGCAGAGGAACTGACCAAGGCAGTGGCTCCAGACTTCAAACCCAACATTGTCAAAGAATAAAATATCTCATTTAAATGTTACCTCATGAAAAACAAGTAAATCCTCAAGATTGTTACATGTGATCAAATCCTTTATTTACAACATACAATAATAATAAATGCAGCTCTATTAAAAAATAAAGTGTGTGCTTTTTTATTTGTTTACAAAAAGCAAAATTCTTAAAAGAAATTAAATAAAACATCCTCATGATGGGTTTTAAAAGAGTAGTGCAACAAACAAAATACATGAAACATTAAAAGCCACGCAATTTGACTGGAAACGTTTTGAATGGTTTTGAATGAGAACATGATGGTCTTGAGTAAGTTATAGTGAAAGCCTATCCAGCTCGTGTATAGGCTGCAATAGTTTTGATTGAGGAGGTGGCCAGGATAAAATTCAATGGCAGAAGTTGACCTTAAACTGTCAAAATGGTTATTTTTTTTCCTAGTTTGTGGCCAATATCTGTTGTTTGAATGAACATTTAGTCTAGTTTAGTTTGAATATTTGCATATTTGAAGACCTAGCTTATAACAAAACAAATATGATCAGATATCCAGAAGTGTGGATTTCATGTTTTAATACTTTTTCTTTGAAAATCCCACACATTTTATTGGCCACGGCTTTTTATTTGAAAAAAAAAAAAAAGATTTTAATCAAACAAGAGATGCACAAATAGACTTAGTTTATAATAGTAAACAGGAGCAATGCTAAAGATGATCCCATGCAGCTAAAGGGAGACACTTAATTTGTTAGCAGAGATCCTTGTTTGAAATAAACTGAAGATCTGGTGATGAATTTGTGAGTCATTAGTTATATGCATGTAAATCAATACTTTACATTTACATAACATTTTAATATCTTATGAGTTAGCATCAAATGATCAAATGAAGCTTTTGTAATTGCTCCTATCTACTACTCCAACCAATGGACACGTTCAACTTTAACAGATAAATAAAAGAACCCATCAAATGCATTATCAAGCCAAGACAATCCCTTTAGAAGCCATTATTACCTGAGACATTTAAAACCTGTCTCATTTTCCCTGTTTGACCATTAGGGTAGAATAATAATAATTAAACTGTGGTATTAAAAGAAAAATGTAAGAAAAAACTCAGACTTGCTGTACAGACAATATTTAACATGATCAACCCTGAATTATGTGCACACTAATCTCATTCATTTCCACCATTCGGTCTCCCACAAGTTTCACACTTGCAGTAAATACATTTGTAATAAAATTCACTATAGCTTCATCTCAAAATAATATAAAAGAAATGAATTCAGACCCTGCCAGATATTTAAAGATACAAAGGTGTTTCTATGCAGCCAGGGGGACAGTAGCACCAAATGGGACTCCCGTAGCAGCAGCAGCATAGACCAGGCCTGAACATGTACAGTCATTTAATACTGGAATAAACTAAAATTCCTGGATCCATCAGTGGTCTTTATAAATCAAAAGGATATCTTCATCTGTGCCGTAGCTGCGTCGAGCTTCTTCAAAGTTACCAACACTGGTGCTACAAACTCCTAAATGAAAAACAAAATACATGGAATGCAAAGAGAAATCAATAATTAATAAAAACAAATAATTTGTGACCCAATATGTAATATGTAAAATAATTTTTAAGTCAAATGCCCAACCAGATGTTTCCAAAAAACAATTTATGAATGGCTATTATCCTTCTGGTTAATTACTTAAACAACAAAAAAAAATCTCCTGAAACTGAATAATTGTCAATTTGATTTTAACAATTTATTTTAAACATTTATCAATTTACATAATGATAAATGTTTAAAATAGTGGTCTTGATTCAAGTTATTTTACATTTTATATAATTCTACTTATTTTTTCATGAAGATCTCTATGGAGATTTTATTGCTTTTCAAAGAATGTTCTGCAGTATGGCAATAACCCTTTCAGTCAGATCTGTGGATCACCCCTCATAGTAAGAATGTTTGTTTTTCAAGTTTATTTTTTCTGGCAATAGACAGACTTAAACAAACTTTATTGATCCAAAAACTGCCAGTAGAACTGGGTCTTGTCACTGAAATAAAGGTAATGCCAGTAATTGAAAGGATGCAAGATGTGTTTAATGCCATACTGTGGGATATAGCATCCATCTCCATGGAGACGGGTAGGTGGTGAAAAGGTTACATAGTGCAGCATGGAGTGCCTTACGGTCTGAGTAGGCTGGGTTGTTGTAGTAGATGCTGTCAGACGTCCGGTTAAAGCCGCAGACCACCACAAAGTGACCCTGATACTCTGGTTTCCTACAAAAGCACTTCTGTCCCACAGGGAGGAAGCAGCAGTATTTGACCGGAGCCGCACACAGCTCACAGGAGAGTACCACAGCGTTCACCAGGACTATGGCCACATGACCCTGCTGCAGGTGGGACTGGATCTCCTGTACTGACACAGAGCTGCAGGGAGAGCACAAAAGGCAGGGCTTCATTGAGTGATACTCAGTGTTGTTATTCAAATTAGTAGATAGCTTTTAATAAATGTAATAATAATAGAGCCCGACTGATATGGATTTTGTTGTGGCTGATATGATACCGATATAATGGGAGTTGGAGCTGCCGATAGCCGATATAATCACCGATATATTTAGTGATGTAAAAATTCACTGTAAATCTTGAATTATTAAAAAAAAAACTTAGGTTTGGCTCTGGTGGATTTTAAACTGGGTTTATTTAGGCAACATTTATTGTTATTCTGCCTCTTTACATGATATGTCATAGGACTAAAGCAGGTCTAAAGCAGGTCTAAAGCAGGACTAAACCAGAACTGAACCAGGACTGAAAAAGGACTAAACCAGGACTAAAACAGATCTAAACCATGTGTAAAACAGGACTAAACCAGAACTGAACCAGGACTGAGTGTCGGGACTCAGTCTCTATCTCTCTCCCTCTCTCGACCCCAAGAATTAGTCCTGGTTTATTTATTTCATGCTGAATATATTTATGCACGTGTTTTTTATCCTATGCACACACATATTTTTCAAAGTTTCGTTTTTAGCCGCTGCCGCTGTCAAACTACCACGAGTCTGCACGCGGCGTGAAGAGAAAAAAAGTGAGAGAAAGAGAAAACACGGCTCCCAATCCCAATAAGGATCAGGCTCCCGTCGTTCGCTTCAACGAGCCGGCTCTAAGAGCCGCTTCGTTCGCGACCGACCCATCACTACTAGCGAGTAAATAAACAATCGCTATTAGCCTTTAGCCGTAAATGCTGCGCGCTGCGGTATTTATTTATATGCAAAAATGTCATCATTCACACCTCTATTCACAGCTCATTTACATATCAATACAGGTCCAGTAACAAATATGCGGCCAATATAGTCACTTTACAATAGACCAATAGAAAACAGCCTGTTTATGTGCGGGAGCTACAGCAGCTAATCGCTAACCTATCAGAACGAACCAAAACTAGCTTCAAAGTCGACATATTATCAACACTCACCGCTCACACAGGCTCCTCCTCACATCACAAGTCTGCACTAATAAATGTCCTTTTAATCCAGACTCAAATCGATTGTCCGTAAAAAGAATAAAATCTCAGTGTTGCACATGGATCTATGTCTGCGGGTGTAAACAAAGGCACGTAACTCTGGGGGTGTGTTCAGGGACAGTACAGACACACACAGACAAATGACTCCGCAGATAAGTACTGATACAGAGCCACATATCTGAACATTTATCTGTCTGTAAATTGGATTAAATGAACATAATGTAGAGAGTCTAAGCTTTATAACGAGGTATAACATGCATACTTGAAATGCCCCTATCAGCAAGCTTCCAGGTGCTCATATCAGCCGATAATATCGGCCAACCGATATATCGGTGGGGCTCTAAATAATAATATAGTAATTTTAATAATAAAGGATTCGAAAGTACCCTGGCTAGCCACCTGACACTCACTGTGTACTCTAAAGAGACACATTATCAAAATAATCAATGTCCACATAATGTTATTGAAACTAGTTTCAAACTAGATACTAATTTGAACAGGTATTTATACATAATTAGAACTAAGATGGACCTTTCCTGTATAATATTTGATGGATAAAATGGATCTTTATAAGAACTAATCTTGAGACAACATATTACAACAAATGATTTACTCTTATTTACTCTATTCTTAGAGTAGAAATGACATTGTCTAAAGAAATGTTTATAGTCATCATACTATCAACATAAGTATTCATTTTAGTAAATTTACATTACATACCATTTCTTCACTACAACGCCTTTGCTTTCTGCTTTCAAAAAGAGATCATTCACTCGGTCTTCCTCTGTGTCGAAATGTTTCTTATAAAAATCCTGTGGATTAATAATCAAACTATGAGTCTTTTAAAGTCGCTTCTATCTATTGTGTCTATTGTCCCAAGGCATACCTGGTTTTTGAAGCCCTTGTCCACTCCCAAGGTCTGAGTACAGAAGCAGTGGCGGACTCCTACGTGGGACATGAGGTAGGCCAAGTCGATGGTCCAAACGCTCTCCGTCAGTTTAAGCTCCCAGCATGCTCTCTGAAACTGGTCATCATCTACCCTCTGCAAATATCTGCAAAAGCACAGCAGTATTTGTCAAATTAGCTATGTGTTTCAGATGGAAAATATCTACGGTTATTAAGAATTTGCGTGTGAAGTGGCAGTCACGTGATTTAATGCTTTGGTGGCCATACTGGAGGTCAAGACTGGGATTATTCAGTTTATTATATTATAATCATGGCTACTTTAAACAGCACGAACAACATAAAACTGTCCGAAATCGCCAGCTCGTTAGATCAATTGTCATTACAAAGGTATAAAGCTAAAGTCATGCTCCTGGGTTGTGGAACAGATCCCAGTCTAATTCCAGTGGAGCACTTTGTCAGTATAATCAACACTTGCTCTTTGTCCAACCTTTAGTATCTAGAGATTTAAAACTACTTAATTCATTCAACATCGTCCTACACCAACCAAGAACTGAAAAGCTACAAGGGGCTAGAAGGTTATAAATATTTTGTAGGCGGATGCGTGAGATCTTGGTTGATCACCAAACATCACATCTGTTCCTGTTAACAGACAGGGGAAGTAGAATCAGGGTCAAAATCAGAGCCGGAGCTGCCTCGGGACGGTCGAAATAGAGGGCAGAGGTTGGTGGGATTCCTTGCCGACAAACGTGAGGACAGGGGGTGGGCGGGGGGATTCCATGCCTGTACACCGACAAGAAAAATACTTTTGGTATATATCATTTAATTTACTGTAAATCCCTTCTTCGTTTGTGTGGAGGTGGTCCCTCACCAGAAATGAAATATTAACTGCACAAACGACTGTACCCAGTGGGCTACCATCCCTCTCTTTTTATGGCCGCTAACCACTTCTGTCTGCGATCTTTATCAGCCGGGATGCGATAGAAAGATACTTTGGTCTCCTTCTTTTGCAGATTGACTCCAGCCAGAACATCCAATAGCAACACAGGGCAAAACCATTGTTATTCAATTCAAATTTTATCGCACACAAATACTAGACGTTCGTAAAGATGGATAGTTTGACCTCCAATATGGCAGCATAAACACCAGGTCACGTGGTTTTGTGACGTACACGCAAATCCTTAATAGGCAGGTCTGTATTTAGAATGGGTCTTCTCACAGAAATAAAGGTAATATCATAATATCAAGTTTAATATAACAATGATATTCTCTGTCACCTGTCCCCATCTGAGAAATTTGACATAAAACATTTTTGGAAAAATATCCTTTTTGTAGAAATGCAATTGTGAAAAGGTTAGATTTTCACAGATACCATTAATTTTTTTTTCTTTATTTTTATTACTTTCTACATTTTTTATGCATATGGAAGGCATCAAATTTATGAAATAAGATATATTAGTCAGGGAGCCAAAGTCTCAAAAGCTCTAGAAAATGGGTTGAACCTCACATCGCCTGCCATACTTTTTATTTGTGTTTTTTTTTGTTAACTGTGACCCTGAGGACCAATAATTAGAGGGTCTGCTCCTCCGGAAATATCGCGAACCTTCATTTTGTGATAGAAAATTTTGAAAAATGAAAAATTTCCTCAAATCCTCAGTAGATTGGGTAAGCTGTCTACAAATACATTCCAGATGCAAAGAACACATGTGGTGACAACATTCAGTGAAAAAAATATTCATAAAACACATTTCTACATGATTTTGTAGACAGCTTACCCAATCCACTGAGGATTTGAGGAAATTTTTCAAAATTTTCTATCACAAAATGAAGGCTACCTACACTAAAATGGCCACAATTTTTTTCGCGATATTTCCGGAGGAGCAGACCCTCGAATTATTGGTCCTCAGGGTCACAGTTAACAAAAAAAACACAAATAAAAAGTATGGCAGGCGATGTCAAGTTCAACCCATTTTTGAGACTTTGGCTCCCCGACTATATGGAAGTACGTAGTAAAGAAGTCAAGTTATAAAATGATACTAAATATTTTTCAACAAAGCAAAGGATGGTTACTTTGAGGATTTGAATATGAGATATAAAAATGTTTGGTGGCGTTATTTAACTTTTTAAAGTTAATTTTCTTAATTCATATATTTGATGTCTTCTGGATGTATACGAAATAGTAGAAAGTAGTAAAAGAAAAAACAAAACAAATGTAAATGTAAAAATGAGAGGAAGTGTCAAAACATTTGTCTGGTAGTGTACATTATAATTATTGTAGAGATCTAAACTATACGGCTAGCATTTTAGATAATAGAAAGTCCCTTTGGGTTTGGACACAAAATATTTTGTTGTTTGTAAAAAGCATAAAATGTCGTCTGAATGTGTCCATTGAAAATTTGGTTTTGGATAATAGTGATTAATCTTGCAGGCATAAAATATATTCCATAAAAGCCAACAGATGATGAAAGCATTTAAATTGTGTTATAGAGTATTAATAGTATTTAAGCAAACTAATAAAAAAGTATACAAGTGATTGAATGATTCAGTGACTGAGAACTGAATTTAGATTTAAAACTCAACTCCCAGCTGTGCAGCCCTAGCTTTTAACATTAACCAGTGTATTTTATTTATAGTGTGAGATTGCTGTCATTCTGTGCCTCTTCTCCAACTACCACCCAGTCAGAAACAACATTCACACAGAAAAACATGGATACTAATTTTACCCAACAAGAACACATAGATAGTATTTATTATTTTTGAATTGTTACTTTGACTACTTACTTTAGGACCATTTTGGAGCAGGCCAAGCCACAGTCCCAGTGAAACTCCTGCCGAATGACAGGTACAGCCAGTAGAACCACATCATCTGAACAAAAAGTCAAGAATTACTATGAAAATGACAGAACAGTGATCCTCAAGGGAAACTGTATGGTCATGGCGGCTCAATTTTGATATATACTTAAAAAAATACTGTAAAAGGAATAACATAGTGATCAATAATTAAAAGTTGGCATATAGCAAACATACACACATCAACATAAAAAAATAAATGCGAATAGGCCTAAGCTATGTCATAAAGAAGCTTAGAGATGGTAGTAAAGGGATGGATGGATCCTAGTCCTATGTTATTCTCAATCAGCAACGTTTTTTAGGTAACTTGAGTTTAAATTGTTAGTATAATCCTCTCACTCACCTGTCATGATGTTATTTTCCCGGCACACCTGCAAACTAAGACTTTGGTCGTGTTGAAATGCTTAACTTGGGCTTGTTTTCCCACATCGATGCTAAGAGCCAAACCCACTCATCTGAGCCGCATCCGAGCTCACCGACACAATAGTGACATCCTTAAAGGCCAAACAATCACTTAAGGATAGAAAAAAATAAACATCAAGAGTAAATTTTTGAGATATTGAGTTTTAAAAGTGTTTTTCTGAATTCTCCGTCGCTGTTGTTGTTGCCCCACATTAACATTTCTTTGGTTTTGGTGTAAATGCTCTGCCCCGTGCGGTGTGGGGTAGTCATTACAACTTAAAAAAAAAAAAAAAAAAAAAAAAAAACGACAATAGAGTAAAACTTGGAATAAAAAAGTAAAATGTAGCACAGTACAGACATACATTTGTTTTTTTATGTAAACATGCAGGCCTGACCATTCTAAATTTTCGGAGTGGCAGCAAGTGGATACAGAAGTGAAGTAGAATAATGCAATATCAACAGAGATGATAGGATTAACTGTTGGCTCAGAATATCCCAGAATATAAAGAGAGAGAGGGAGAGGAGGAGAGAGGAAGAAAAGGTGAGGAGAGAAGGAGGGAGAGGAACATGGACTACACCCATTTCAACATGGGTTAAATAAACCATTGTGGATAAACAAACATTTAGTGGAATACATTTTACTTTATTGCCAACTCATTGAAGGCCTCTTTCATGAAAATGTTTTCTTAACTTCCACTTTAAGAAAATGCCAGATACACAGTGGATTCTTAAAAAGACAAATTCCCTTTTAAAACCACACTATGTAACTTTGTAGCCAAAAAAAAAAAAAAAAAAAAACTACAATAAAAGCATTCTTCACAAGCCTTACTCTTACTTACCCTGGAGGTGGGCCTCGTACTTCCATAGTATACTTAATTATATCATATCATGTATCACTGTATCATGTTATCATTACACTATAGTATAAAAGGCATCAAAGACCTATCAATCTCCATGGAGAATGTTCTGAAATATATCTATGGGATCATGCAGGTGACATGCCACCTCCACAGAGTTAAACCCCCACAGGTCTACACAGACTGTTACTTAGAGTCTATTGGTCATGTACATGTATAACTGCATCCTATTGTTTAATCCACTTTAAGTCAGGCTATGTAAATTAGTTCAGTTCCTTATTTGTTTTAAAATACTTTTATGATAATTGTATAAGCTAATTAAGGCAAAATAAAAAAGAGAACATGCAAGCTGCTTGTCAGAGGCATATAGTGCTGGTTTCAAGATATCTTTAGTGGGTTCCGTAGGTGGCCATTGAGATCTAAAAAGACACAACAAAGGAAAATGAAAATGAAAATCTTTTTAAACTCTATTATGAAGTTTCTGAAGAGCTCACAGATTCAGCCTCTGCATCCTCCTTCAGATAAGTGACCTTCTGTCTGCTGTAATAATCTCTTTTACTACTGCATGCCAACATGAACCAGTCTGCTACCGTAGGCACCTGAAAGGGACCACAAGAACACACTCACGTAAAATAAAAAATACAAGTAAAATATACAGTTCTTGTAGGTTCATTTTGTTAGTAATTATTTTTACATCTGAAAGAATGACCTTCTTTTGCTTTAGCTGTAAAGTAACCCTAAATATAATAGATTATACTTTTAAAGTTGAGATGCATCATAGTGTAGTATAAAAAGTCCTTGTACAAAGTTGAAGCAAAAATAGCAGACAATACAGAACTAAACACTCCTACTCACCAAACTAAGAAAAGACAGTGCTGCCCCAAGGTTTACAATAGTGGGCACAATCCCAAATTTACCTGCCTGTAACAATTGTAAGTTGTAAATTCTTCATTTACATAATGTTTTTGTTGATAATATGCCTTACAGTGCCAAATACAATGATATCAAAACGGATGCCATAAGCTTTAGTTAGTGTTCTGGTTTCTTCCCCATCAGCAGACTTGTAATATTTGGCAAATCTAGAAGAAAAAATAATACAACATTTTGTGGTCAATTATATTTGGTGGAACAAAATGTAATAGTCAAAATGTAGTAGGAGGTTGTGGCCAACAAGGTGCCACAGTGGGGCGCCAATGACAAAAAAAACAAAAAAAAAAAAAAAAAAAAACAAAACTGCTGTCTTTGGACAAGACATTGCCACATTGCGTAGTATGAATGTGGGTATGAGTGTAGTTGGTAGTCGGAGGGGCAGATGGAGCAGATTAGCAGCCTTGCTTTCGTCTACCCCAGGGCAGCTGTGACTACAAGAGTAGCTTACCAGCACCAAGTGTGGAGTGAATGAATTATGTACAAAATTGTAAATCAATGCTGAACTTTTGGAAAAGTTAAAATGTTGTGTTCACAACATGCGTCATAGTTATAGGTTGTGCAAGCTGAACAAGTGAAACAGGTTTTTCTCTAATGAGAACCAGTGACATAATAAATCAAATAAGAAAATAAATAATATGAAAAGATTACCTGAAATTGTATCCAGGAGCTACATTATTGATGATGTGTTTGTTGTCCAGTCTTCTGAAGCTATATTTGGGGAAACACTTATCTGTCCACCACCAGTCCATATCACAGCTCCAATCAATCAGGATACCCATAACACCACCCTGTATAATTAAATAAATAACAATTTAAAAAACTAAACAAACAAACAAACTGAAAGAGGAGTATGCATCAAAGCTGAAGAGACACTTCATGGGTTTCATCTTCCTGTTACAGGAAACATTTTGAAAACTTTTCACCATGGAAATGTATGTTGTTAATTGTAATGGTAAAGGTTTATTATTCTAGATATGTAGGCATAACAACATAGCAAGCCATCTTCATTGGTCAATCTGACAGCAATTAGGTTTTTTTTTTTTTTTCAATAACCAAGGTGTGGGCATACAAGAGCACTGGAACATGGGCATGGACTGTTGGGGGGAGGAAGGGGTGGGTGCAGGAGTTAATTAATGACCATTACAGAAATAACAAGAGTGTCTGATGGGGAAAAAAGAACAACAAATCTGTTTTATAGGTGATGTGTTCTCACTCTCATTGTTTATGTATAAAAATGCTAATACAAATATTTGAAATATAAAAAAAACAAACAATATATTGGGAAAAGTCCTGGGTTAAACCATATGTCTGATAGCGACATCCATAACCCAAAAGCCTATCCATACAGGCAAAAAAGGTGATGTGTCTTGCTCAACAGCACAATTTACAATGACAGAATACAATGCTGCATGATAAATGTAATAGAATCATTTACCATCAAATGTTACAAGGAGATTATCAGGAACAGTTGACTCTTTTTCTCATTTAAAGACAGAAATTGTTCAGTTGGCAAAAACACTAACTCAGGTTAGTAGTTTGAACCCTATATTTTGTGTCCTTGGGCAAGACACATCACCTCCATTGCCGTCTGTGTCTGCATACAGTATGAATGAGCGGATGCATATTATGTGTGTAATGTGAAATGCACGTTCAGTGAAAAAAACATCCACATCCACCCCAAATGTGACATAACAGATAGCTTTTGTACCTTTACTGCCATTTCCTGAAAGTCCTCTCCTGCCTCAGAAACTATGTATTTGAGTCGAAAAATGGGGCAGTTGGGGTCTGTTTTATGGTGAAACTCACAGCTCTTCAAATAGGATGAGTTTACATGAATATTTCTCCTAAAAAAACAAATAATGTTAAGACTACAGACACATAAACCATTGATTCTTTCATTTCTCTGACATATTTACTCACCGATGAAACTTGAATTTTGGATATGTCACGGTGTTTTTGATCAACACAGTGAAGTTTTCAGCCGCAGCTAAAAGAGCAGGACTAGAGGACAATACCATACAAGTTAAGGTCTAAAATGTTAATAAATCGATCAACTTGTGTCTCACTTTGGCAAATTTGTGTCAAACTCCAATGGGCACCATGAAAACACCTGACAAGTTTGGACTGAATCAGAGAAGTTCACACACAGCCCAGTCTGGATACCTACAGAATAAATCATATTATTTAGTATTGCTTCGTTATGACTGTATTTTAGATACAGTCACTCATACGATTTTTTTCCCCCCAAATACCGTTGGAGAAATAAAGACATTTTATTGAGTTGCCAATGTTTTTTTTTTTTTTTACTCAAGCGTCCCAGTCTGCACACAAAAGCTTAATTTGAACAGCTCATATAATTAACAATAATAATACATCTGTTTTATGCTTCTCACAGTAACTCAGACACTTCACAACACAAAGGAGAGGACAAAGAAACTCAAGTAGTGAGGAAACTGTCATTTTTGGGGGTTATAGGCTATGAGGAAAAGGTGATCTTTGAGCTGTTTTGAAAGTGTTCAGTGAGTCCGAGTTTCTGATGTGGAGGGGGAGAGAGTTCTAGAGATTTGGGCTAGCAATGGCAACGGCTCGGTTCCCCAAGGTCTGGTGCTTTCATTTGACTGTAGGAGTGAGGAGGTTTGAGTCAGATGATCAGAGGCTGCAAGACGGTGGTGGGCTGGAGAAGATCAGTGAGGTGTAGAGGGGCATGGCTATGGAGGGCCATAATGTGCTTATGATTTGAGTCAAAACATAACCAGTTGAGCTGATAACAGAACAGAAGAGTCTGTGAAAATTCTTCCCAAAACATTTTCACTTTATTTCTTAGAAACTGAGGTTCAAATACTTCTGCTTTCCCAGAATCACATGCTAAAATGCTGATACTGAAGATGTGACTTCTGTGCACACTGTGTCTCCCGTAACACTTCTTACTACAGCAGAGTGCTCACTTCTGTGTTTTCTAAAGGGCTACACTTGTACTTCCCATTACTGTTTGACAAATAATTATACAGACTTCACCAGAAGTAGTAACTGTTTCTACAAAGTTGCCTCCCCACTTTATTTATAAGATGTGTCTTTATGACAGCTACAGTGTGACCATTGCTGCACGTTAGACTATCCTCTTAGCCAATAATAAGTAACTGCACAGCGAGTCGCAGCCTGTGGCCCTGGCCACTGTCCAGATCTCAGTCTCCAAACAAGGTTATCTGTCATCTAACGGTGAGTATATCTACAGATATTCTTATATAAGCCTCACAGTGCAATTCCTCACATTTAGACTGATCTTGTAGTTGATGGGACCTGTGATAGTAAACTTCTGTACAGATTAGCTGGCAGTTTAAATCTGCAGCACACACCTCTCCTCTCCCGCTCCTCATACAGGCTTTCAATACTGTCACGAGCTAGATGCACTTAGATATTTCTAAATAGATAGGGCATTAAGGGTTTTGTTTTTTTCAACAGAATTATGAAGTGGTCCAGAGGAGTCCGCGTCTCCTGTCTACTGACACTTGTGACTCTTGTGGCAGTAGTCTGCAGTCAGCAAGACTATGAAGAGCTCAACTCAATAGATGATCTGAAAAGAGTTTTCTCAGAAAAGTCTTTTCCTTTACACAGCCTTATCCTGCTCCACTGGTTTGCCAACAATGTTGATATTGACAATAACAATGTTGTACGTGTGGGCTTTAACCCACAGGCAGACTTTGGTTCACATTTCTATGGCAATTATGACAATTTGCTGCCTTCTGCTCCCAGTGGATTCCAGTACTTCACTGTGGGCAATGTGAATCGGCCTCGCGGTGACATCTGTCCCATATCCCAGAGCTTTCCTGAATATGTTCTTTACCCTCATGTTATAGAGTATGCAGCCACAGGGAGAAACAGGGATCGCATTATTATTAGTGTCCAGAGACAAAACTACGGCCCTCGAAGGCTTGACCAAGCATATCTCACTCAGCATTTCAGACGCCAGGACAACCAGGGCTCCAGGTATGACCCACAGCACACCTTTCTAATATCCCCCAACCTGCTGCAACAACTCCGACTTTTTTCATTCAATGACAACAGCCCATCTCTACAGGAACTCAGGGACCGCTTTAACCAGAACATTGATGACAACCAGTTAAATGACATCATTAACTTATGGGGTCCTGACCAGGCACCCCTTGGGCTGTTGTTCTCAATTGTAATCCGAGATAGAACCAACCTGTTTGGAGTGTGCAGTACAAGCAGGCGCTGGAATAGGGATTTAGCAGTGAAAAAAACAGGGGAGTGGAAATATTGTGAATTGCAACAGATTCATCTCGATGTGATAACTGGAGGTAATGGAAAAGCCACGATTCTTTGGAGAAATGTTCCAATGCAGCAGATAAACAATGGAGCGGCTGTAGTGCTTTTCAAAAACCAGATGGACAAGGCTAGTAACATATATACAAAAATTAAGAGCAGTGAGGGCAGTTTTGTCACCTCAGTGTCACTGAATGAGGGGCTTCAGGCCAGGCTTCACAAAGTTCAAGGTTACTGGGAAACATTAAAGGAAGAAATCTGCAGAGGTAAAGAATTTCAAAGTCCACATGTTGTTTCAGTCACAGGCTATGCTGAACTGCAGCTCTTTGTGCGGGACGGTAAAGGCTGTTTTCGGCTATATATAAAGGAAGACTGCAGTGGTTGGAAATCTGACTTCTCTGAGTCATGGGTAGGGTTGTACACTTCTGCTGGAAAAGACCCAGAGGACTTTCTAAGTGGACAGTGGCAATGGGCCATCAAGTTCCAAGAAGCCCAGGACTCCGGAGAATATCAAACCTTTGAATACTGCACTAGCACAACAGTCATTCCAGGTCTCCAAGCACGGTTTATGATCGAGAACTACAACGAGAAAGCACGCACTCCTATGTGGCGCTGACAGAACAGCTAGAAAATAAAATGAAAAATAGTAATCATGTATACACTTTTAAATATGAAGATCAAGAATGATTTACATGGATTATAATAAAATGTACTGTTCTTTATTTTGATTAAGAATTTGTATTGACTGTACTTTACTATTCTATTAACTTTAACCTTGAAAAAGATGCGCATCATTTGAAAAACAACCTTATGCACATTTAACAACAATGTACAATAAAATGTTGATAATGTTGATACTAAATTATGCTGATTCCACAGTGCAAAAATTATTTTTTCTGTATAGACAATTGTCAAAGTTAAGAATATTCTCTCTCTCCCAAAACAAATTAAAATAATATAAGAAATACTGCCCCACAGATAATAATAATATTGTTACCGTGTTAATGTTAATGTGTTTAGAGGAGTAAATGCTGTACCATTTCCCTTGGGATGGTTGAGTCCCTCGATGCAGTCACAGTCGTCCACACAAACCGAAGAGGGACTGGGAGGCTGACAAAAATTGCACTTTTATAACTTGTGCATTACTTAAGTTTACGATTACTATTTTGCTCAAGCCAAGTGCTTACTTAGGGAATACTTTGAAGTAACAGTACTCAAAAGATAAATGGTCAGTGACATACCTCAGGACAGCGGGACTGAATCTGGTCCGGTGTGACTATCATATTAGTAAGAACAAAAAATGACTCATCTCCCTTAAGGAAAACACAATACAAGAAAGATATACTTTTTTCATTAGTACGGCTGTTATAATATACCAAAAGTATCCAAAACTTGTACTGTACTGCATGCATTTAATAAAAAGCACTAGCCCCATTGTAGTTTAATTACCTGAGGGGGGATGATGTAGTCTGCCGTATCCCAGAAACGAGGCTCCTGTTCGGACACATTGGTGAGAGAGAAGCCCTTGACTTTGGTGGTGACTGTACTAAGCACGGAGTCCGTCTCTTGATAGGCTTTCTGTATCACACACACATACCTACAGGAGACATCAGAAATAAGGTCAAAAATATGACCTGGTTTAGTCCAGCAAACCTCATTTAGTCCTGGTCCTGGTTTAGTTTTTGTAGAATTTGATCAGATCTTGTGAAGTCTTGATTTCATTCTTACCTACACAAAAGTATATTTTATCCTGGTTTAGCTGCTATTATGAGTTAGTTTGTTGATGGTTTCTCCACTTCTGTTTTCTTCTTTAAACTAACATTAAAGGGGCATTATGTAAATTTTCTGGTGGGGATGTCACCTGTTCTTCTCCATGGAGATGCTAAAAGCTTGCCCGGTATGTTCCACAGTATTAAATTCCATTCCATCTCACATTTATTCAGTTACAGATATGTTTTTAATTAACTTTTACAGTAAGCGGGGCAGTCTCTTCAAAGATCTGACTTGTAACTTGGCCTGGTGGCGTACACTGCTTCTCCATGGAGACAGACACATTAAATGTCATACTGTGGATCATTTCAGGTGAAACAATAACATCTCCATGGAGAATAAACACCGGTAAACCCTCCACGAGAGAAAGTTACATTTACAACATAATTATATTTCAAATGAATGAAGTACTTACACGACAACGTAGAATATTACCAACAGTTGAGTGAATCTGAAAACGCAGCCCACCCGCAGACTGGGGATGACCACAGTTTTGGGGGTCTCATAATCGAACACATAGTGAAGAGTCTCCTGGCAACACGTCCCACTCATATCTGCTCCTGCTTGAAATGCTCAGTGAAGGATAGTTGGACGTCAAACTACTATTCAAATACAACTATTCAAATTATTCAAATCACTTGCATCACTTCATACAACTCAATTGAATTTGTTAAAGGTGCAAATGCTTTTCTCCATGGAGCTACTGTATACTGTTTCACAGTACAGTATTAAATGTTTCTATCTTCATGGAGTTCAAACCAGACTGAGTTATAAGTCAGATATGTGGAGCAGCAACCCTGCAATAAATGTAATAAGTATAAGTAGAGCTGTTTAATGTCATACTGAGAAACATTCTAAGCAGAGCAGTGACAAATCCATAGAAACAAGCAGGAGATGGACCCCGAACCAAAAAGTTACACAATGCATATTTAACATGCATAAAGAAGTTCATTTTGTAAAGTTGTGAATAAGAAAAATAAGCTGTTACTATTGTTAATGGGGTTCACGTGAAGACACAACAGTAAATTCACTATCACAGTATACATAAATTACATTGTTGGTACTAGGGATGTAATGATAACTGAAATATCATGTTATCGTATTGTCAAAAGTCTCGCAATAATATCGTGAGCCATCGCAATATATCAAATTAGAGATCTCTTGGCTTAAATTCATTGTTTTGGTGCAGTAATAGCAGTAATAAAAACACTGAGTGAACTACATATACCATGATCCTTTGCTCACATTACAGCGCAGTCTACATAAAAAGTAACACAAAAAATAATCAGAATCATAATTTTTAAGCATGTTTAAATCTTAATTCTTTGATTTATGGCAGAACAAAAGTCTTGTCAATGCATTTTAAAATAAAAAAGTTGCATTTCACAATTTAGTTTGAGATTTGAATATCGTTACACCCCTAGTTGGTACTAATACCTCTAATATCTTAATTTAGCAGTATCAGGATTTTAAAAATGTCTGGTTCAAACCATAACAATGATGAAAATGTACTTGTTGAATACACCATGTCAGTTCATCTATTATCATGACAAATTTCTTGTTCACAGTGTGGTCCGATAAACCCACCCTATTTCCCTAGCACTTGGAGATACAATGCAAAGTCTCAAAGATAAGAAACTAAACCAAGTACTACACTGTACTGCTGTTGAGCACTTTTGAGTGAGCGATGTCACACCTTTGAAGTGCTTTTTAGTCATAATAGAAATAATAGAAGTAGAAATAGTTTTATACTCTCATAATTTTAATCTGAATAGCAACTTAAGATCATGAATATTAACATTACTTTAAATTAGTTCATTCATATTGTTTTATTATTATTTTTTTTCATTAATATATTAGCTACACATGCTACTTTCTTTTATGTGTATTTAACTTACAATGTTACATTTTACATTAACAGACACAGTTCACTAAAACAGTGACGTTAGTTTGGGATTCAAGGCATGATGTAAAAATAAACTACGCTGACATTTCAGAACATTTTTAATTGAACATGTTGTATTTAGAGAAATTAGGCCAAATAACAAAATAAACTACCAAAATGAACACAATATGACTAGATTTCATGTTTTGCAACAAATGCTGATTTAATTTTACAGTGGGGGTCCTGGGTTTGTTGGTTGTAAACACATGATTTACTTTAGTCACATTAACTTTTATTAATACAAGACAGAAACACACTGGTTCAACACACATTTAAACACATCTTTTTGGTTTAGCAATAGTACTTTTCTTAACTGTTCAGGCAAGTTTAAATGGCTACACAATATTTAACACGAGCGACTGAAATAAAGATCTGCTTGAACTTTTTAAAAAATTATCTGTAAAATTGTACATATGGAAAACCGGCAGATATGCTGAAATAGAGGGGAGATTGGTCAAAATTGGATTGTTGATTGTTACCATATAACAAAAAGGCAGGTCCATATAGTAATCAACATGAATAACACTGTTGCACCAAACTAAGAATAGCAATAATAGACAAGCAAGCAGATACCACAAGGTTCATTCATTTAGTGATATTTTGGTCCATACATTATCTATCTACTAGAGACATCAAACATTAAAAAGGTCCTATATTATGCATTCTTGTGCCTTTTTCAACTACCTTTGGACACACTAGCATTGATCTTTCATGTTTTAGAACTTAAAACATTGTATTACAATTCTTTTGAATCCAACAAGTAAAAGTCATTCAGCCTTGAATTTTTACATACAAAATGCTACGCACTGAGGACGGAAGAGGTTCAAGTGAAAGTGTGTGGATTTTAAATAAAAAGGGTGGATTTCCTGGTGATTTAGCATAATATAGTACCTTTATAAGTAATTATATACAGCTACTTTCGTACCTTAAGCGCTTTGGGTTCAAGTAAAATGTAAAGGCAGCAACATCATGCCACAAGAACAGTCCATAGGAATAGCTACATAAATTTGCTTTGTAAAGCAATACTACGTATCTGTGTGTGTGTGTGTGTGTGTGGGGAGGGGTGCACATGGTGGCAGAGTAGTTAGCACTCATGCAAAGGAATGCTTGATATAAGCCTTCAACTGGATAACTAAGGAATTTCTCCCCGAAGTCCTCCCCAAGTTAATGACAGACAAAAATCAGACTAAGATGAACAGTAATAAGAAACGATTTTAGCTTCTCTACCCCAATCTGACTGTACCTAGAAATTGGGTATTTGAGTACTGTCACTAAACTTACAAGATAATGTCTTGAGTAGCAGATGCCTCACTTGACTACACCACCAACCATATAATCCAATGAAGAGGTTCAATATCATACAATTTTTATTTGATTTCATTAGCCACTATATCGATGACTTAATAATTACTAGAATAGTGATATTGTACCACTAGGATTATTTATTTTTGTATGAAATAGAATAAGACAAGGAAGGCAGCCTATAGAACTTAGTAATTCATTTGGAGTAAATATTACATCCATTATTACACCCAATGCCCCTGCTTTTTGGAATTCGAATGTCAAAGTGCAATTATCTACTTTGTATTACATCACTTTTGGATTTTAAAATTCATAAATCTTCAGTCCTTCAACTTCAAAAATGTCTCAAATTCGTCCAAAGTCAAAATCCATGCCTTCATGCAGGCTGCGCTCATTGGCATTATCAAAACTATTCTTTCCATGTATTTGTTTGAGATGTTTCCTTAGCACAGGCTTATGCGCAAACACCATTTCGCAGTAGTTGCATCGATGTGGCTTATCCCCACTGTGAAGATTCAAATGATCAAGCAACGAACACTTTTGAGTAAAAGTTTTTCCACAAATTTTACACTGAAATGGTTTGATGCCCGCGTGCACCCTCATGTGCCGATGCAGGTTGCCTTTCTGCGTAAATGTTTTTCCACAGAGCAGGCACATAAACAGCTTGTGCATTTTCAGATGGTTGGCATAGTTTTCCAGTTGCCGGAAAACCCTTGCACACTTTGGGCATTGGTGGTACCACTGTGGCGGCTTGTCATACCCTCTTTGGTGAGATTTTTCATTGGATGGGGAAGACGGAGGCGGGCTTAAAGTATAGTTTGACAAAGCAGGAGGAAGGGCGATGTCACTTCCTCTACTGTCCACTGTTGAATTGATAAGTGAATGCTGTGGCTCAGGAGATCTCATGGAAGCGACTGGACTAGATGGAAACTGACCTGTGATCGTGTTTTCCTCAATTTCAGACACAGACTCCACTTTGACTATAGCAATATCATCCTCATGTTTGGGTTGTCTGTTTAGAAATGTGGGTGGTGTTTTGGGTTCAATTATCACATCATCATCATCATCATCATCCTCTTCATCTTCAGCGTGATTCGAATCTTCATCCTCAATTTGCTGGATTAGCTGGTCCTCTTGAGCCTGCTCCCTCAAAGCGAGCGGAGGGGAGTCCTTGGTTTTGTCCCTCCTCAAATCCACTGCTAGCTGGCGTGATGTTTGAGGCTTGATAAATTTACTTAGCGCCTGCGTGCACTGCTCCACGATGTGTCCCATTTGAAGAAAGCTGGCCACTGTCAAATAATGTACCAATTCTAATTCGGGGAACTCCAACTGTCCAGTATAACAAGACAACAGCAGCTGCCTCCCCACCTCAGCTTCTTGGATCATAGATATTTGGACCTCCCTGGAGTCTTGTTGCAGGATGAATTGATCTCTCAAAAAAGAAGAACCAGCAGCAAAAACCACTTTATGTCCAGAGACGTCCAGGTGGTTAATGCGGACAGTTACGTCGCAAAATCTTCTCTGGTGGCGAAGTAGGTTCATCTTCTGCAGCATGGAGTCTCCAAACGTAGCAAACCGAAACTGCAAAATCACCTGGTTTTGGGCCATGGTGGACCGAAAGCCTGCAGTCACAATGGGCCTGTGGAGAAAGATGATATTCAGATAATATTCTCAATGTGTTCATGAAATATAAGAATAAGCAACAAAAGGAGGATGCTTAAACTGGGTCAAACATTTCATTTTTAAAATTTGTCTGGAGGAGTGTTGTATGAGTGTTTTTGTTTTTTAAAGTTAAATTTCACATGATAATCCAATTTTGATTAATTTTCAAGCTATTGTGATCTTCACTGGGTTCAACAGACATCAACACATTACCCCAGTTTTACTTCCCTTCACTCTGCCTGTGTGTTTTAGAGTCGATTTTAAGATTTTACTGATCACTTTTAAAGCTTGTTTAAGTCTTGCACCATGTTACATTTCAGAACTTTTAACCCTGCCTGAGTCCTCCCACAGCCTTAGATCCTCAGGCAGGAGCCTGTGACTGTTCCAAAGTCCAGGCTCCAGACGAAAGGTGATGGAGCCTTTTACAGTTCAGTTCAGTCTTTTCAGTATTTATTTGCCCAAAACTAATGAGTGCATCTGAGCCATAGCAATTAACAACACACACATAAGATTAACTTAAATATAGCTCATCTAAAATACAGGAACTGTAAGTCTGTCCGTATATATGAAAGCTTTTTTACATTTATTTATTTATTTATTTTTTAGCTCAGTGAACACAATACGAAATTTTAGAGCAATCTGCTAGCATAGTGGGGTTAGCTTCGAAGCTAACTATTTGTGTTGTTTAAGTTGTTTAAATAAATCTTGCTGAACTATTAAGGCCTTATAATACAGTCATACGCCGCACTTAATAATCGAGTAGTTGTAAAGCTCTAGGGTAATGCATTCCCATGTTTAGGACGTTATTTACGCCGGTGCACCCCTGCACGGTGCTTCATGCTAACATGCTACACCACGCACACGAATGCATGGCTCCAAATACTTGGTTATAACCGACCTGTAAATCAGCGGATCTTTGCTCGCTGTTTGGGTGTTTTGATGCGGTCTGACGTGAGTTGACTGCAGACACCGCTGGCCTCCGTCCCCAAAGGGAAAAACGAACAATGATGATGATCCGGATGAGAAATGTTTGAAGGGACAGCGTCGACCTGGGTGACGTCACAGAATAATAAGGTGCGGATAAAGCCAGTGTCCACTGAAAACGCCTCCCAAAGCAAAACTCCGCCCATAAGCAACATGTTCAAAATGCTCCAGAACAAGCACATGATTTTATACTTCCAAGAGCGGGCACATGGCTCTATACTTCAATGCGAAGGCACATGGCTCTCTACTTCCATGAGAGAGCACATGGATCTACACTATCTACAGTGGGTAGTGCTCGGTGTCTTGGGGGGAGTCACCGTGATTATAGTAATGGGTTTAAAGACCATGTCCCGAATGAAGATTAGGTTAACTCTGGTGAATTTTCGTTTGGATATTTTTTCTGAATGTCTCCCTAGAACAAAGGACTCCAGCCATTTTCCTCTGGTGAGCTACTTTTACAAAACGAAATTACCAGATAGTATTATAATATAAAACATAAACAATTGTCCATATTAGTGCACAAAGTTACGCATCAAAATTATACATTTACAGTGGTAATAGGCATTTAATCTCAGCTAGTTTTACTTATTCAGCACAATATATCTAATTCAGAAATACTTTGGCTCCTGAGCTACAGATTGGAGACCCCTGCCCTAGAATACATCACAATTCTGGTGATATCACAGTAACATTGTTCCTAAATTGACAAGGACAAAGCCAAAGGTGAGTTTTTTTTTTCTACACAGCTGTAAATATCTGCCTACACAAGCATTCACTGTGACATGAAATCACTTGGGCAACTGACTGATTAAATTACCGCTATATCTGGCTTTCAGATGACATCACAGCATTCTATAGGCCAATATTAATGAATACAGAAGGGGGACAGCTAAAACTAATATTGATAAAATGCAAAATTATGTTGTAATACAGTGCGTTCTTGGGGTTAGTCAGTAATAAAAATACCAGGTTCAACATTTGTGAGTTTACCTTTTGGATATTCATGGTAAAGCACAGTGTGATCAATAGGGAAATCTGGCCCTTGCCCCCATCTGAGAGTATGACATCATCACATTATAGAATCTGAAAACAACCAATAGTATGCATGACAGTGTAAACAGTAAACAGAATGAGAAATATCCTCCTTGTGATTACCTTTTGTGAGAGTATAACTGTGCTCCCCCCTGTTTATTTAAGCCTAACCTTTATTACTGATTCATTATTAAATCAAATTCAGCTTTATTAGATTTTTAAACCAATGAAGTGCAATATTAAACAAAATATGTTTAATATTTATTTACACAGTTTACAATCATTACAATATTTTTACAATCATCACAGTTTCTTGAATAACCTGGAAAAAATTGATAAAACATATATGTCACAAAATAAAGGATTTGAATTATTGCTGAAACTAAAAGCAGCCTATAAACATATTACCCAAAGTAACTGTATCCTCCTAAAAAGGCCAAAGCGATCAGTCCAACCACAGCAGCACCAGACAGAGAAGAGACTGTCAGAACATAAGAGGACCCTGTGGAGACATATAATAAATACATAACACAATGCAGTTTAAGTCAAGTAAAAGTACAAATACAGGGGCAAACAGTTACTCAAGTAAAGTAAAAGTATCACATGAAAACAATCTACTTGAGTAAAAGTATTAAAGCACCTGTTTACAAATGTACTTGAAGAGTAATAAGTAAAAGTATTTTGCTGAGATTTTTAGAACAATTTAAGGATTAAATTTTAAGTGATTCAATTGATTTCTTAATTTTTCTAGACATTTTTGTGTATTTGGTTTGCTCAAAGTTGGGACGGAAACTCAAATTAAATGTGCTGAAAAAAAACATAAAGAAAAGTACTTTTTACTTTTCAGTCCAGATCTAAAATGTAGTAGAGTAGAAAGTACAGATACACGTTCTCAAATGTAGTGAACAAAAAGTAGAAAGTATCCACTGTAAAATGTACATAAGTAAAGTACAGATACCTAAAATGTGTTTAACTATTGTACTTTTACTTTTGTACTTCGTTACCTTCCACCATTGCAGCTCAGTAACAGAAAAGAAAAAGTCCTACCTTTCACTTTTGCCCACAGAACACACAAACTTTTGGACTCCTAAAAGAGACCAAAATCCAAGTGATCTGTTAATTATTCATGATTTCATTTTATAAATGTTGTATTAACTCACTTTCCCCCACTCGCTCACAGATCGGAGGATGATGTAATAGTCCCTGCCGTTCTCCAGTGGTGTGTTCAAGAACCCTTGGTAAAAACGTCCATCCCCTACAGTAAATGACATCTCTGTGCCAATGTTTTTCATGTGGACTTCAGCAGTAATGTAGTGTGTGTGGTATTGGTCAGTGGATAATTGAGGAGAGGAGCAGTCAAACACCATAAGACCATCTACCGGAAGTACAAATATTTGGTAAATGCTGCAAAGTGAGAAAAAAAGGTAAGGTAAATGGTTAGATATATTGATGAAAGCTAGTAAAAGCAGGATCATATTTTTATTGTGCACCTTATGGGGTCAAGCGTGCTGGGAGATCTTTGCAAAGTCAACGTTGGAACTGGAGTATCAAACTCTCTGTAGTGGACCACAGGGGCTGGAGGCACTGTTCAGCAAAATTGTGAGGTTTTTAGACAGTTATCTGGTTATTTTGTATAGTGTTGATTGACAGCGCCCCAAAAATTGTAAAATATTTATTTCGTGTTGTCTATTTTGATTTCAGAAACATTGCTCTCTGTTCTTTAGTAGTATTCTTGCCATTGGTTATCATTAAACGTTCAGAATAATATTATTTTGGAAGCTATCATTTATCAGTTTACTAGTTACACAATGGTACATGTTTTACGGCATATCAAATATCATCCTGTACCAAAATTTTTCAACTTTCAATTTTCAGTTTCACTTTCAAATTTCAATTTAGGTCCAGTGTCAGTCACAATAACAAATTTTGAAGCACGTTAAATTGCTGAAGTAAATATAAATGATGAACGATAATGCTGAAACAAATTTATGCCATTAACACAAGAGTCCAAGAGCAGATTTAAACCACAAAACATATTCTAAATGTACAATATTGATTAAAAAAATATGAGCTGCAATAAATAAACAGCAAAATGAAATGCTTTAGTACTTAGTTTGCATCTATAACGAGTCATAAAAGTGATTAATTCAACCCTCTACATCTTAAATCCGATTGTGTAGCGAAAAAATACAAAAGAAAAATACAAAGAAAATGTACACCTGATACTGACCCCCAAAATATATTGTTCTGGACACAGGGTTGTTTTGTTACCAGACATAATTTGACATAAATGTAATATTGAGAATTCAGAACACATATGAGTGCTTTTTGTACCTGTTAAACTTGTATTTGTGAAGGCAGTGACAGTGAATTTGGCTGATTTGGCTGTGACTGAGATGCTGTAGTTTGTTATGGGGAGCAGGTTCAGACAGACTTTCACATGGTCGGCCTTTGAGCTTAAAATGTGCCTTCTTTTGTCCAGAAAAGATGTCTGGTAATCTCTAGATCCTGTAAATATAATCTAAAACAAGACTCATTAAGGGTTGTTCTATACTTGCCATGATAATACAACAGTGTTATTTTATACCTTGTAATCTTCTGTAGCCTCCTCGTACTTCTCCGCTTTCCAGTGAAGGCATCTCTCATTCAGAACATGGAAATGGTTGATGGGTGGCTTTATTTCTGTAAAAGTGAAAAATGATTTAGATGGACAGCAGTATTGTCTGGTAATGATGAATAGTTTTGGGAATATATCTAAAAAAAATGTATGATAAGCATTGCATTTACGATTCAGATAGTAATTTATGTTTTGATCCCTGGATTTTGTTGAAAGTGCACAATTTAAATGTCCAGGAGGGATTATATTGAGTATTGTTGGTACAGAAAACCTCTAAGAAAACCAAAGAAATGAAGAGGAGAGGTTATTTTTCTTTTTTAACTTCTTATATCATGTTTCGCTGTTGTTCACTTCGCTCGTATGTGCATTTTGAAGTTACTGAGCTATACATGCCTATGGAGAACTCACCGATGCACGTGATAGTGGCATGCCTCCACAGCCCTGTGCTACTGTCACATATGGAGGTGTTAGTGCCTCTCCAGCTGTGATAACCCGTCTCACATCTGTGAAGCACCACACTTCGGTTCTGCCAAACCACCTCTGCATGGGCAAGAGCAGGCACAGGGCCACATTTAGCTGCGAACACATAGTTACCGGTACATGGGTGTTAAAAGTAGTGCTGTCATGCGATTAAAAAAATTGAGAGATTAATTAATTATGATCTGTAATTAATTAATCTAATTAATCTCATTTTAATCTCACCTAAAAATTGCTGAGAAAAGCCTTCAATTTGAGGTATTTTCATTTAAATTCATTATTACATTATTGTGGCAGATCAAAAGACTAATATAGATTTAAAAAAGTGACTTTATAAAGTCATTTATTGTTTAACAATCTCTGTCTCTCCAATTTGGCTGTTGAGCCCAAGTCTCCATGAATAAGAAACTGTTTGTTGTAAAGTAGCAAAGACAAGGAAATCTGAACATAATAACCTTTGTCTACTTAAAGACAATAAAAAGTCCAGTCTTTCCTTAACCATGTTAAAAATATTATTGATAGAGAAATGCTTTATATATGAGATCACTGGTTTTAGTCCTGGTTTAGACCTGGTTTAGACCTGCTTTAGTCCTACTTTAGTCCTAGTTTAGTCCTGGAATGGATTAATCCTGGTCCTGGTGTTAGTTCTGGTTTAGTCCTGGTTTAGACCTGGTTTAGTCCTGGTGTTAGTTCTGGTTTAGTCCTGGTTTAGTCCTGGTTTAGTCCTGGTTTAGTCCTGGTTTAGACCTGGTTTGAGTTCTGGTTTTAGTTCTGGTTTAGTCCTGGTTTAGACCTGGTTTAGACCTGGTTTTAGTTCTGGTTTTAGTTCTGGTTTAGTTCTGGTTTAGTCCTGGTTTAGTCCTGGTTTAGACCTGGTTTAGTCCTGGTTTTAGTCTTGGTGTTAGTTCTGGTTTAGAGGCGCACAGGAGGAAGCGCGGTTTACGCCGCGTACGCGAGAAAACACGATCCACACGGCGGCGCACGGGAGCACGTCGGTGTCCGCGCAGTGTCTACGGAAGGAAACGTGGTCCGCGCGTTCTCAGGTTAATGACGATGATGAAGGTGTGTGTTTGTTTGTGTGTGTGTGTGTTTGTGGTTGTGTGTGTTTGTTTGAGAAAGTTAGAGATTAAAAATGAGATTAACGCGATTAAAAAACATAACGCGCTAAATATGACTGTAATTAATTAATCGCAATTAACGCGATAATTTGACACCCTTAGTTAAAAGACACGTTCTGTGGTCTTTCTGTTTAACATCTTTCATTGATCTGTACATTTTATCACAATTATTTTGGGTAAGAGTAAAAAATGAGTTGTTGCTTCTAAAACCAGAAGTACTGTAACCATGTTCTGTTGATCTCACTGTTGATATTGTAACAATGTGTTGTGTTGTTTACATGTATATATGTCAGACATCATTGTGATGACTCTACCTTTGCAGATGAGAGACACCTGTCCCCATTGTCCTGTTTTTGAACATGCAGACATTTCCCTCTCGGGGTAAAATCCAGAACCACATTCGTACCACACCACACTGCCCAGGTTAGTGGAGCCATCCCATCGGAGGTTAGTGTTTGGGACAGTTAGAGGCAGGCCACAACGTATCTCTGCTCACAGCAGCACAGTTAGTGCACACACAAGCATAACACAAATAACAATCACCACTTGTTACCATAATGTACTGGGCAAATGTTTTTGACCTAACAGGAATGCTATTATGGACTTTACCATTTAAAATTTACATGTAAGGTCCTCACTTGTGTGTTTAGAGCACAGTGCATTGATTCAGTGAGGTGCTACAAACTACAATTATTTGGTGTTGAAAAAAAGCAATCTGATGCTGTAGAATTGAAATCTGTATAAAGCCTTTTCCTTAATATCAAAACATTTGTTTCAATTTTAGTATAATATGCAAGCTCATGCAGTTTGTAAAACACACTTAAAGACGATTGAAACAGTTTACATTAATACAACCTTCACATATGAGTTCAATGTCCTCCCAAACTCCATTATCTTCACATACAGAGACATTTCTCACACTGTGGGCATAATACCCTTCATTGCATTCATAATAAACGACACTCCCAACACGCCCTGTGCCGTCCCATAGTGTTTTAGCAAAGGCTTTGTTCACAGGGCTCCCACAATGTATTTCTATAGAAGAAAAAAAATGTAATTTTGGACTTAATATTCTAGAAAATTGACTGCATCTGTATAGGGCCATAATCACCTTTGCAGACAACAGCAGGTTTCTCCCATTGACCATTTTCCAAGCACAAAGACACACTGTTATTCCCAAAACTTTGATAACCAATGTTACATTGATAAACAACTGAAGATCCAAAAGTGGAGTGCCCATCCCATAACATTTTTGAGTTAAGGACAAGGTGAGGCAATCCACAATTAATTTCTATATAGGCCGCAATAAAAAAAAATAAAAAATTACACACCATGCATAAAATTGAAAGCTATATTTGAAATAATTATTTGAAATAATTAGTTACCTTTACACAAGATGGTTGCTGTAGTCCAATAACCATTAATTGTACATATGGATAAATTACTGCCACTGAGGTAAAGAAATCCAGAATTGCAAAAGTAAGCAACAGTGCTCCCTGGAGTTGAGCTGCTGTTCCACATTTGGCCAGTGTGGGGCAGCAAAGGTGGCTTCCCACACAAAATCTCTGAGACAAAACAGTGTAAACAGTCATAGGTGAAAACTGTTTTTACATTTTATCTTAAATGTGTGAGCATTGCAGTAATGATAAAGTAAAATCTAAGTATTGTTCTAATTACCTTTACATGACAGAGTTGGTTGAGTCCATTTACCGTTTTCAATACAAACTGATGAATTATGACCTCCATTGTCATAAAAGCCATATTTACAATAATATTCCACAGTACTTCCTAGAGTAAATTTTCCATCCCACACATGAACTGTGTTATCAACTACAGGGAGAGTTCCACACAAAATCTCTACAGAACCAAAAACAAAATCATATGACCATTACAGAGGCACACATTTAAGACAGTCCAGTGTTTAACCAACAGCTCTGTAAAAACATTTAGTAAAAGATCTATCATACAGCTTTAAAGGGCCCATATTATGCTATTTTCTGATCCATGTTGTTTCTGGAGTTGTGTTTTGCTTCATTCATACATGTTTTACACACAAATATTAGGCCGATATGATACTTGAGCTAGTTTTAGTCCTGGTTTTTAGGTGGTACATGGTTTAAAATTGAGAAACTGTTGAGAAACTGTTTAAAATCAATATATTTTCATGGTCTACCTTGGCAAAGGACAGGTGGGACGTCCCATTGTCCAGTGGCATTACAGTAAAACACATCTCTCCTTTCTACATTTCGATATCCAAAGTCACAGCGATAAACCACCTCCGTTCCTAATTTGGAGCGACCGTCCCAGAGCATTTGTGAGTAAAGCCGAACCGGAGGCGGGCCACAGTCCACCTCTAAAGCCAAAACACAAAATCTGTCTTTAGAGCAGTTTTTTTTTTAAATAATTGAAAGGCCCATATTACGCTATTTTCTTATCTATTTTATAGTGTTTCCGCATCAGATACACACCTGGAGTTGTGTTTTTTTTCATTAACACACAAACCCTGCATATTTAGGTTGAGTTCTTCTCTCAAACAGAAAATACTCTGTTCCCCCTGGTGATGTCATGTGATAATACAGGAAGTACTAAACTGTGTTTTTTCATACACCTTCACTAAAATTATTTTGATCAATTTCAGTCCTGGAATTGCCAGTCTCTGTTGAAGAAAAGGTAAAGCTAAGTTACGTTAAGTTAAAAGTTAAGTTGAAAACTACCACTACATGACATCACAAGGTGGAACAGAGCATTTTGAGCTTTGTAAATGTAGACAGACTAATAAAGACAAATAAAGTGTTACTCAAACAAGTATGAGTGAAACAGACACAACTCCAGGTATGTTTTTGATGAGCAACATTATAACATGACTCAAAGCTCAATATTTGCGTAATATTGGACCTTTAATCAGTGGGGAAGTTAATGTTATTTACACTTTTTTTTAGAAACCAAAATGTACATCATGTGTCACAAAAGATTATACTAAATCTTTTTATGTATTAGGAGAAATAGGATAATTTGTTTACAGTGCTATTAAAGGTGCCCTATGTAACTTTTCAGGTGAAAGGTCCTTTGCCTGCTTGTCTTCACGGATGTGTTATGCTTTGCCTGGAAGGTTCTGAATGCATCTAGCTTGCATTTATTCAATTACTGGTGATTTAATAATACTTTGAATTCATTTAATTTTTCATTTTACTTAAAAAAAAAAAAGTTTCATTCATGAAAGGTTAATACAAAATAATTATGTTCATACATAAATGTGAATGAAATGGAGCAGAAAGATGTGTAGACTTGTAATATCCATTCATCCATTTTCTTTCGATTATTCGGGCCTGGGTCACGGGGGCAACAGTCTAAGCAGTTACTCCCACACTTCCTTCATCCCGAATACTTCCTCCAGCTCCTTTGGGGGAACCCTGAGGTGTTCCCAGGCAGCTGAGAGACATAGTCCCTCCAGCATGTCCTGAGTCTTCCCCGGGGCCTCCTCCCGGTGGGACAAGCCTGGAACATCTCTCGAGGGAGACGCCCAGGAGGCATCCAGAAAAGATGCCTGAGCCACCTCTGCTGGCTCGTCTCGATGTGGAGGAGCAGGGGCTCTACTCAGAGCTCCTCCCACGTGACTGAGCTCCTCACCCTATCTCGAAGGGAGCGCCCAGCCACTCTGCAGAAGAGACGCGTTTCGACAGCTTGTATCCACGGTCTTGTCTTCTTGATTATTACTTAAACCTCATGCCCATGAGCTGAAAGGCAAAGCTCTCAATTCACTGGTCAATCAACGTTCCTACCCTCACTTATGATCATGGACTTGTAATATCTGCCCCCTCAATCCTTGAATGCATTTTTACTGTCAACAGTGTGTATTCTCCTCAGATCTGTACTTTGTTGTGGTTTGCTGAGGGAGCAGCACCAGTAAAATCAATAATCATTCATCGAAGTCTGAGACCTGTAACCTATATATATAATATAATATATAATATAATATAATATATATAAGTTTGATGCCATACTGTTGAACACTTCAGGTAAAACAATAACATAGCTCCTTGGAGACAAGCTAACACAGTTTCACAGTACACCTTTAATGTTGCTCAAAGTGTTATTAAGGGCTGGAAAACACAGATGAAATTGTAGTTTTGTCCTCTTGAAAACAGCTTTTGTGTTGTTAGTTAGAAGCACTGAAACCAACAAAAGCTGCTGTAACAAAAGACTTCAAGGTCAAAGCCTCATGTGCTCTTGTTGTTACCTTCACAGTCTATTGAGGGCGCTGTCCACCTTCCACTGGCCTCACACACAGAAGCGTTGTCCCCTCTTCTCCAAATGAAACCCTGGTCACATTTAAACTTGGCTACACCTCCGAAAGTGTGTTTAGTGACTGACACCAACACAGCATCCCCAGGTAAAAGAGGTGCTCCGCAATCAACAACTAGAAAAATGCACAAGCTTTGTAAATACAGCAGTTCAGAAGCAGTGGTGGAAGAAGTTCTGCATTTGGTTACTTAAGTAAAAGTACAGATAAAAAGCTAAAAAGTTACTCAAGTAAAAGTATCATGAAAAAATCTGCTTAAGTAAAAGTATTAACTTACCTGTTTGAAGATGTACTTAAGGAGTAAAAAGTAAAAGCATTTTGCAGAGATTTTTAGAACAATTAAAGGATGAAATGTAGTGATTAAAAAAAAAAAAAAAAGAGTAGATTTAAAGTGATTCAGTTGATTTCTGTGATTTTTGTGTTTTTTAGCTTGATGAAAGTCAAATTCTCAAAAACTCAAATTAAATGTGCTAAAATGTGCACTTTTTTTTACTAGAAAAGTACTTTTTACTTTGCAGTCCAGATCTAAAATGTAGTAGAGTAAAAGTAAAAAGTATCCACTAAGTAAGTAAAGTACAGATACCTAAAATGTGTACTTAATTATTATACTTTTACTTTTGTACTTCTTTACCTTCCACCACTGTTCAGATGTAATATAATATACCCAAAAGTGACAAACATGCAAAGAACAGTGAATTGTTAAAGGTGCATTAAGTAAGATAGATGACTTTTGTATTTCTTCCATCCCAAATGTGGAGTACTGAATGGATTTATAGAGTATAGTAGCTTCTAAAATGCCAGATACCTTTGCATGTAGCTTTGTCTTTATGTGGGTGAAATGGCTCTGCTCCCCCATGGACTTTGTATCCGATTTGACAGCGACAGTCAAATCTCCCCTCCAGGTTCTTACAAACGGCTCCCTCTCCACATATTCCAGAAATCTGGCACTCATCAATATCTAGAAAAGAACAAACACATAAATGATTTCATAAAGTACTGACTCTGTTTAAAGCTCACACAAGTCTGGAGAGTGAGTGAATTATCTGTGTGTGAAAATGTTAAGTGACTATCAGCACCTGGTAAAGTGCAATATAATGCATTATTATCTAGGCCTATTAAAAGTGACTTAATTTGTGATTTTAATTTGTTTAATTTAACCCAGATTTAATTCCAGTCAAAGTTTGGACATACCCTTTCATTCATTGTTTGTTTTTTTTACTTTTCTGTGCACTACTGTCTACATTTTAGATACATACAGAAGATATCAAATATATGATATATGTACGTATAGCAAAGAAAAAAATGTTAAGTAATTCAGTTACATATTTTTCTTTGTACATTTTATATTGAAATTCCTCAAAGTATCCACCCTTTGCTTTGTCAACAATGATCAAAATCAAATACAATTTTTTTTATAGAGCAAAGAATGCAAAGTGTGCAAAGTAGTGATAAAGCAAAGGGTCCCTACTTTTTCTAAAAATCTAAAATAAATACAAAACTCAAAACATGTTTATTTACTACATACAGTGTGTGTTCATGCATAGTTTTGATGCGTTTGGTGAGCATCTATGTGAATAGTAATGGAAATAAGAATGAACATTAAATGGAAAAGTGTTTCCAAACTTTTGACTGGTAGTCTAACCAGATTAACCAGTTGCATGTTATTGTCTAGAGTTGTGCTAAAATATTGAAAACGCGATATATTCTTAAGTTACTCATACAGTAACTTCAGTACTGTTACGGCTCACGGCCTGTCTCCAGCTCCGCATCGCCTGGCGCTCCCCGTTTGTATTACCGCTTGTATCTTACGTATTTGCATGTCCTATGTGGTGCCTGATGTCTGAGTGGTGGGCCGTGGTTCCGATGCTGGGGGCTGGCTCCGACACCCCTTGTGCTGTGGTTGGAGGATCAATCACCTCAGCCAATAAAAGTGCTGTGCGCCTGTCCCTCTGGGCGGCTGGATGGCAGTTTCAGTTCGCCCCTCACATCTGTAGACGTTCGCTCTTTGATATTGTAAATTGTGTTTGTTACTATAATTTTTAGTTTTGCCAGTTTGGCTCGGCCCTTGGGCAGTGTTTTTTGTTGCTGTTAAATACCTTAGTTTATGAGTGGTTTAGTAACTTTGCGGAATTCTGAATTATCAAATGTGAAACGTTTATTTTTTTTGTTATTGTACTTACCTACACCACTAAAACCCATTTACTTTACATCATATCTGGTTTGTGTTACTTTCCTTTGTCCCTAGCACTGGGTTGTAACAGTACTGTACTTCAGTACAAATATCGCAGACTGCAATATCTGTAATGTATAATAATTTATATTGAGGAAATATTTTTATTAATCGGTCTTTGTGTAAATGAATGTGATTTCTATCTGAGACCAGACCTCCTCAGGAAAATATTGATTATGATTGATTACATTAAAATAGTGATAGTTTATCTTTAGAAACACATTTGGTCTTGTAACTAAAACTCCTTTGGTTTGGCAGTTAAGGACAGTGTTAGAAAGACCGTTCAATGTAAATACTTCTGTTCTCTTTTGTTTTCCAAATATGTGAATATAGATGCAAATCAGATCAAGCACATCTGACCACACCTCAGTAGGAGTCGTCACTTTTTCATTTTGAAATGTATGTCCTCTGGTCATCTCAGGCTATAAAAACTTGGTGCTGTGTAACATACGGGGGCAAGATGTGGTTGGGACATACTGCTGCTTAAGAGAGGCTGTTGGGCTCTGGTTCATATCTGCTGTAACAAGAATAAACCTTGGTCTATATTCCAAAAACTCATCGGGCTTTGCAAATGGATTAATTATTTATCATCAAGAGATATATTATTTTTTTCCACAACAGTAGCTTTGTATTTCTATATAAATACTGAGAGCTCAGATGTTCTGGGAGTGACTTGGTGGGGGACTAGAGAGAGGAGACTCGTGAGAGGCTGTTAGTCTGTGGCCAGGTCAGACCTAGGCCTGGTCCATATCTGCTGTAACAAACAATAAACCTTTTTTCTGTATTCCAAAAACTCACCGGGCTTCACAAATGGATTATTATTTATCAAGAGAAATGTATATAATTTTTCCATAACAGTACATTTCACTGTTTCGATTATAATTTTGATTAATTTGATTGAAATACATTCAATTTTAAAGATTTTATATGCGTGACGTTACCAGTGATTCCTTCCCCTATCATTTTTATGTCACTATACTGGCTTTGAAATAATTTTACTAGCCCCTAAACTAAAGCATAGTAGAAATGTAATCCTGAAATTGACTCATGCTATTTTTATGTCAGAGTATAAAAGTCAGTTTGTCACTCACCCTGACAGTTGGTTCCATCGTTTGGGATGAAGGTGGCCATGTTGTTGGAGGGCCTGTATCCGACCAGACAGGTGCAATAGTAACTCCCGTACGTGTTGTGGCAGGTTGTGTGCTGCCCGCAAATCTTCACCGAGCCTATCTGACATTCGTCTTTGTCTAAAAAAAGAGAAAAAAAATATTATTCAGTGATTTTGAGTTTACTACATTGTATGCCGCTGAATTGCCCCTTGATTAAATGTTATTAAAGTAGATGAAAAAAGCATTTTGAGTAGTCATGCAGGTCCAGAAGTTTTGAAGGAGACATAGTGAATTGCTAGGTTTCAGTTGACATAACAACAATCTTCAGCCCTAATATCTAAAGGGTTCATATTACGCTCTTTTCTGATCTATTTCATAATAATGTTGTTTCCATATCACAAACATATCTGGAGTTGTGTTTTGTTTCATTCACACAAGCCATTCATGTTTAGGCTGAGTTCTTCTCTCAAACAGAAAACCTTGTAATGTCATATGGTTATACAGGAAGAGCTCCACCGTGTTTTTAAACTCCATACACTTTCACGAGAATCATCTGGATCATTTGAGCCCTGGAATTGCCAATCTCTACTGAACAAAAGGTAAAAGACAGCTGTTAACTACCACTCTATGACATCACAAGGTAGAACAGAGCATTTTGAGCTTTGGAGATGTAGACAGACTAATAATAAAGGGTTACAGAAATGTGTGAATGAAACAAGACACTACTCCTGTATGATTTTGATGAGGTAACATTCAAACATGGCTTAAAGCTCACAAGAGTATAATATAGAATCTTTAAAGTAGATGTAGGCAGCTAAAAATCATATTGTTAAAATGGAGACTCTTTTTTGCAATACAATGAGTTTTTTAGTCTTGGATCAACATTTGTGAATTTACTTTTTGGATATTTCTTGGAATTATAGTAAGGAAAATGCCCCATCTGTGACATTCTAGTCTATGAAAACCACCAGTTGCGACGAAGATAATAAGAAAAGACGCAGAGTGTGGTGTGGATGTAATCTACAGATTCAGTAATAACAAAGAAAAAGAACAGGATTTGTGAAAGCTGGCTTGAGACTGAACATGAGCTGAAGGCAACTAGGCCCGATAAGAGCATGTTGTTTGAAAAAAAAAAAAGTCATTTGAAAATGGGCTGCTATTGGGCGTTTTTGAAGCAGCGTTGATGAAAACAGAGCACTGACCTGAAACAGTGCTGATACAGAGGGGAGCAGTGAGGCTGAACCAGGTCGCAATCGGAAAAACTAACAGCACGAGCTCAAAGACACTAAAATGCTTCAACTGCACATCCAAATGCACTGTGGTCATTTTCTGCAGTACTCTGAACGTTTTACAATTATTGCTGATTTATTAAACAACAAGGTCATATCTAATGCAGCGTAAAAGTTCATATGAAAGGTTTTCACGTTTTTCTAAATATTACTTGGTTTGGTGGGATAGATCCTGATGAGATATTTATCATAATTTTACATCTGTTGAGAGGCAGTTTGTGGGAAAAAAAAAAAAAAGTTGAAAAGAAAAGCACAAAAAATTTAATACCTTTAACTATGTCATCAACACTTAGCCTGATTCATCAGCCGATTTCACTTCGTAGAAACCATCTGACCTCGCAGTGTTAGAATTTGTTCTCACAGTGGGAGGCGGGTACTTTTTTATTTAACCAATCGCTGCTATTTGGTCGTGACGTATGTAATGCGTCGCTAACGGGGCTAACTGATATATTAAGCTTTTTCCAAACCCCGTAGGAAGAAGGGCAATAACGTCTTTCCCCTTGATAAAATTCACCAAACATCTCAGGAATCATTGACAACACAGAATATATGGCTTTTTGCTGATTGGCTGGTGCCTGAACTCGCACTTCCAGGGTTTTTGCAAACTGTCTAGTATATTTTGATTCCTGACCTAGTCACTGGAGAGAAATGAAATTGAGTAGGAGGCACTAGGTGGCACCAGCCTGGCTAATCAACACCAAAATGCAGGGACAGTTTACACACAATTGAAACATTCTGTGGCAGTTTTACATTTAACAAAATAAAGGTGTTTATTTTATTTGGTCTAATTTTAATTATTGTGTGTTTAGCTTGTTTACAGTATGGTTGTAGAATTACCTCTATGTTTGTCATATCTGCTGCCAGTGTCCAGCCAGGAATTATAATTATAAACTTCACCAAAGACAAATATGAAGACTTTAGCTGCGTTTTAGTGAAATTTGTATTCTAACCTGTCATATGCACTTAAATGTACACAACCAAATTGATCTGTTTGACTTAAAAGGACAGCTCAGAATTTTGGACAGAGGGCCTCATTTCCTAGTTAGTCAGAATGTTGGAGACATGTGGAGATACTTTTTAAAATATTCCCTGTCTTACCCACTCCACAAAGCACTCGAAGCAAATCTTTTGTTACGCCAGACTGTTGATGTGAATGTCTGTGTTGATAAAATCATTTTAGAAGTAAAACCAACCTTGCATTTGAAGGATTTATGTCTGAGCAGCAGCAGTGAGTTGTACTTCCTGATAGAAAGCTTGGCAGCGGCGGACTGATATATGAGAAAATAGTCCCTCAACATGCGACAATTCATGTGATGCAAGGTTAGTTTTATTTCAAACTATCTATCAACATTCACATCAACAGTCTGGTGTAATAATAGTTTTGCTTCAGGTGTTTTGTGGAGTGGGTAGGACTGTTTTTAGTGGCAGGATAACTATGGCTGTTGACATGCACTAGCCTAGCACCAGCGACCTCTGCAAATACAAGGACTGGATGGAATATTTTAAAAAGTGTCTCCACACCTCTCCAACACTCTGGTTAACTAGGAAATGAGGCCCTATGTCCAAAATTCCAAACTGTCCCTTTAACTCATAACACATTTATAATAAGCTTTCTCTCTGATTCCCTCAAGCTCTGCCCCAAAACTAAAACATGACCTCAATCATCTCATCATTATAATGTTTCTTGTAATATGTATCTGCATTTTTACCTTGACAGAACGTGCGCCCGTTGCCTACAAAGCCGTATTTGCAGTTGCAGACTTTGCCCGATCCGTCCAATTTGTCGTCACACGTGGCGTTGGCGTGACATGAGGAGCACACGTCCAGACCAGCCGTCTGCATCACTGAAACATATGGTTTGATTTTAATACATATACTTTTACATTACTCATACTGAATTAAAACCTTCTGTATTAGTTTGCTTTTAGCTTATGACTTTGACCCATCCATTAAAGGTGCACTGTGTATCATTCGTGTTGGGGGTCCATCACCTTCTTCTTTCCATGGATTAAACAACTCTACTTTATCTTTATTCAATTACAGGTGGTTGTATTGCTCAAAAATTCTTAGAAAAACAGGCATTCTGACTGTGAGCAGGGTTGCCTCTCCACAGATCTGTAATTTTGTCATTTGTCATTACATTGCACTAGGTAAGAAGTGAAAGTTAAATAATATCAATGAAATATCAATCTTACCTGCGATTACAAAAAGCAGAAATACCACAGTTCCAGTTTTGGCTTTCATATTTGGGTCTCTCGCTCCACAGAGTTCTAACTTCAGCGAACCTCCTCTGCTCCTCCAGCTCTGCTTCCTCTCTCCTCTTTCTGTCCCATGTTGTTTGATGCAGGATTCGGGACTGTGCTTTTTTTTCTCAATGGCTGCAGTTGTAGTAGTGCTAGTAATAGTGGTATCCGGTGGTTTCTGTGGGTTTCTGCATTGACACATTCAGTTATACGTCATGCATTGAACTGCAGATAGCAAGAGCTGTGGCCACTGATAAAAGCTATATTTGGCCTACTGACCCCCCTCTCTGTCAAAGAGGAACATGCATCTACAGCTGACACAGTGACGCACACACTAAATGATTACAGCTTCATTCATCTATAATTGACTTCAGACATGACAGTGACCAAAGCCATTATGTTTTCTGCTTTGTGTTTTATTGCCCAATTAATCCCAAGACACAGAGAATCAGCGCCTTGTCAGTTAACAGGAAATATCTAATCTAAGAACAAGCTACTTGTATATGTATAAAACAATCCTGTTCAGTGTATAAAATTGCCCTATAAACACTTTGCCACTAATGGTCTGATGATATTGGCAGCATATAGCTAAACTAAGAATGGCTGACCCCTGTGGCCTCTGTAGGTTTTGAGTGCAGGGCCCGGCAGTTGTTCAGTGGGACAGAGATAAGAGTTTATCTTCAGGTCCAGAGGGGGCTCACTGTCACTCATTAACAACTAGCATCACACTGTTAGCATGCTGAGGCCAAATCTCCCTGTGTGGCCAAACCTCCTTGTCAAACTTGATCTGGCCAGATCTCAGAAGCTAAGTAAGGCTCAGCCTGGTTAGTACTTGGATGGACCACTGTGAAAATCAGGTGCCACAGTTGTGTCCTTAGGCAAGAAACTTCTCCCACATTGCCTAGTTTTAAAGTGGTGTGTGTGTGTGTGTGTGTGTGTGTGTGTGTGTGTGTGTGTGTGTGTGTGTGGTAGGCCATTGGTGCAGATTGGCAGCCTGGCTTCTGTCAGTCTGCACCAGAGCAGCCGTGGCTACAATAGTAGCCCAATGAGGTTCATTTGGTCTTCAGATAATTTATGTTATTAGGTTCTTTTTTAGACTAAGAGTTTGTTTTTATACCTGACAGTTTGGACTGCTCACTAATGCTCTTCCTCAGAGAGGTCATGTGATGTTTCTGTGATGTGTCTTCCTACCTGTGGAGGCAGGATGACAGCACCATCTGCAGTCCAACAACTTCCTCAGGACAGTATCCCACGTGTGTAAGAGTAAAAAAGCCCCCTCGTCCCAGTTTATAGTCCCGTGGGCATGTTTCCGTATTTCGATTGTCTCTTTAATCCAGGGACGATGTTTGTTTTCCTCTGTTCCAATGATGTTTGCTCTGTCCCAGACCAGAATGTGCTTCTCTCTTTTACAGTTAGAAACGGCCGATATGAGTTTTTCCTGTTCTGCTTTGTGTTTTATTGCTCAAGTGCACCGCCTGTTTCCTTCTCACATTCTGTTCTATGTTCCTTTTTTCGTGTACTGAACACCCTCCCTGTTTTGTTGCAGGACATGCAGGATATTTCGTATATGACATTACATTTATACTCCGGTTCTGCTTTGTCTTTTGGGTGGACGAGTAATACAACAGTAGTAGCTTACCAAGACCAAGTGCGCCTCTGGAAATGCTCTAAATAAGACTAATGCATTATTAAAATGAAAATATATTATATTATTATTTTTTTAAACAGACAAGTAACTAATCAATACAGCTATATACAGTCTTTAACTAACTTATATCTTAATGTTATTTGTAATTATGAGCTAAAACAGTCACTCACTTAAATGCAAAAAAGGTCATTACAATTTGGGAAAATCTTTGTTGAATTTTATTTCACTTTTCCATTCATATCAAGACATTTTGTACAGATCAAATAGGTCCAATCACAACAACATGCACTCAATACAAAAACCTCATACAAAACACATCAGTGAAGCTTGTTTCATTTTGATAGTCTATTATTGTGCACACTAAAATCCTGCCAAATAATGAATAATAAAAAAAAACATGTCCATCAGATGTGTGTGTCATAATATGACGCAGTGACAGCAGTGCCTCCTTGTGTGCAGTATCTGTGTTTGTTCAGCGGGGGACACTTCAAGAGAGACTGGCATTTCCTCTTTGGACTCTGTCAGGGACCCGCTGGAGGTGGACCCTATTCGCCCGCACACAAGCTCAGCCGCCCTGCTGTCCATTACCGAGATATCTGTCACTGTTTTCTCCCTCAAAGACATATCCCCATCATCCTCATCATCAATCAAAACAAACTCTTTCAAATAAACTCCGCCAGTGCATGGGACGTTCTCCTCTAAAATCTGAGCATCCACAAAAGTTAGAGTAGAAGTCTCTGTCATTGTCTCGGGCGGGTCTGTGGAGTTGTCCTCTGCCTGACTGCTCGTCTCCAAAACCCACGCTGTGTTTTTGAGGTTATCATCGTGTACATTTTGGTCTTTGATTTTCTTGTGAGGACTTGCAGAGGGGTTGTGGTCTGCAGTGTGGCCATTTCCAGTGAAAGATTTGAAAGACACTTTTTGGAAACCATGATCAACCTGAACGCCGCTGCTGCCTGTGGGAGAGGACAGGGGAATGGTCTCAGCGTGGTCTTTGGATCGCTTCTTCATCTGGGATTTTTCTGTAAGAGAGAAAGAAGAAAAGGGATTGCTCATTTCAGAAAATTATTTGAATTTTGAAGAACCTTTTTTTAGATGTTTTAATATTTTGTGATCAAGGCTACTTAGAGTTATATTTTGTCCAAGTGTGCCTGAGTGGTCCTGCTCAGATAATTTCTGTTTTCACCTATCCCCTATCTCCACCCACAGTAACAGAGAAAGAAAAAATATTGAGCTTTTCAGAAAATTATTTGAATTTTGCTTTGCATTGCATCAACATAATTAACATATTAAAACCTTTTTAAATGTGGTCAAGCCTGCTTAGAGTTATATTTTTTGTTCAAGCGTGTTTGAACAATCCTGTTCAGATTTTCTGTTTTCACCAACCCCATATCTCCATATATATTTACTTATGATTTTTTTTTATGTAGTCCTAGGGTTGAAAAAAGTCATTGAGCCATTTCTCAGAAGTCTTTTTAAATCAATACTACAGTTTATGTAAAATAATGATCTACATATTTCAAAGCAGAGAGACTCTACAGGATTAGCACCAGTGTGCGAAATACAGGGGGCTCCGGGGGTGCCTGACCCCCCCGATTATTCCATCACACCCACTAAAAAGCCTCTAAAGCAAAATTTTGAGGGGACCCAAAATTTGTTAAGAAAAATTAAAAAATCCAGACGCCATCCCATAAGGAGCGGACAGGGTCAACCCGATGTTCCCGATGTTCCTCCAATTGCGAAAGGTATCTATATTCCCTGTTAAAACTGTTAGCCATCCTCATCTCAAGTTATCATCATGAACTCATAAAACAGCAGCATGTAGAACTTTGTATGGAACTCACTGATCCTCCATGCTCGAGGACTGCGGCTGGTGCCAAGGTGTTGCAAAGCATCCAGACAGAAGCGTAAATCCCATTTGGTTGGTTATATGTTGTTCTGAGCGACGTCCTCCGTGCACTTGGTTGCTTCTCAGGCTCAGGCACCTAACACCACTCCTTGCTCCAGCTCCTCTGAACCCAGAGTTGCTCCCGCTGATTCAGTACTCTGGTTTGGATCTCGTCCGACTGCAGCATTTCTCACACTTTGCTAAATGCAGTTCATTTTATAAGTGGAATCAATTGAATAGGACCTGTTCAGTTTAGATTGTCTGTGGCATCCACTGTGATGTCTTTTTCTTTTTTCACATTTGAGTCTGTATTTGTCAACAATTTGGAGATGGTGACCCCCCTGTATATTGACGGGTATTTCACACACTGATTAACACCATACAGATTCCCAGTACTATAAATAATACTAGTTGCAGTTCAAACTCTACTTCTGTAACACAGTATTTTTTGTAATATATTTGTATATCTTGTCAACACAGGGCTTCCATACCAGCTCACGGAAGAGAAGGGAGAATATGGCATTGTCTTCACCAGCAGATGTCACTACAAGCCAACTTCAAAAAGGTTTACAATAACATTCCTCCCAAAAAATACTGAATTACTGAAATTGCTGACAGAATCTGAAGAAGTTGCACATAGCAGGTCCCTCCAGAAAATATGACTCCTTAATCCATAGTCGACAGAAATTTTTTTGCTTTATCATGATCTAACTCAATGCATTTTCTGCTGAGGAAACTGTGTTAGATTTAGCTTTTTGGGTCACACTCATAGCCCTAAGAGAAAACCTGTACTTTATTTTTGTTTGGATAGCTATCACAGTATGAACGAATACTGGACATTTCTATGATATATACTGTATGCTTGCCTCATCTTTTTATTGTTTAAGTAAGGACAGAAACTTAACTAGGACTAATTAAAGCTATGAACAATAAAAAACAGTCTATAACAGGTACAGGGCTGGGGTTGTTATTGGTAAATGGGGATGTTATATAATTTAGAAGATCATAATATAATTGCTGTATATTTGCAAATTATTTGACTCTACAGAGATGTTATTGCTTTGCCTGGAATGTTACACAATATGGCGATTAACTTATCTATCACCATGCAGACAAACAGGTGACCCCACCAGGCCAAGTTACAGGCAAGACCTGTTGAGAGGCAAGCCCACTCGAGGTAATTGTGCATGTCTTTCAAGATCTTTTTGAGAATTAAAACACCAATAATTGAATAAATACAAGATAGATATGCAAAACAACAATATCTTCATAGAGACAAGCACCAAACAGTTACATAGTGCACTTTTAAACACTTTTAAACACTGACTGTGGAGGCTTTGCAAAGGCTAGAAACTGTAATAATGAAAGAGGATTGAAAGCAGAATGCTGATTGATTGGTTTTTATTTGTATATGTGCCAAGAGCTAAACGATATGGGAATGATACATACTACATATACATTGTAAACAACAGAAAAGCACATTTCTCGAAAAGGAGTGGGAAGAATTAAAACTTATATTAACTTTAAAGCTGCCTTCTGTATGTGACAGTATAGTCTGCAGGCGGGCTCTGCCACTTGGTTGCAGTCTAACTACTGGTTAGCTGTGACATCATTCAATCTATAAAAGTACTCCCTTTCCTTCCCCTCGCCCTCTGACCTCACGCTCTTACCCTGCTTTTGATTATCCTTCCGAGTCGGTTTTCTGAGGAAGTTGCCTAGCAACACATGCAACACGCCCCTTTTCTTGGGACGGTGCGACTCCGAACTCAGCTGCAAAAAAAGTAGACTGAGCAAGAATTCTGAGTCAGAATCCTAGATCCTTCACCGCACTCGTCCAACAACTAAATGCATTTTACTTTAGAGATCTTGAGTCATGGAGTTGAGTGCACTGTCGCCGCCTTGCCTTTACTTGCCATTTCTGTGTACCGGTTTCCTGATTCATTAGACGGTTTCACTTTGTTGAAACCGTCTGACCTTGCATTGTTAGGATTCGTTCACTCTACGGTAGGCAGGTACTTTTTTGCACCGTTAACAGAGCTAATTGGGGATATAAAGTTTTTCCCAAATCCCGTAGGAAGAAGGGCAATAATGTCTTTCCCCTTCACCAAACATTCTCTTTGTTCCGGCTTTAAATCCTTGATCTCGGGAATCGTTGCCATCACTGAATATATGGCTCTTCGCTGATTGGCTGGTGTCCGAACTCACACTTCCGGGGTTTTGGCAAACTGTCAAGTGTATTTTGATTCCTGATCTAGTTGCTGGAGAGAAATGAAATTGAGCGGAGGCACTAGGTGGCGCCAACCTAGCTAGTGTACCGGTTTTTCCAGAGACTTGAGCTCGGACTGGATTTACGAACAAACCACCGAATTGTCCTAACACCTGGAAACATTACTGTCACAATGAACAAATTTACGGAAAATGTATAAATAACCTGTGTATTTTTGACTACTATACTATACTATACTATACTAATATACTTTTTTACTTTTCAACAGTGAAAATGTGCCTTTTATATGAGCTGGTCCTGGGCCAACTCCCAGGTGGCGTTGTTGGTTCTTTTCCTTTATGATTAGTTATGTTAATGTAATTGTTAATTATTGGTTTAGTCAGTAGTTACCACAAGATTTCAACGTAGACCCACTCGCTCATGCCACATGTAGATCGGCCGACCCAGCCCTGTTGTATTCTCACATAACACCACTAAATGCTATCTACATTACTGCAGTCTGATAGTGTGCCAGCTTTGGCCTGACAGAAGATCAGAGAGCACAGGTGAGCCTAAAGAAAGGCCAGGTGAAGGGACGGGGGGCAGGTTTGATATCTGACATCTACTGGTGAAAAAAAAAAAATATATAATAATAATAATTAAGATATAACTTAAATAGTAAACGCAAACTATTAGCAATTTTTAAGTCTATCATGAGTTAAATGGTTCTAGAAAATGACATTGCATGACATTTTATGACATTGCTCTAATTCCAAAACTGAGTCAAAACTAAACCAGGAGAAATCAGAACCACATCCAGACTATAACTAACCTAAAAACATCAATACATCAGTGCAGACCAGACCTCAATATCTGTGTCAGCCCCAGCTCAATGCAAATGTCAATGTAAGTATTACACATAGTTACGCTTCTTCCTTCTATTTAACTCAATTCTTATATGCACAGTGATACACTACACACTGCATTTAGACCGTTCAATTATTCAGCGCTTATTGTTTTAACTGGAGCGGCTAATGTGGCACGTGCTGTGTAGTTTGGAACATGTCATTTTGTGGTTGAAAATTTCTGAATTAAAAAAAAAAAAAGTCTCTTCAAGGATGCAGAAAATAACTTCAAATCCCAGGAGGAACCCATGTGCTCTCGTCACAGATACAGAGAGAGCTAAAAAGAAAACTAAAAACAGGGGCAGACTTCAGCAGAAAAAAACTACACAGAGACAGGTTCTGAAGGATCAAACTAGAAATCAGTGACATTTAGTGTGTGTAGTGGATGGATGGAAGACGTTCATTTTGTCTTCTTATGTACTTTAACTTCTTGGGTTCTTTTAAAAGCAGTAAAGTGTATTTACCTTGATTGTATTTTTTCCAGGATGTCATCTACATAGACACAACATAAGCACCATAGTCAAACCATTCACAAAACTCCGCCAACTGCTAGTACACCCCAAAGATAAAATCCCACAAGAACAAAAATGCAACACCATATACGAAATCCAATGCAAATCATGCAATAAATCATATGTAGGGGAAATGGGCCGGTCATATCACATCCAAAAAAGGAACACCTAAAGGAAAGGAAACATCAGGGAGACTCACCAGAAATAAGCACATTCTGGATTGAGACAGAGCACTGGTCATTGGATCAGAAAACAACAAGTTCAAAGCTGTATCAGGGAGGCCATCGAAATCAGGAAACGAGGCAATGACAGCGCTAACTGTGATGACGGAGTGTTCCTCCTTTCACACACCTGGGACACCTCCTCCAGAGAACACCGGGCGATGGCAGGCGTGGTCAGTCTGAATGACCTGCCAGGTCCATCAGACTGACCACGCCTACAGAAAGTAACAACAGCTGAAATAAGACACGTCACCACCAACACCACCGACAGTTCTGAAGATGGCTTGCAG